TGATCCAGCAGGGCTCTTAGGTTCCTAATGGGTGTTACATTTGCAGTTCCCCTTCATGATCCAAGAGCTGAGACTACATGTATGCAGAGTAGACAGAAAAGGACAGTGCAGAGCAACATCTACTGCTAGTCATGAGTGTATGGCTCATATCGGTTTCACCACAATCTGTTTTCCCTATTGCCCAGGAGCAACCCCTTCTCAATGTACTCCTGCAGTACTTCGCATCAAGGTCAGCTGTTCTCATACTCTTTGCCATTTCATAACATTCAGCTTGCTTCACAAGGGGCCTCGCTACCCAGGAAGCATTTCCCAACTTTCACGGGGCGTGTTATTTCTGCAAATGCCTTTAAAGGCCGACACCTATTTCACAACCAAATTTCAGAGAAAAAAGGCCTTTCGAGCTTAACAGAGGAAAGATTGGCAAGAACGTGGCACAGCAGCGGGACTGTTCCAGGATTGCTCAAAACACCAGGTTTGGGTGCTCAATCCATTATTTGGAACCTGTAAATAGGAGGTCAGTTCTGGGCATCGCACAAGAAGGTGGATGTTAAAGTGGAGGAGGGTTCAGAGAAAAGCTGTGCTGATGAAAGGTCCTGAATGCAAACCCTATGAGAGCGGCTGAAGGAAATAGGTATTTTTAGCCAAGGGAAAAAGAGGATTACAGACAAGAGATGTTGACAGTTTTGAAGTATTTAGCAGTATCTCAAGAGAGAGGGGACAACCGTTTATCCTACTTGCCAAAGCTGGGAGGAAAAAGGCCTGGTTTAAGATACTGGGATGTGTATTTTGGCTAAATAGCAGGAAGTACATGCTGACTGCAAGGAGCCTAACCAGAGGAGGCTGTGAAAATCTGGAGCTGTCAAGCAAAAGATGCTTGATTGAGCACCTGACAAGGATGCTCTTGGTGCCCTGCCTGAGGGATGGGGAGGTGGGCTAGGATAGATACTGCACAGAGCCCAGTTTTATTCTGTGAGACTAAAGCAAGCTAGTGAAGCGCAGGAGCACAAAAACCCAAGGTGTGGAACAGAAAAGCCCTGGGTTCAAACTTAATTCTATTATGAGCTCACCTGAAACAAAGAATCTTGAAGACCTAATAATGGCATAAGCTTTCTACATCAGATATATGAAGAGCTTTCAGCTGTCATAGTCACACAATATAAAATAATAATAATAATAATAATAATAATAATAATAATAATAATAATGTTGCATTATAACAGGGGCTACCACCCCTGCTCATTCTGCTTGCCAACCACATACCCATCCATCTACTACACACTGGTGCAGAGAGAGTAAATTGCAAACTGTGAGGGTCAAAAAGCAATGAGATGCAAAACATAGTCTACAACACGACAATTAAAGCTTAAAACAAGCACTGTGATTATAGACAAGGGCAGCAACTGGAGATTACACTATGAACCTATAATTGGTAGGCAAGCTGTTCTTTTAATATCTGTAATATAGGGATAAGGTCTGCCTTAAAAGGTTAGTTGGGAGGATGTGATGGGTTAGAGGAGCCTATCTGATTAGCCAGAGAGATCTGGCATACTTGCTTTCTTATTCAGAAGTCCATGAACACTTCAACACACCATTTTGCTAGGATGACCACACAAAACAAACGCGAAACCCTTGCAGATAGCAAAACTCTTGGGAATGCATGGGAGATTTTAGGCTTACTATGAATTATGGAGTATACAATAAGTGAGAAGAAGGAAATGAGGGGCAGGTGGGGTTTGTCAACTTGGGAAGGTAACCCAACTAGGGAAAGGAAGACACTGATCCTAACCTCGGCTGCCTTGCAGCTATACTCATTCACGAGAAAGGCTTTGGGAGTAAACCTTGCTTTGCAGGACATCTTTGCGAGAAGAAAAGGCTAAGCCAAAGGGTAAACCTACACAAATCTGCAGTGGAGTCTGTAAGATTGTTGGATGGCATCTTGTACTCCTCCTTCTGGCAACTCCTGAAGCCAAGCTGGTACCAAACATCTTACTCTGCTTTCCTTTGGGCCACATCAACACAGCCGAGGGAGGTCTTGTTGTCTGGGCAGCCCAGGACCTCCATACACATTGCCAAGGCTTGCATCCTGGGGAGGCCACTATGCAGTTTGACTTCACCTCCAGAAGTGTACTCCATTGTCTCCCAAGACAGACAGATGCAAACAAGAAGAACCACCAAGGAAGGTGACTTATCTTGCCAAGTCATTTTGTCCATTTTTACTTATAGCCTGCTACTGGCCGGCAGCAACTCTCTAGGGTCTTTCTTCTCACCAGCTACTTGATTCTTTTTGAACTGCAGATGCCAAGGACTGTGCCTGCCACTTCCTGCATGCAAGGCAGTGGTTCTGCTATAGCGTTGTGATTCCCTACCCCACCCAGTGTTAGAAATTCAGATATATAAGCTAGGTGCCAAATGGCTTTGTAAACCAGGGTTATAGTCTGGCCTAGTTGCCATTTTTGGGCCAGATGGCTCAAAAACACATTTTTCAATATGACTTTTTGGTTCCTGGAATTTGTTCTGATTGCGCAGATAAACTGTAACAGATAGAGTTCTACAAGATGTGTTGCTAGTATGTTAAAACAGTCCAGATCCAAGGATACCCAGACATGCGCCTTCAGATGGTGGAGGTGTCAGGCGCCATCCTGGCACCCAGGCATCTTTACTTGGTTGCAAGTGGCTGGCAGCCAGGTGCAAAATGGGCCTGGCACCTGGCGAATTTCAAACACTGACCATCACCTGAAACCAGCTGGGGTCTTGCACAGGGCTTCTCTCATCTCCCTCACTTCCTTGGGCAAGCAATTCTGAATTCTTGGAAACTGCACAGTTGCTGTGAATTAAATCAAGTCAGTCATGCTTACTATTACCACAGGAACCACTTGGTACAAGCTATTGGTCTGCACATGGATGCATACAATCATACCTGTCCCAGTTGATTTGGAGAGAACCTTGCATGCAGTTCGACCAAACAATATGGTGGGCACCGGGATGAAGAGGGAGAATTGTTTCCTAACACTCCACACCATGCATTTGCTGCTGTTAAAAGCAATTCAACATTGGGGAGGGGTGTTGGACTCAGAGATAAGAGGCCCTTTTGTTTCTGAAAACAGCAAGAAGCCAAGAATGAAGGCTCTGGTGCCACCTAGTGATTCAAAATAAAATACAAAAGCATCCCCCACATGACAGGTTTTCAAATTAGGGATTTGGATTTAGCTTGGCTGTTGGCGTCTCTCTCCATGTGGGTTTTTCTTTTAAGGAAAAAAACCAGCAACAACCCACACAAGCTGCTAAATGTCAGCAAGACATTGGGAGGAGAAAAATGAATTTTAATCAGCGTAAGAACCTTGAAATAGGCTACCGATTGCAATTTAGGCAAAGCATGCACAAAAATCGTGAGCGCCATTCATCAAAATGCTTTGTTTCACAGCATGAATCTGCTCATTCTCAGCAGTGGGTTGTACAGTACAGGTGCATATTCCAAGTTACCTTTGTGCAAATTCTTGAATCCTTAAACACTTTGGCCAAAACTGTGCTTTGGGAAAGCTTGAAGCTTCTCACTGAAATTAGTGGTGGCAGATGAAACATTTTGCCCTCCCTAATAATCTTCCCTTACAATGTGCAACTGTATTACTACTACACCTAGATTAAAAACAAATTATAAAGGCCCCACCCTTCAAATTACAATCTAAGAGACAGGATACATACGGAAAAAAGGCATGAGAAGGGAAGAGGAAAACAAGCCAATGAAAGAACCAAAAACTTTCCCATTACCTTAATGGCACTTAAAACAGCCACTAAGCCTAAGGACATAGTCTAAGGAGGCAGCTGCCTCTAGCCAAATCAATGGGAATGGGGCCTGCTGCCTTACCTCTCTGAACATCAACCATAGCTAAAGAACTTGGTTTATGTTCAGGCTTGAATAGGGCCAACAGTGGTCTTCAAGTGGCCTGACCAGTGCTCCATATGAACAGAGGGTGTGCCATAAAACGTATCTCCAAACGGCACTTTGTGAGGGCTCCACAGAAGAAGCAAGAAAAAGGGTTCTCTAGAAAGCACGAAAACTGCAATCTTCACGACGCCACTTTCCCCAACTGCAGAATACTCACCCCACCCCGCTTTTACAATTAATGCTGTCAAAGGAAGAGATTCAAAGCCAGAGGAGGCAGCTTGTCACATATAATCTGCAGCATGGTTTTGCTATATAGAAGTAGCAACATACGGCATTGTGTGCCAACTACAAAAGGCAGCCTCTCCCAAGGTTGGACCAGAATTCTTCCCATCAGCAGAAGCCAGCATGGCCAATGGGAGTTGTTGTCCCACATCAGCTGGAAGGCACCAGGCTGGGGAGGTCTGGTTCAAGGGTTCATTTAGACAACTCTTAATTTTAGGCGTGATTCTGCTTTTCTACATGGAACAATATCAAAGCTGCCTGCCTGAGAATTCATATTATGTGCTGCCTGAGCAGGCAATCTTCCTCAATACACCTTGCTTCAAATGAAAACTATTTGCGGATGGGTAATAGATGCTGCCAACTTTCCACATCTCACTAGTTCTTACCTAGAGCAGGCTCACAACAGCAGCAACAAATATAGTATTCTGGGAATTCGCCTCCAGGAACTGGAAAAGCACTTTGCAATGAACATGAGCCAATTTTTGTGGAAAGAAGGGATGTAAAGTATGAAAATGATTTTGTTTTATATTGCCATGAAACAAAGGGTGTATGGCATACCACAAAGGATTACAAAAGATATTAAACTTGCAAGAAAGATGGAAGATGCAGATGCAGAAAGGCATGAAAAGCAAACACCCTCTAGATGGACTGAATGAAAGGACCTGGAAGTATCTGACTACCCAGGATTGGAGCAGCTGCATTTCTCAAGCCAGAAGAACCAGTTTGCCTACTGCAGAAACTGCAAACCCTGCAAAATCATTGCTCAAAGCTCTCATCAGAGACCTATAAAACAGCTGATCCACAACCATGTTCAAAAGCCAAGAGCAGTAGAGATCCCAGTATAAAGTATTTATTTAATACTCAACAATTAACACAAATTCATCCTTTTATTTTTATTTTTACAGTAAATAAAAACGTATTATTCCCCCTCATGCATGATCACTGTATTAATCTAAGCCTTTTTAAAATTTTAAATGTGAAAAAATAAAGTGTTTCCCCCATTTCATCTTTTAATCATACCGCTAACATCTGGTGTTGTGCATTAATGGAGACAAGATGTAGAATTATATTAAGCCTAACATGTGGTTTGCAGTTACTTGTAATTTTGTTCTTTTCTTTTTTTACATAAAGTGTTAAAATGAATCAATAAATCATCCCATAAAAATAAATATTGAACAAGAAAGAACCAAGAGGTCTGCAGCTTCCCCTTCTCCAAGGATCACCCTGTTTCAAATATTTGCATGCTCTGTTTCGTCTGCCAAAATGCAGTGTTTTGGCTGGGTTGTAGCAAGATCACTGAATGGGTGTAGGGGGGGGAAATGCTGTCTCTCGGGGAATGAAAAGTATTTCAGCCACAGTACATATACATACAGTGTTAACTGGACTCAGAGAGGGTCTACTTTGATTAAGCCTTCGGTATTCAAGTGATCCACTCACATTAAATCACATATATTAAGAGTGGAGCAAGACCTTAAAGATGATTTGGTCAGTTCACAGCCCACACGCTATATTCAAAATCACCCTGGGTTTCCAAATCATATCATTTTCTACAGTGGTAATTAATTTGGTATTTCTGCTTGGGGTTTTGATTTCTTTGGCTCATCTTGAAACGCTTTTGGCACCGGGTCTACCGATCATCCGCTACAGCAATTACAACTCTGCATTTTACGGGGTCCCTTGGTGACAGTTAAGCGCTTAATTTATTAGTTTACTGAAACAAAAGTGTAGTTTTTTAAAAAATGTAAAGCAACAAATGTGTGTTTCAGCTTTATTTAGTGTGACTGTGAAAAGAGGGAGTACTGCTCATGGAATCACAGAGAAGGCTACATCTCAGTCCATCACCAGCCAGCGTTATCAGAGGTCCACTAATGATCACACCAAATCAGCTCTCTTGGCTACCCCATTGCATTTTTACATAAATAATATAGACCAAAACATTATGAACATCTCAGCAACCTTCTTTTAAACAGAACAGAGGAGCCCTTTGACCTGTTGAGAAACGACTGCAGGACTCGTTCTCAAAGTGTCTTTTCTTTCTTTTATCCCCCAGTGAGCACATGGTCAGATTCCAAGCTGCTCTGGAAGGTCTCAATCCAGTTCAATGGGGCTGCTGTCTTCCTGTCCATCTTCCGTGTCATCCTCCTCCCCAGCTACCATCAGGCTGTTTAAAAGATTGCCTAGGATGGAAGTACAGGACAAGGGGAAAGTATCAAGAAGCGGCCATTTTCGAATGCCCAGTGGAAGGGCAAGTTCCCACATTCTGTTTGAGAGATAGGCTGAAATGACAGCTGTCACTTGGTTGTCTGCCAGGGTTGAGTAACCTGGTGACGAGACACTAGTGTTGTGTCAAACATGCAGCAGGAAACATTGGATTAGCTGACAGGTAGCTTTCTAGATTGAGGGACACTGCTATTTTTCTGACAAAATGCAGACTGCTGTAAGTAGGAAAACTGGTGTCAGTACACACAAGCCCTAAGCCCTGTAAGCTACAGTACTTCAGATGACAATGAGTGACAAGCACCCATCAGTCTCTTTTCATTTAGATTATCTTGTTTATCTATGGTGTTAAACTCACCTAATAGTCCTCCATAGGATGATGTTTGTTTGGGTGGGACACCAAAGAAGAGCTGTCCTATTCTGTCTAGATACTAAAAAAGCACAAGAAAGAGGGAATGTTATATTAATAATAATTTATTATTTATACCCCGCCCATCTGGCTGGGTTTCCCCAGCCACTCTGGGAAGCTCCCAACAGAATATTAAAAACGCGATAAAACATCAAACATTAAAAACTTCCCTAAACAGGGCTGCCTTCAGATGTCTTCTAAAAGTCAGATAGTTGTTTATTTCCTTGACATCTGATGGGAGGGCGTTCCACAGGGTGGGTGCCACTACCGAGAAGGCCCTCTGCCTGGTTCCCTGTAACCTCACTTCTTGCAGAGAGGGAACCACTAGAAGACCCTTGGAGCTGGACCTCAGTGTCTGAACGACAGGGGTGGAGACGCTCCTTCAGGTATATTGGGCTGAGGCCGCTTAGGGCTTTAAAGGTCAGCACCAACACTTTGAATTGTGCTCGGAAATGTACCGGGAGTCAATGTAGGTCTTTCAGGACCGGTGTTATACGGTCTCAGCAGCCACTTCCAGTCACCAGTCTAGCTGCCGCATTCTGGATTAGTTGTAGTTATTATTGTCGTTATTGCTGTCTCAATTCAGACACCACACAAAGCCATGGTTTGCATTTGTAGATCAGAATCCAAACCACAGCTCAGTCCTCCAAATGTACTACATATTAACCACTGTGGAAAGCTATTTTCAGTTTCCCACCACTCAGCTCCATTAAGTCCATTCCTTAGTCTATGACAATTCCCTAAAGGAGAATTAACGGCCATAACTATGGTGTATCAGTTTCGATACCCTGCCAAACTATCATTAAAGATCCTTAACCATGGTTTGATGTCCGACTGAACCACAATAATTCCTTCACAGGGAAAACCAATTAATTTCTAGCAACAGAATCACACCTGGTTTGCCTCTCCCCACCCCATTCCCTCCAGTCTCACGCTCACAGATTGCATTACTACTTTTTGGGTGCCGCATTGCAGGTGTGAGGCTTAGCTGCGAATGTCAAATACATGCAGTGCAGCCATGAACTTGCCAGATGACTTCAAGGCACACTGCTATTCTCTCAGCTTCAGCACCTCTATCTGCAATCTGGGGGATAGTAATATCAGCAGAGGCAGATTTAGGGGAGCACAACTGATTCGCCCGCAATGGGTGCCACAACAATGACTTAGAAAGCAAGAGGTGGAGGACACTGAGCTTTGGCATCATACAGGACGCCACTGAAATTTGAAAGCCCAAAGTCTGCCACTGATATCAGCCTACTTTACAGTATTAGTGATATGTGAGGTGCTTTGAACACTTGAAAGTCCCATGTAAGTATCACCCCCTCCTGAATTAGTCTCTACACACACACAGTGCTTTGTAACCCTGATTTAGGGGACACTGAAAGCAAGGTTGATCTGCATGCTATCCTTTAAGGCAGCCTCTCTAAATAGCAATCATCACCATCATAAAAACCACCTGTGGCCCTGCAGATGTTACCTACTGGCCATGCTGGCTGGGACTAATGGGTTTACAGTGGTACCTCAGGTTACAGACACTTCAGGTTACAGACTCCGCTAACTCAGAAATAGTACCTCGGGTTAAGAACTTTACTTCAGGATGAGAACAGAAATCGCACGGTGGTGCCGCAGCGGCAGCAGAAGGCCCATTAGCTAAAGTGGTACCTCGGGTTAAGAACAGTTTCAGGTTAAGAACAGACCTCCAGAACAAATTAAGTTCTTAACCCAAGGTACCACTGTATTTAGAACAACTACTTATATACTGCCTATAACACTCCATCTTAAGGCAGTGTACATGCTAACCAACAGCATCTGGGAATCCAAGGCTGGGCAAGGATGCGTTGAGCACTGCGCTCAGCAAATATGGAGAACAGGGCATTTTCAGTGGTGGGGCCTAGGCCCTGAATCTGTTTCCCTTGGGAGAACTGTTTAGCACCTTGCCCTGAAGCCGTCAAAAAGATGATGATTTATAAAATTTGTATACCACCCATCATCTGTAAATCTCAGGGTGGTTCATGAGATTGATAACATGGTTTTATTTCGAAGTGCTTTTATGCTGTCTGATTCCTAGAGTTTATGATGCGGCTGGTTTTTTTTTATAAACTAAGGTAAGTTGTTTCTGAATCCAATTTAATTGCACTGTTGCTGCTTTATTGTGTTGTGAAGTGCTCTGGGGGGCACATATGGGACTGAAAAGCACAGAAGCAAAATGAAAGTTTATAAAGGTGACCGTAAAGGAATTAAATTCCACCAATTTAAAAGTTAACTTACTTCATTATACATAGGATCCCTCTTCAATGAAGGTTGATACTGTTCACACAATACTGTAAATACTGTTAGTTTTCCTCTGAAAAAGAAGCAACAGAGAATGTAAAACCAGGCACAAGGGCAAAAAAAGACAGCATTGTGCTTTGCGGCTAAAAGAAAACCATACCCATCAACTGCCAGCAGCAGAAACCAAATGAAATTGAGCAATGGCTGTACAAAGGGAGGTCCTCTTTCTATGGAAGGATGCTTCTGTGTATAGGTCGTAAAAACCACTAATGCACTGCTTTTGTTCTTCAAGCACAGGAATCTGAAAAAAAGGAAACAGAATTTTTGAAGTTATGAATAACGTCAAAAGTTTAAAGAGGAGCTATGTACAATATCAGTGCTAGGACAAGAAGAGCTCAATGAGCTTAACACTCTTTATTGTTTCGTGCTCAGAGCATACCTGAAAATTTGCATATTAAGCAGGTCACCTTCACAGTAACCTCTGGCGTCACCGCTATTAATGTATTAGAGAAGGGAAATTAAGGTCGAGAGTGGAGTCTTGCGTTGGTGGTAGAATGCTGTCGCTTGGACTGGGTGCTTGTGGTTTAAAGTCCACCTCAGCTACATTCTCACTATTCTCTCATCTCAAGAGATACAGAAGGTAATAAAACTGACCTACCTCAAGGGTTTGCCCATGAGCACAGGGTTCACAGTCCTGCTCTCTGTCCCTGCTGGGGAATGTGTTGGTGAAGCAGCAGCAAGAAGGATTGAACCTTGCACATCTGTGGGTGTCACCCAGTGATGTCAGCTGACAAGTGGGTGTGTTTCTGGGGAAATGGCTTTGTGGGCCAATTTGGAACCCTGGGTGGGCCAAGATTAGTCTGTGGCGCAGAGCTTGTATACCTTTCTGCTCCTTTATTTATTTAATGGCTCACATTTGTATCCTGCCCTTCATCTAAAGATCACAGGGCGGTTCACAACATAAAAAAAAAAAAAGAGAACACCATATACAAAACAAAAGAAAACCAACAACAAACCAATAACCCATCCTTCCCTTATGGCTAAAAAAAGTTATCTGAGCAACCACACAAGCGTGTAAACAAATTAAGATCAAAACACATACTGTAACACTGCCTGAGCGACAAACATGTCCACTTCGCTGCGATAACCCCTGGATGAGGAATATTCTACCAACATGTTTGCACATCCTTCACCGTCTGTGGAGTGCAAGAAGTGATACCGAGATTCACAATAGTTTTGCTCTGGAAAAGAAGTTGAAAAAGAAAATCAGTTTGCTGTATATCTCTCTCTCTCCCTGTGTGTGTGTGAAATATGTATATAACAGTCTCAGTTTATATTGGCAAGGTGGAAGCCATTTTACTTTTCGAGAATATTGCAAGATTTGAACAAGCCAATAAAGAAAGTACATTATAGCATGCAACATGAAGGTTGGAATCCCAAGATATGAGTGAGGTTTATTATTATTTTAATTCAATATTCTGACGCAAAATATTCCATATTTTAAAAATGTTGCAAGAAACTGATAAGACAATAATGCAGTGGTAAGTTACTTCCTTGCACATTCAGAACAATAATAAAATAAAAGGTATCTTAAGAAATAGATGCAGATTTCAGCTGTTTTTGCTGTTGATGACATTGCCCTGATGGTCTTTGACCCAGAGACAAACCTGTTGGAGGTCATCAGGGAAATTGAAGCATTTGTTAAAATAGCCAGATTGACCATCAATAAAACTAATTCAGAGCTGCTATGTTTGAACGTCCCCTCAGAATTGCAAATAAGGTTACAATTCAAAACAGGCTTTAAACTTTGCCCACATCATATTAACTACCTGGAAATTAATATCACAAAATCCTATAGTACAGAGCCAACTTTCTGTTAATGGTGAAGAGTATAAAAAAAAGGGGGGGGGAGACCTTAAAACGTGGTCCAAGACATCCGTGTTGTGGATGGAGAGGGTAGCATCAGCCAAGATTATGATATTGCCAACGTTTTTATTTCTGTTCCAAACTTTGCCTATATGTACTGATACTCTTAAGAAATGGCAAAAAATGATTGTAAACTTTGCATACGACAGCAAAAGACCCAGACTGCACTTAACAGTGTTGTATCAACAATCTCAGAGGGAAGGGGCAGGGGCCTACCAAATCTGCAAAGATACCACGATGCTGCCCACATACAAAATGCCTTTGGCATGATGCACAACATAAAAGGAAAGGCATGGGTGCAAATGGAATTTGATAAAGCTATGCAACACAGAATCCCAAGCATACATTTTAAAATCCATAATAAAATTATTCTAGAAATGAATAATTGCAAAACCCATTCGCAAAAGCAGAAAATCTGGCAGTCTTGGATCTCCAAATTAGCCCCACCTATATCACCACTAATCCCATCCACATTGCACTTTTACTCACCTGAAGGAAACCTATTTGATGTAAAATGGAAAGGAAAGGGCTTATACAGACCAGGTAATCTCTACGAAAATGATAACATTCTTGGAGCAGAATAAATTATGGAAAGTTTGGGTGAGGTCAACAAATTTATTTCAAATCCAGAAGTTAATTCCCAAGCACCATTGAGACTTTTGGAAAAATTAGTTTTAAATGTGGCTGAGCATTCTAAAAAAACATTATATACTCAATGATCTTGCTGTTGGGCAACATTCAGCCACCAAACAACTTTGGGAAACAGACTTAGGCACTGAAATTGAAGAAGCTGACTAGAACAACCAATGGGCAAAAAGCCCTTTAAAATCGGTATCAACATGTGTAAGAGAAAACTCCTTTAAGTTCATTGACAAGTGGCATATGACTCTCTTAAGACATACATAGAACATCTTCACCTACATGCTGGGCAACTGGTAGAACATTCCACATTCCATGTGGAGGACATATGAACTAGTACAACCATTCTTGGAATCAGTATTTGCTGAAATAAGTAACAATCAGAAAGTATTGGGTAATGAAAGTTTGGGTCAATTAACAATGCTTAAGGAAGGGCAACTTGCTTCATTATATAACAAACTTACTACTTTTCTTCTGGTGGCGGCACAATTACTAATAGTGCAGGATTAGAAAGGACTTGAATATCTGCGTATCACACAATGGAGATAGGGCATACATTTTATTCGGATAAAAACTTAAGAAGAAGGTATATGCCTTGAACAATATGTATGATGTGGATGTTTTTATTGAAGTTTGGCAATCCTTCATAAAATACTCCGACCACGCATGTGGATTTATGGCAAAATCTTATACATTAATCTTCTGTTCCAGGGGAGGAGGGTAAAAATGGGGAAAACATCTTGTTCTGCCTATACATTGTTGAAAACTAGTAAGTAAAATTTTATTTATTTAAAAAAGTTTATTCCTTGCAGATCATAACAGGCTGGTGAAAGCAGACACTTTAAAATTATTAGCAACCACCATCAAAATAAGGACCACAAGAATGCCCTAGTTTTTAGAATTGTATGATTTTAAAATTCTAATTGATTTTGGTGGTTTTATCTGCTTAGCATCATTCTTGTGTTCATATTTTGTATACAAATTGCAATGGCTGGTGCTTTTATTTGGTCTGATAATTTTCCCTGCTTAGTTTTTTGCATTTTATACTCTGACTGCAAAGGCCAGTGACTGGTGAAAATAAAATACCTATCTCTCAATTGTAAGTTAATAATTAGTTCGCTATTTTAGATTTCCTAAAATTAATAGATGAATAAATCATTTTAAAATAATTCTTCTGAATTTTCCAGGTATCATTAAGAAGGAAATTAAAAAACCTAAAAAAAGGAAAGTGATTAATTAGATTGTTCCTAGCTAAGTATGTTTTTAATTGAGCATGCCTAATGGTCTTTGTTAATGAATTAACAAATGCCACTCTCTTGTCATTCTCATGTCTTCCCTTTCTTTTTCTTATGAAATCAATAAATTTAACCATATAGGCTACATCCCAGATTCTTAAAAGGCGTTTTTCAAAGGATGTTGGGTTGACCTTTCTCGAGTTGACAATTTGGCCACTGTCAGTAAATGTATTAACTATTATGTCTTTCAGGTAGCCTAGATGAATGATTAAGAGATCAACAGATGTCTCTTAACTGGTGTTATTTTCCATTTCACTTATTATCAGAACCAAATTTCTAATTTGAGGGCAAGCCCAAAATATAGTTTAAAAATGGGCATGATACCAGTTACATCTCCAACATTTATCTGTTGTGTTTTTGTATATTCTGCTTAGTTTTCATGAAGTTAAATATCTCCTGAAGAATAATTTATAAAGAAAAGAAAAAAAGATTCAAACGGAGTGTGAAATGTGGATTTTATTTCCATTTCCATGCTGTATGTGGAATATTGTCATTAACCTCACCTTCCCATCTACCTAGGAAGGGATGACTAATAGTATCTAAATTTGCTGAGATTTTACATAGCTGACCTATAGTGTCTCTGATTGTTAGTTAGTTAGTTAGTTAGTGCAGTCACTCAATGAGTTATGCTTAGCACTTATGGAGGTCACTACCTAACTTATTTGTAGAGACTAAAAATAATGGGAGGCGAGAGTTGCCAGTATCAGCAACTCTGTGTTAATACATTTTTCAACATATTTGCAATCTCAAATTAGACCATAGTCCTCTAATATTTTTAAATTCCCTAATACTTGTTTATCTGTCAGTTTCTCATTACAATAAACTGCAGTGTAAGGTGATGAGCCAGGTCTTGATCTATTTTTATAAGTATAGGAAATTTTAAATAGAGTGCTAAAACACGGATTAGATTGGATTTGAGCCAGATCTTCTCTAGTACATGTAGAAAGGTGTTTAATAGGTGTGGAAAATCTTTGTGCCGCCAGCCTGGTAGCTTTATCTAAAGTAAACCATGAGGTTAAGTGGTGCCACACAGCTCTGTAATCTTTCACAAAACACAGTAAGGTGCTACCCTATTTTCATTTAATTCACATAATGTTCTACTTTGTTTTTAAAGTTTCTAGTCCATATGAATGCACAGAAAGCCTGAGAGTCATTTCGGAGGGTTATCAGAGGTCAGAAATATGCAAGATCCCTGATCCGCCCTCCCTCTACATGCTCCACTCTACCCACCTGCCCCCTTCTCCCCACTCCCTTCATATTTCTAACAGGTCAAACAGTGGCTGATAAAATTTTGTTAGCGACAAACTATGAACCGAGTAAAAAAGAATTATGAATTTCCTTGAAACGCAGCTTGAATTTGTGTGGAGGGTGGAGACAGCAGCATAGAATATGAACAAACTTTGGTGAAGGGCTGCAGCTCAACGAAAGGACATCTGCTTTGTATGCAGAAGGTCCCAGGATCCATCCCTGGCAGTTTAAGGGAGGGCTGGGAATGTCCCCTGCCTGAAATCCAGGGCAACTGCTGCTAGTCAGTGTAGACAATACTGAGCTAGCTGGACCAATGGCCTGACTCAGTATATACCTGGTGGAACGCTCTGTCACAAGAGACTAGGGCCCTGCAGGACCTGACATCTTTCCGCAAGGCCTGCAAGACAGAGTTGTTCCACCAGGCCTTTGGTCAGGGCCCAGCCTGACTCCCTCCTCTGGGAACCTGCACAGAACTTTGCTTAACGGTTGCCATTAATTTGATTTTAATTAATTTTTATAATGAAATGTTTTAGAATGTTGGATTATTTGATGGTTTGATTATTTGTTTGTTGTTAGCCGCCCTGAGCCTGGCTTTGGCTGGGGAGGGCGGGATATAAATAAAATTTATTATTATTATTATTATTATTATTATTATTAGGCAGCCTCCTACGTTCCTAAAGCTGAATATTCTTTAAAAAAGAATATATGCTGTATTTTATAACATATGTACTACAATGTAGTAAGATACTGAAATACATTCATGTTAAAAGAAGTCTATTGAGCAGGTGTCAATACTGTATGGATATGATGGATCGGAGGCCTAAAAAAATCTAGAGACATGCTGCCAAGTTCCTAATTTATCTCTGTTGTGTTCATCCCAGACTTAAAAATAAAGCAGACACTGAACACACACTAATCCAAGTTGCCATAATCTCAAGCAATCGGGCCAGACCAGGTTTAGTATTTTACAAGCCAAGATCTTTCACTCCAGTCTGATAGGCTTCAAGGCTGAGCATTAAAACAAGACATTTAAAAGATGCAAGCTATGCTCTTGAGAGAACTATTTTAAGTATTCCCACCAGTCTGCATGTGCCAGTTGGGACATATAGACCCACCCTCAATTCGATAGCCCAGATCACTTTGGAGATCCCTCTCAGTTTCAGACGTGATTGGAAGTGCAGTATGGGAGCTGCTCTTCAAAGTCCCCTTTAGGGCATAGAACTCTTTTTAGATCTAGGCCACAGTGGCCTGGTACACCAGTCACAGTAAATCACAGTTCATGAACTTGCCTTTCCTGTTTGTCTCATTAGAGCACAGCGGAAGCAAACCACAATCCCTGGTCTCACATTATGTCCAAACCAGGTACTGTGGTCTGTTTCGCCCACTACAGATTGTAGTGCATTGGGAGCAAAACAAATGATTACCCTGAGCTTGTATGTAACGCTAAGCCATGGATCATGGTTTGTTTCTTCCTGGCATGAGCAGGGAGGAATAAATTGACTGGGTTCAGCATATTCATGGTAGAACATTACATGCAAACAAAGCCAGTATCTGGATCTTTTGAAGAGCAAGCAGCCAACCAACTTAATGGCCACTTACATTAACTGTTCCTACCTTTCCACAGCGTGATGGCTAGCAACTGGTGTAATTTTGGATGCCCAAGTTTTCCTGATCCGCCACTAGACCATTTCAGCGCCCTGGAAACAAAGGCCACTCTTTCAGGTGAATTTGGATCCATCAGGCTGAACACTTTGGCCAGGTTCTCTAGAAGCAACCACAACAAGCAACACTTAGCTGAACATTTTTTTAACGGCAACTGCATCCTTTTTGTTTAAACACAAAGGTCGTGTAAAATTACCAGAATATACTCAGTTAAAACGTCTTTAAAGCGTGAGTTTCTTTAGATAGAAATCAGCAAGGAACACCTAATTGACCTCTCCGCTGCAGTGCAAGGAGCCACACCCTTTCCTAATACGTGATGGCACGTCAGGGGGCAAGTTCCCTTGTTGAATGGCTTAACACAGATGTTCTGAATCTACCATAATTTCAGGCAGGTGAAGAGAATATCTTCCATCAGAGGATGCTGTCAAGGACCAAAGCCTGAAGATGGAGTTGGGTTGCAGGACACCAGGTAAGTTGCCAGGTTGGCAAGCTACAAAACTCTTTCTCTCCCGGCCTTCGTTCTGTCCACAAACCCCTGGATCAGTGGTCAACGTGGAAAAGACTCTCCAAAGGATTTCCAGACGGGCAGCTTGTGTGAAGAGCTATATCAACTGCATGCTTACCGAATCAGGCAGTCTGATAAGTAAAGGGCAAAAAGGTCGACCCGCAAGCAGTGAGCGCATCGCCAAGCAGACTGGAGAAGTGGCTGTCCATCAAAACGGCAGAGAGGTCAATTATTGTGCAGACATTACAGGTTGTGCCTGTGTTGGGGAGAGGATAGTGCCAAAGATCACGCTCCACCTACAAACAACTCTAGTTTACTCAGAACCATGGTCAGTTCATTATAATAGTTTATTTTTCAGTAACTTGGCATCAGTCGACGATAGGTCTAGCAGAGGCTTCTAGCCATGGTAGCTCATGTTTGGTGTTCAGAAGCAGCATCTCTCAGGTAAGTAAGGCAAAACAACAAAAAGCGAAGGATAGCTATCACCTTCACACACGGTTTGTAAGTTGTCAGAGCCACCTGGCTGGCCACTGATGGAAATAGTGATGGACTAGATCAGAACTGTTCTGGTCCAGGAAGACAATTCTTAAGTTCTCCCAACTCAGGGTGACAGAGGACCAAAACAAAAAAAAGGAATCAAAGCACTTGACGCTACTGCTTACACCTCAGAACTCTAGGTGCCCAACTATGAAACAAAAACCGAAGAAGCTCTTACCTAATAGCTCATCTGTAACTTTTGCATCTGATTTCTCTAGCGTCTCTAGAACTAGCATGGACAAATCAGCAGCGCTGTTTTGCTAGAAGATACAGAAGAAACAATACTGAATAGATTGAAGTAAACCATCAACATTAAGAGGGCAGGGTGGGGGGTGTATATGTCACAAATTATATATAAAAACCCCCCCACTTGGATTGTGTCATTAATGTTGCTTGGACTAATTTCCCCGAGAGTTCTGAACAGTTTTATTCAAACCAGCACAAATATGCTGGTGAAGGCTGCTATCTTTATATTCTATTTGTAGAGAGCTTTTGCAATAGTCTAAGAATCAATTATTTAGGGTGTGCTTATGTCTTACATAGGCTGCTGCTACCACTCATTCAACAATGCAACCATGAAGCCAGGCAGCTCTCCATTTTTCTAAACTTAAAAGGTTTCTCTCTAAGGCAGTAGGAGAAGTGGAAGAGCTGAGGCTGTGCACACTGTTGCATCAGATACTCTCTTCCAGCCTTCAAAGATTGGGGGGGGGGGAGGGAGAAAGGAAAGAGGGGCAATCTGAGCAGTTGTTCCAGAGTTGCCCTGTGCTATATATTAAAATACTTATTGTTTGGGCAATAATGATCCTCTCTCTTTCCTAACTTCAAAGGGCCGCTAAGAGAGAGACATAAGCACAGCAGATGCATTTGCCACCTCAGTGCTTTCCCAGAGTAACTGCTCATGCACCAGGTAAGCGCATAAGTAGCAGATTGTTAGGCTGCTTTAAAACTGCTGCAGTTGGCCACAACCCAGCATTCATCAGGGCATTCCCACCGCTATCTTTCAGTGTTCAATATTTATTACATTTACACCATTTTGAATGGGTCTTACTTGATTGTGACTGAAGAACAAGAGGGCCCCCGAATACATCAGTTCTCTAGCTTCCACATGTTTGCCCTGTGACATGTACCTGCACATGGGGGGAAAAAGAGTGAAAGGTATTCAGAATACAGCAGAAAGAGGCAAGCTAGCATATGTTTGAAAATGCTTTGTACTGAATGGATTTTTATCTTTTAAATCATGAGATGCCGCAGACTGCAGGAACAAACAAAAACTCATGGAAGGTGTTCAAGAGAAATGTATTTTGAATTGCCCCTCAATCTTAGGGGGCCAATTTACACAGGTACCCACCTAATGAGAGAATGTATGCATATGAGCATTCCTTGGTCTCAAAGAAGAAAGCAAACTCCCACCCCACTCAACCCTCCAAAAAACCAGACTGCTGCACAGTGTTCTTGGCATCCCACTGCGAATCCATATATTCCTGGCGAGGAGAGATGCTCCTCCTGCCCACCAACTGAGAAGACAAGAAAACTGACAGAGAGAAGACTGCGAAAATCGAAACAAAAAGCCAAACAACACCTAGTATGTAAATGAAGATTCACCACATGAATATGACAGCATTATTTAAGAACTGTTTTCCCACTGAGCTGCCACCCAGCTGTCTTTGGCAGCAGCACCAAGCCTTAAAAAGAAATATCTCATTTATTTTCTCTCCACAGTGCAGAAAGCCCCCTCCAGCCATGGCTTGTCAGTATTAGCCTCCGAGGAAATAGAACCTGCTCTCTTCTTCTGCAGGTCAATGTCTGCAGGAGGATGGAGGCGGCTATCTCTAATCCTGACCGAGTGGCCCCCCACAATCCCCTGTAGCCTTTTCCTTGCACTTTCAAAACCCACCACACCCTGCCACTGGTTCCAGCTTTCCTGAATTTGCCAAGCCCCTGCTGATTTCTAGACACCAGTGTTATGTGCACTACATTTACAATGAATCGGTCCTTCAGGCTGCTGCTTTCCCATCTAAAATCCCCAAGCAGGGTGTGGCATATGGCAAAGCAGCAGTTAACAGCAGCTGAAATAGACAGCCTCGGTAAATTTGGACAGGCAGTAAAAGTGTGACCAGATGGCAACGTGGGTTTGATACTTGCATGCCAAACCAGAATCTCAGGAAGATGGCATAGCAGGCAACCTCAAAATGCAGACACTTTTTTTGGGGGGGGGGCACATGTTCACTGTGTAGTAGCCCTTGTCATATGGGCTGCATGACCAAACAGATCCTATGCTCACTAACACCCGCATCATGGATGGGATGGAAATAGCAAATGATTAGCACCACACAGAGCAGCTGAAGCATGCAGACTGCAGGTGTTTACAGTGCACACATCTGTCTATCTTCGAAATTGCTGCACCCTAGGAAAGCTTCAGTACCAATGCTCCCGCCCTCAAAGATCAAAATCATATACCATATTAGCTCAAGCTATTCCATACATTCTAGGAAGTACCTTATTTCAGAACCTTTTCATTCAGTGTAGAGATTCACCCCAACTCCTTATAGCCTCCTTATAGGGCAGACAAAAAATTATGGGTATTTTCGGTGTAAAAAAGGGAGTTTTGGCAACCCCAAACATTCTCCAAAATATCCTGGGGTTGTGTTTGTGTTTTGCACTTTTTCTTACTGCCATTCTCTGCAATTGCTCAGCCACACTGTTGTTTTTTAAAGCCATTTTAAAACCACATTCTTCCTGCTAATCTCTGAACTAGCCAATTAAGGAACATGCAATCAGAATTATAACATCAGGGCACCATACAGCCAATCCTGAGATCACAAAGACAAATCAGAGAGGGTGATATTTACTCTGTTTTGCAGCCCCTGATTTATTGCCAAGATTGGGGATACAATTCACAAGGGGTAAATTGATTTGCAGTTCTACTCTAGTTTTGGTTCAGTCCGAATCAGATACAGTTCTCCTGAGTGCATCAAATTTTCTCTTTCTTTTTTTCTTTTGCAAAAACATAGGTTTCTAAATGGTACAGCTATATGTGAAAATAGGCCAGGAAATGGGCAATACTTAATGAAATCACAAAACCAGAAAAAGGCTCCTTGATTCCTTCCATAATTATCCGACAGTATTATGCAAAAATGGAAACAGATTTGTTTAATATGCTTACCTTGCAGAGGTCACCAAATCCCATTTTTCTTGGCACCGAATTTGTGCAGTGCCCAGTATCACAGCTCTGATCATGGTTTAATCATAACCTTGACTGTTTTACTAAGAGTCCAGACCATTATTTTCCACTGCTCTGGAGTATCGGCACTAACTAAGAACATCAAGCTGATGTTATGCTCCAATTAATAGCTCCCAGACTTTTTGTTTCATCAGTTATGTTTACAGAAATGACACAACATAAAACAAATGGATGAACTATAGAAGGAAAAGCTTGCACCTCTCAGGTTTTCTGGAATTATAAATAATATAGCAGAACTGTAATTAACTTTGCAACCATGCAGTTTGGAGAAGATACCATCCACAAGTTTGCTATGCAGCACCTGAAAGCACCCCAGACCACAGTGGTACAAAGAGGGCAGGTACTGCCCAAATCATCACAAGTACCGCATCAACATATTTCCAAACTTGTCACAATGAGATCTACTTTTTATCAATTTATCGTCGGCACAAACTCAAGGACATCCTTGAGACCTAACGTTCAGATGTTTATAATCTAACAAATCCAACAGCTTAGGTAAATATGCAGTGATAGGGGTGAGGAGGTACAGAAAACAAAACAAAAAACAATTTCAAACTCTTAACAGTTCACAGATGATTCTATGACGTCCTTACAATATGTACAATTGCCATTTCCTCTACAGTAGTTTTCACTAGCGTTTGAACTACTTAAACAGATACCCTTACACAACATCTGGGACATGAGCTTCTTTTGTGATCTTTCAAGCACTCTTGAGCCTTGCCCCACACTGCTGGCTTTCAACAGAATTCAAACTGTGCACTCAATGCCATCTAAAGCATCCTAAAACCTACCACTTCAGACCAGTTCACAAAGGACATTTCAAAGGTTTCTTGTATTGCTTGTCTATAAATAGAATTTAAAAGTGAACTAAGTACTTTTAACAAGCTCATTCAACTGCCTTGATCCAAATAAAAAGACTTGTGTGCCAAATAAATTTTGGCGTGTATATCTCAATCTTGATCAGAAAATGGAAGGCTATGTCTAGCATCAGTTGTCTATGCTCTTATTAGATTACACAAAGACAGTTAGGCTACCTTTGAATACAGTTTGGAAACTACAGGTAATGCAGAATTCAGCAGTCAGATTGCTGTCTGAGACCCAAAGGTCTGAGAATATTACACAGAAACTGGCCCAAATGCACTAGCTACCAATTAATTTCCATGCTCAATTCAAACTGCCATATGTGGCCAAGGACCCCAATACCACAAAGACCACCTTTCCCCACATGAACCAACCCTGACCCCTATAGTCTTCATCAGCAAAAACCTTTACTCAGGCCTTTAGTTGTTAAGCTAGCCTCTAGTGTGGTGTCATCTTGTGCATGTGGGGAGGAGTAGGACTTGTCCTCATTCTAATGTGGGATGAACATTTTAGGAATGTTGCATTGTACATTGGTTTCAATATTCTTGGCTTTTAATTGACTGTATTTAACTCTTTTATTTTATCTCATTAAATCACTTTGATACTTTTTTTTTCTATAAAGCAGCTAACAAACAACTTTAAATGTTATTGCAACTTGTTTGCTGAAAATCTCTTTACACCCAGGCTTCAGCATTCATTTTTTATAAAAATGTTATATATCCCCATATTTCTACAAGCTGCTCTCAGTGACAAATGATATATCAACCTTTTAAGGAATCCAACCTCATTTTATTTTCCATTTCAAATGAGCGGTTCAGTTGACTTGAATGTACTGCAGCATGGACCTATGTTTCAGAAATGACTTGATCAAGTGTCCCAATTTCTCAAATCTGCAAAAAGCTTTGTATTTGCAGGGTAAGAGAAATGGGCCTGAGGAAGAAAAAGACAAAAGCCAAGACATGCAATTATCAACCCTAACCTGAGAAAAGTAAAAACTTACACCATAATAAAATAAAAGGTAAAGGACCCCTGACAGTTAAGTCCAGTCGCGGACGACTCTGGGGTTGCGGCGCTCATCTCGCTTTACTGGCCGAGGGAGCCGACATTTGTCCACAGACAGTTTTTCTGGGTCATGTGGCCAGCATGACCAAGCTGCTTCTGACGAAACCAGAGCAGTGCACAGAAACAACGTTTACCTTCCCGCCGAAGCGGTACTTATTTATCTACTTGCACTTTCACATGCTTTCGAACTGCTAGGTTGGCAGGAGCTGGGACTGAGCAATAGGAGCTCACCCTGTCACAGAGATCTGAACCACCTACCTTCCAATTGGCAAGCCCTAGGCTCAGTGGTTTAGACCACAGCGCCACCCACTTAAATATTAAAATACTGTAGTTAATATTTAAGGTTCTACAACAGTCCAATGTTTTTGCTACAACGGAGTAGCACAACCAACCTCTCCAGAAGCTGTAACCTCAGAGAAAGGAACTAGCAGATAGTACAAACCCCTGTTCAACCATGATGTTCACTAGGCAGCCTTGGGCCAGATACTCTCTCAATCAAACCTCTCATGGGTTGTTTGTGGGGATTTAACTCAGGGATAGACCATGTGGGGTGCTCCAGACGTTCTGGACTATACAACTCCCACGGATAATGCTCACAACTGGCTTTTTGCAGACAAGTAAGATAATTTCTGCAATAGCTGGTGATTTGTAATTGTAATGGAAGCATAAATGCCCATGTTCCCAATATGCCTTGAATATATTTCCAAGTGCCATAGAAATATTTTCCCAATGCAAGTTATGCCTTATATTCAAATACTTCAATTTCTCTGATTTATACTGTATAAGGTTTTGTATCAAATGGGTAAGGAAATGAGACAAGAGGAAGGTAAAGAGGGAAACTGAGGTGCAATTATCAACTCCAACCTGAAAGTACAAAATACCAACTCAGTTAGCTTGAGTCAATGAGACCTTTGCCATTTTTCTACCCATCAATGCATTTACCATTGCCTCAAACTACTGCAATTACAACCAGACCTCTGGGGAAATATTTGATCTATGATAGTGCTTGACTCAGCTCACACATTAAAATATTTTCCCTCTTCTAGCTGCAAGACTCAAGGCAGCAATAACAATTTCCACTATGGCCACAAATTGAATCCCTTCTCCCACTCCTGATAAAGAACAAGGTTTCTTCTACTCTATACCTCTTGTCTGAAGTAATGGAACTTGGATGTAAATGCTTCCACCTTAACCTGTTTTACACCCTGACCTCAAATGCATCTGCTTATAATCCCAAATATCCTCTCCATTATCCCAGTACTTCAGGTTGACTGGGATACTGGCTGCACGTTAAAGATAACTAATCAAAAGATTATACTTACTCATTAACACTTTAGCTATCCTGTCATACACACTACAATGAATTTGTTCCAAGACTTTCTGTACAGGTAAAAGGATTTCTCCTGTACAGAATGCCTTATTTTAACTGTGCATCTTTACTTGCTGGCTTTGTTTAAATATGTTGCCATCTGCTGCAAGTTCTAAAGGTGAAGAGGTTAAGTAGTTCAACCATAGCTGTCAACTTTTCCCTTTTCTTGCGAGGAATCCTATTCAGAATAAGGGAATTTCCCTTTAAAAAAGGGAAACGTTGACAGCTATGAGGTCAATTGAAAAGAAAAAAACCTATAATCATGCTTATAATGAGAACCAAGTGTCGTGAAAAACCAATACCATTTATTTCCAACCAATACCAAGTGACTTACCTCCCTGCACCCTGCATTGCTAATCTTTTCCACCTGGTCTGGGAGGTTGGTGTCCTGACTGACTCCAGCTACCAAAGCTGAGGTTGCTGAACAGATTCCTGAGCTGCAGTATTGTTTAGGGGTTTTTGTTGCTGTTATTCATAATAATTTTTTGTATCTTTCTTCTTAGATCTTATAATGATTTATGTGGAAAGTCTTCAATTACGGTTGTGTATTTTTCAATGTATTTTATTTATCTGTTGTGGCTTATGTATCCTTTTGTTATGTTTGTAATTTTTTTAATCTTTTCATGTTGGTAAGCTGCCTTGACTATGGTTTTAACTATGGAAAGGAGGCATACAATTAAATGATGATGATGATGATGAAGTAGGTATACAAAGTATACAAAGTAAGTATACTTTGAAGGCTCCCAGAGTAACAGTTACATTGTGTCATAGATTTTGACAAGCTGAAGCCTGCTTGGTCAGATACATCTGATGAAGCAAGATCCAGCCTACAATAGCTTATGAAACAAGGCATTTCTGAATCTTAAAATAAACATAGCTTTCCCTTCTCAAATATCACTAAGATGCCTATCCACTTGCTGGATATAAAAGGTGGTTGTAAAATAACCAATGCCTTGCTAGATCAAAGAAGTCTATCTAGTTCAGCAATGTGTCAGCAGCACACTTTGTGCTCTCCCCACATAGTTCTCAGTGGTCGACTGCTTCTGAAAAATGGAAGCTCTATTTAGCAGTCAAGATTAGTGACTGAGAGCAACTACTTCCTATGAATTTGTTTAAGCCTTGTCAGAGCTACCCAAGTTGGTGGCTGTCCCAAAATTCTGTGGAATAGATTCTACTCATTAAGTGATGAATGAAGCAGCAATAGTTCCTTAATAACCTACCGCTAATTAAAATCACTGGCTGACAGTGAGTGTTGTACTAAGCAAGATTAAAGAGAAGTAGCTACATCACTTTGCTACAACAGAAGAAAATGCTAGAAAGACTGCTATTTCCAGTTACTGGTACTGCAAATGCTTACTGCACTTACCAGGTCTACATTTCAGCTTTGAACAGAAATGTCACGCAATGTATAACTCTTGCATTCCATGGTCTTTTCAACCCATTGTTTACTGTCCTTGCCGCCTCACCCCCCCAAAGCATGCCAAAATATATCTGCCAACTAAGGATAACCATGCATCTGACAAAGTGGGCACCAACTTACACATGAAAGCATTGGCACAATAAACCTATTAATCACTCTCTCACTGAATATATTACACAGGGCAATTTTAAATGCATTGAACAGCACTTCTGACCAGTTTGCACCGGATCTTGGAAGGCTGCAATTAAAGCACTACAGCCATATTTCCATTGCAGTAATTTAACACATATATTAAAACTCATAAAGCAAGATGAGCTGGCTTCCGCCCTTTTCAGCTGCTCTGACGTGAACCACATTGCATCAGGGCAGCAGAGGGTGGATAGCAAAGCTGTTTGCTTTAAGCCTGTAACATCTCTGTTTTGTAAGTATGTGTATTTGTTTTGTGGGTCTCTGCTTGCGTGCAGGAGACAGTGAGAGCAGTTCACTAGTGGAACGTTCTCCCTCGGGAGATCCTGGACTCTCCTTCCTTCGAGGCTTTTAAGCAGAGGTTGGATAGCCATCTGTCATGGATGCTTTAGCTGTGATTCCTGCATTGCAGGGGGCTGGACTAGATGGACCCTGGGGACCCCTTCCAACTCTACAATTCTCTGTTTCTATGGTGTGTGTGTGTCTGTATATAGCAAGCTTCAACATCTGTTTTGTAAGTATGCGTATATGCGGGGTTTGTGTGCGTGTATAGAGGAGCATCCATCCACCCACCTACCTACCTACAGGTACGTATACACATACAGACGACTCTAAATGCCTCACTCATTAACTCTGCCCCCCTTACTCTCCCTCCAGCTCTCTCCTGATCCGGAGTTTCGCATAGATGGGGAGACACACCGAGAGCCCCCTCCTCCCTCCCGCGAACCCCGCCCCTTTTCTCGACCAATAGAGCTTCGGCGAATCGAGAAAGGCAAGAGGCTCAGCCAATCGTATTGGGGAAAGGGCGGGGGCGTGCGCGCGGAGGACTACTGGTGCGCAATTAGAAGCGTCTGGAAAGAGGCGGGGCGAAGCGAGGAGTATATTCACGGCGGCGCGAGGGGGGAGGGGGGGCTATGTGTGAAACGAAGCGCGAGCGGCGCCCCGGCGTACCTGAAGAACAGCGTCCGGTACATCTGGTGTGCCTCGTAATAGTCCCCTTTCTCCACGCTGGCGCGGAGTTTGCCCTCGACGCGTTGGACGCCGCCCCGGTTCCGGCCGCTGACGGCGCTGCCGCCCTTCAAGGCCTCTTGCTCCGCCGCCATGACTGCGGGGCGGGGAGAAACGCCACACAAGACGGCCGGAGTTGCCTCACGCAGCGCGGCGCATGCGCGGCGGCCTTGCCGGCTTCCGTCGGCTCCGCCTAGTCAACAATGGGGAGGGTGGCGGCCGCCGAGGGACATGCGCACGCAAACGAGCCCCGCCCCCGGCGCCTCCGAGAGTGTGACGTCCGACGTGGCTCGGCGCGCGCCTCAGATGAGGGGGTGTAGGGCGCAGGGGGCGTTTCCAGTGGCGTTTCCATGACGACGTTGCCTGCAAGGGGGTTAGACGAGATGACCCTCGTGGTTCCTTCCAGGTCTATGATTCAATTCTCTCGCATGTCCCTCGAGCGCCTCTTCGGATTCCTGGAGGAGTTGTTGGATCAAGGTGGACCCGCTACCGCCTTTGGTGGGACTGATCTGGGGTGCAGCGGTTTTGGCGGAAGGCTTCTGGCGACATAAATAAGATCCTAAAAGAAAACATTTTACTCTTGCCAAAATTGGTTGTTGTTTTTTTTTGAAGGAAAGAATATCAAGATACAAAAATTAAAAGATTTGTTACACTGCCTTTTTTTTCTGCACGCCGACCGATTACCCAAAGATGGAAAACATTTTTAATTTAACACCACGTTATGGTGAAATAATATTTGGAATATTGCATTACGTGAGAAATTTTCCTAATCCTCGTTTTTGGAAAGGAACCACCTCTTTTGTCTGTTGGGATTTCACTGAATACATAAAAAAGAAAATTTACACTTTTCTCTTCCACAGCCCTAAGATAGGTAACATCTAACTGGCTGAACATTTTTCTTGACACAGTAGCCTTTTTTCCCTTGGTACTCCTTGTGTCTCTGATGGTTTCTTATTATAGGTTTAGGCTTAGGTTTCCGTATACTGTACCTCATTCTTTCGTTTGCTATGCCAGTACTCTTCAATTGTCTCTATCTTATTGCAATTATAGAGATAACCAGCTGTATCATTCTTTCTTGTGAATGTAACATCCCATGCCAGCCTTGGTTTGGTTTCGTTTTTATGCATTTGTTTTATGAAGTTTTATTTTGATACTTGGGCTATGTGGATCAAATTAAACAAAAATATATTCTGGACAACAGAGGTAGCCAGCACAACACCCCACCCCTCCTCACACATAAAATTTGTCTGAAGCTCCCTTGTGCTCTACCTATCTATCTAACACACCACTCTACAGAATATTAATCCAGAACTTATTTTAAGTAGAAAAGAGCAGTAAGGTAACTCCTTCCTATTCCCCATCTGCAGCAATGCTCTTCCAGTTTCTGACCCATTGGCTTTATTATTTAAAATATTTTAGACACTGAAAAGGCATGTAGGAGAATCTTGTAAAAGCTAAAATGTGGATGGAGTGCATGTTGGATGTGTGGGAAACCTCACAGCATTCATTCTATATTGACAATGTCAATCAAGAGCCAGTTTTTTTTTGGTTTTTTATATAAAAAAATAGATGGAGCTGCACGCAATTCATCCAAAACTGCTTCCGGTTTACAAGACATTGCTTCTTATTTGGGAAGTACCCAGGAAACATCTACCTTCATCAGTAATGACAGGCCATGGAAACTGAACCTGTTAAACTACCAACACAATTGAAATGAACAACATTGGTACTGGGTGTTTCTCTGTAAACAGACGTGGCTAAATTACTCTTAAAAAATGTGGCAGAAGAAACCACACCTGTCCTATCTGTTATACTCTGAACATGTTTCAAGCATACTATTTGTTTCCAACAGAGTCAGGTTTTTATAAGGGCAAGAAATTGCAAATCTCTTTCAGGCACAACTAAGCAATTTTTGTTCTCTTTCCTGCAGTTAGCAACCAAATTGCATATTTGCTCCCTCATTGGAACGCAACAATGTCAAGTTGATAGATATGCTTCATTAGTACACAACAGCTTTAAACTGTGACAAAAAACTTCCATACTAAAGCATTCTGAAAATGTTCCCCTGAATACATTTTTTTATTTACAGATGTTCAGGACCTGACTTGAACAGATTAATTAAAACAGATGTTTCATTTTGCATTAATGCTACTCCTCATTTCCAGAAAGAGGAGACAAGAGGACAAAGCTAGAAGAGCTGCAGGAGATCCATAACTGGATCTCCTGATGTTTCCTTCTCTCCAGTTCTTATTATGCAGCTGGGCAGGGTCCCAGCTTGTAGATCAATCACCAGTTCTCTTTTAATCTTTCCACTGCAATATTTCCTCAGTCTAGATAGCTCCTTCCCCAAAGCTGCTAGGCTAGGGAAGGCATACAGATGCCCAATCACTGATCTCACCTTGTGTGACTCCAATGAATCCTCACAAAGTATGTAATATGATACTGGGTACAGACTTAAGCACTGTGCAAAAACACTGCAAGGTTGTCATGAGGATAAAATGGAGGAGGGGGGATAGCTGTGCTTGAGCTCCTTGGAGCAAAACCAGGATATATTGCAGGTATTTAGTAGCAAACCAGTAGTAATTTAAGAAGTAAAAGCATTTCTTGAACTTTTATATAAAATTTAATTCTTGCATGGTTGTGTGTTTCCTTCACACAAGACACACACAGCAAATTCTACATGCCCTTGGATCTATAAAACGTGAACAAAAGTACCCCCATAATATACTTTCTGCATAATTTGGGGGAGGAAGGCAGAACATTTGGTGCAGAGATAGGCAAAGAGAACTAGAAGAAGAAAATGCCAGACTGAATTGGACCCAAGTCCTTCTAGTTTAGCGTTCTGAGTCTGGTAGCTGTTGTCAACCAGATTGCTCTGGAAAGGTCAGAGGTGGGGAATGAGTGACTGCTGCCCTATTTGTACCTGAAAGTCTGGTCATCAGAGGGACAGGCATTTGTAGATGGGGGTTACCTTTAACTATCAAGGCTAATAACCATTGAAAGATCCATCGTCTCCAAGTTTGCTGAATCCTTTCCAAGACTATTTATGTAGTAGCTTAAGTGGTGTGGCACATTGCTTTTCTATTAACATGCATAACTGTGCTGTGTGCTGGGCAGCAGTCATAAACCAGATTGTCCTGAAACAAGTCACTTTGCACTTAAATAAGATGACTGCCAGCTGCTTTTCAGCGGCGTTAAAAATCGCCAAGTTATTACAAGCATTCAGCATAAATACCAAAAGGGGAAAAAAAGAAAACTTTTATTACTTAGTTCCAAATATTACATGCACTTTCCAAAAGTTAAACTCTTAAAACATTTTCAATAGCTTCTTGTCAGTTTGGAGGCAGCAAAGGATACCAGAGACAAATATTTTGAAAAAAGCATTTACAAAAATACATTGCACAAAGTCCTATCTCACGTCTTTAAAAAATAAGTTAGTGTTATGCAAAATATTCCCCACCCCGTCAACTTCCCCCATTTGGATTTATACAGGATAATTCTGATTTATATATTTAACCTACAGTTTATGTAACAGCTGTACAGGTTTTAACAAGCTCTTCTCAATAGGCCATTGGTTCTATTTCTAGCTGAACTTAGGCGAGCAAATGGTCTTCTGGAAATAAAACTCTCTATAAATATTTGAGGACTCTTTGTGCAACATACATTAACTCTCCATTTTGTCGTTCCCAAAAGAACAATTATTATAAACTCTCCAAAAAAGCAAAACGTAAGGTAAGATTTTCACACACCACCACTTTCAGGAATCTTTTTCCTAAGGAAGGTTTCTAATAATAATTCCAATTTAAAAGATGTCAAGTTGTCGGGGCATGTAACAAGTTCCATGTGTAACAAGAGCTCTAGGAAAACTTCATTTTCTGTCCTGAAGTTTATAACCATGTTATTGTGTGGGTGTTTTTTTAAAAAACAGTTGCTTTGGGAGAAGTGGTGTCAAAACTTTGCCCCTGAGGTTTCAACAACATTCAATCTTGTGAAGTTTCCTCTGGCTTTCCAGAGATTAGCAGCAACCCCAGAATACCCAGTGAGGCTTGGGATATTTAACTGCACAAAAGAGAATGTATGAGTAAGCCCCAGGGATGAAACATGGTTGCAGGTTACCTCATCTGAGGTTTAGCATTTCTGGCATCATCCTTTTAATTCTGGTTCCACTTCCACTTCCTTATAATTTCCCATCTTTCAGCATCTACTCTTGTAAGCCATTCTAATTCAATCCTGTTCAGGCCATTTCTTACTGATGAGATCTCTTCCTCCTTTATTCAGCATATACTTCTGTTGATATTACGCTGAAAAGCTTGGCCAAATTTGTACTTAGCACTCATGGAAACCTTCTAATTCATTCAACTGCTATTAGCTACTGTAACCATCAACTTGCTTAAAAGGAAAGTTATTAAAAAATCAAAATTTAAACCCATTTATGTTTAAAACACCTGTTAATGATGCTTTTTTCTTTTGTTTTTCCAGTTTGGTTACCAGTCTGAATAGACTTCTGGCTCTATCCCTTTCCTATCTGTAACATTAAAACATAATATATTCTTACCAAATGTGTCTTTTAGCAAGATGTTCTTAGACAATTCCAGATGAAATCAGAACCTTTCCCTCAAAAACACAACACTGGTGTCAAATCCTGCTGAGAATTTAAAGTATGTGAAGTGGCACCAGGTCTGGGAGGTTGTGGCCAAAAGGCAATGCAGCAACTACTGGTGCCACACAGTCTCCATCCCTTAAAGAGTGCTGGAACCACATGCAAGCCCTGTCAAAGTGACTGGAAACTATTTAACTGCAGAACATGGTAGACTGCATCCACGGTCCTTTTTTTAAAAATCATATACGTGGGGAAGGTGAGCCCCCACAATGAAAACAGATTCCTAGCTGCCAAAAAAAGAAGTTTTAAAAAGCTTATATTGCAAAGTAATAAAATAGATATTTACTAGCTTGTTAACTGAGTTTTGCAAATGAGAGCGGTTGGCATGCAATATTTTTCTTAGAATGAACACGTTAAAAATATAAAGCTGTCTGGAAGGTACAAGCTGAGCATCCGAGCAAATAACCATTTGGTTTGATATACAATTCTGTTGGCAGTCTTCTATACTTAGCCAAGAACTTGGAACCTGCAGCCCATCACGTATCTTTTAAGAATTCCAGTGTTCCAGGCTTTCCCTTTATATACATATAAACAGAAAAAATATACATCAAGAAGTAGGAAAGGGTACATAGGATTCATTCAGCAGGTCTCCCATGCACTCTAAACCGATAGAGGCAAGTGTACTCTGTATGGCCCCAGTTAGAAAAAATTCTTAGCTCCACTATCTGGAATGGTTTTTCAGTTGTCTCCTAAAAAAATAAAGAACGAGGAAGAAGTTAGAACTTAGCAGATAACTTATTTTAAAAGTAATTTGTCTGTAGAATAAATTATATTGTTATAAATGTTAAATGCTATGAATTCAGTCCAACCCTTGTTAACCACATAACTCACACCAGTTATTTCTTATTGCAATAAGTTGGGTGCTTATGGTTGTACCCAAAACCTACTCATAGCAGACTCAATGAAATTAATGGACAGAAGTTAGGGTGGTATGCAGTGCTAGTCCTACACAGAGTAGACCTACTGAAGTTAGTGGATGTGAATAACTTAGGTTTATTAATTTCAGTGGGTCTCTTCTCAGCAGGACCTAGCAACCCTTAGTCATGTTCATTAACTTCAATGGGTTTACTTTGAGCAGGACCAGTATTGGACACAACCATTAGCCTTTCGGTATTTTGTCCTTAAAAGAAGCAGGATTACAATGTTGTATCTATAACTGTTGCTACAGCTTCCTTTGCATTCAACTTTACATGCACTATTGCAGTCAAAATAGGTAAAAAATCCGTCAAGCCCATGCAAAAAGGCAGGGCCAACAGTTCACAGATCAATTTATGTGATATTAGAGGAGGGGAGAATTTGCAGTTAGGGGAATTTGAAATGCAAATTTCCTCCAGTTTGGAAAGCCTTGTGCTACTTTAAGATTTCTGTGAATGAGCAGTAATTATGCTAGTAAAACTCTCTGTGGGCTTATATGCAAGACTGGAGCAAACCAAACTTTCATATTTTATTTGTCACATGCATGATCTAGCTTCTTTGCTTTACAGGAGCAAATCCAAACCTAATACTATTTGCATTCATGTCAATGCCTCCAAGAGTGTAAAAAAGAAGAAGCCTAAAGGCAGATAGGCTTTGTACTAATTTTGACATACCGTTACTTGAAACATCTGTAATGGCTCTCCATCTTGATCATAAATATATTGCCCAAGAAGTATGCCCTCTTGTTCATACTCACTTTCAAGACCCTGCCAACACAAATGTTTAATATTATTCTGAGTTCTCACCAGAGAAGGTAACTATAAGATTCAGTTTTAATTTCAACCTCTCTCAGTCCCTATAAAAAGACAAGATCACAATAAAAGCAGGTAGGACACACAACATATCCCACACACACCCTGAATATTTTTAGGATATGAAAAATATGAATTTACTACTTGGATTTCTACAAAGACCACCACAAAGTCTCAGGATAATTGCAATGTAAAATACTAGAAATGGCTGAAATGTGGTCTGTATGCAAGAGTAACTTTTATAAACCGTCACATCTTGACTTTCTATTTTAATTTTAACACAAAATATTAAGTTGAAAGTGTGATCTCCTGGTCTTTTCATTTCTTTGTTTTACTGAAAATTCTTTTATGTTATCTATCTGGGTACACTGAAAAGCTAATTAGAACAGTCTGTTCTTACAGCTGCTTGTACAGATGTCAAATACAGTTCCCAAGGGAAGAGTTTTGAAGCAAGCACATCCGGGGCAGGTTAGGTGATAAATCAATATACTGAGGTATTCAAAGTCCTTTTCCTTTGATCCTCCTTTTATAAGAATTGCAAAATAAATAAATTTGAGGAAAATCACCCTAATCTATTTTGTCAAAAATAAAGCTTACATATACTGAAAAATCCTTTGGAGCACTGGTAATATTGCCTGTTGGTGAAAGTGTTTTTGGTATGTGTTCCAGGGTGAAGGCTGTAGGGTAGATCATCATGGAAAGCCTGACAACCAGATATCCCTGTGATCCTTTGAAAGCCCAGCAGTTTCCAGGATACATGTCAGGCTTAAGGGAAGAAATAAAAAAAAGTTACAGTTCCATTCATAAGTTTAAAAATAACAAGAGATCTGACATTATAATGTGGACAAAGCATACACTGAGAAATTGCATAATTTCCTTAGATGGTGCGTATCCTTTAAGTCATGTAGCTCAGCAGCTCAAAATTATAATAACTAAAGTACAGCAACATAATAACGCTGTGTGGCATCATCATAAAAAATGTGAAGCAATTATAATCTGAAATAGCTTCCTTTAAGAAACCTTTAAGCAACTTTTGTTGCATAATTCAGTGGTTTTAAAACTTTCTGCACTGTTTTATCTGTTTTGGGAAATCTACCTATTGTAGGGGATTTGAGTGACATGTTTGAGGCCTGTTTGGTTTCACCATCACCTTCTCTAAACTTACTGTGCCTCCTAAAATAATTATGAGCTGACCTTAGTTTGGTGTGATCTGTCTCTTTGTTTTGTTTTTAAGCTAGAATCCCCACAGTCTACTTGTATATTTTATAGTTACAAAGCAAGAGGTATGACTGATCTGCATTGTCACCCTAAATGTGCTCTCTTTTTAAAGGACTGGATCAGGCTTTCTAGTCCAGCATTCTGGGGGGGGGGGGGCACACCTCAGGAGCCAACAAGCCATGTTCTGCCTTTTATCCAGACCTGTTGCATACTCAATACCCCTGTACATGAACACTGCAGAAGGTGCTTATTGGTGGGCAAGCAGTTTTTCAGGGAAGTTTATTACCGATCTTCTCACTGAACACCCTGAGAAGCCACAGGCTTCCTGTGTACACAATTTGAAAACTACTGGTGTTTTTTTTACAATCTAGTGCATAAAAAATTATGAAATAGCTAATAAAAGAAGCTCAGTGTTGGGTCAGTGACAACTGTCCTGGCTGTATAAGGGCATACACCCCTACGGAACAGCCCTATACTTCAAGAATGTGCACACACGGGATATACTAGACATCAGAATTCATGACTGTAACATCGTTTCAGAAAGCCGGTCAACATTTGGGTTCTGAAGAGTGCACAAATTTAGCTGCAAAGCATCTCAGTGGTAAGGAACTGAGCAACAGTCAACATATAAATGCACCTTCATCGAATTCTTGCCAGAGATTCTGGAAGAAAAGCTAACAAGAGATGGAAACTAAGTGATAGCAAGGTTAGCTCATCTAATATTGGCACAAAATTCATTCCTATTCCATGAGCAAAGAAAGAAGCTGATGCCAGGATGCCAACAAGATGTGAGGAAGCCAAGATACTGCTGTACTAAGCAGAAATGACCTTACCTGTTGACACAGAAACCCTTCTGGACAAAAGTCCTGAGCAAGTTATGCCTTTAAGAGGAAAAATATGTTTCCCAAGTGTTTTAAAAGTCACTAGCCTTTTAATTACCTGGATCACCACGCGAGGAGATTGAGAGAAGTACCACAAAGGAATTCCAAAGAGACTAATTAGAGCTGTTTTGGTTTCGTACGTCTCTGAACAGCGAGTACTCAAAATACTGCCACCTTGAAGAAACAAGGAAACTATTCAGGTTTGTTAATAAGACAGTGCAGACTTACTCTGCGTGTGCCTCTTCATTCTTTTTAAATACTAAAACCTTGTGCTACTTAATGCAGCCGTTTTCAACCCTTGGCAGCCAACTATGCTTTGGGGGACTACAGACAAGGCAGCCAGCACAAACTCTAGCTGCTGGACAGCAGTCTGTTTTCTCCTTTATAAAGAACAGCCTCACCTTCCTTGCTCTAATAATCTAGAGTCCAAGGGCTGGTGGTGCAGATGGAGCTGGCTCTTCTGCTCTTAGCTGTGGTTGAGCAATTAGGAGCTAGCTTTTCAAATATGTGCTCCCCCTTCTCCCACCTCTTCCCCTCTTGGCAGTGAATTATTTACATTCCCACCACCTGAACACATGGCAAAAATATCTATGCCAATCTTATTTTTTAAAAATAATTCTTAAAAGCAAATTTAACAAATAAAAAGGAAAACGAAGGAAAAAAGTGAAGGAAAAACAAAACCCACTGTTGGCTCATATTTAGGATACAATAATCATCTGTATATCCTTCTTAAATTAACCATATATATTGATATAAGCCACCCAGATGTCCAAACAGGTATCTACACAAGATGGATTTTTATGGGAAATAAGTTCAACTTTAACAAGAGCAGTGCTAATCTCAACCATGACTCCTGCTGACTAGGGTTCCTTTCTAAACCAGGTAGAAAGAGGTTTTCAGGTTGGAGAATTTTAGCTTTCCTAGTGATTGATTTAAAGCACATTTCTAGATTCCTATAACTGCAGAGTCAAGAGTAAATTGTTCTTTCCTCAATGCAACTAGCTGTTAATCTCCTGGGGTGCCCAGGCCATATTTCCCAAGCTGTCTCCACCCACTTCTCTTATGTCTGAGCCTCTTACACACAAACTCTATTAGTCTCTGAGCTAAAGCCTGTTATGGGATGAAGTATTCTATATTTATTTATTTTGGGGATTTATACCCCAGCCTTTTGACAAGTGCCCTGAAGGCAGCTTACAAAACAAATCCATTTAAAATCAAGCAAAACTGGCACTGAAAACTACAAAATGAAACAAAAGTAGTAGCAAGTTCTAATTAGTATAATGCTGTAGCACTCAAGGAGGGTATGAAGCTGAGTGAGAAGTGTGGTCTGGGGGAAAGATGGTAGAGGGTAAGGAGGAGTTATGCCCTGGTGTGAGCCCCAAGGGCCAGAAAGAGAAGCCTGGAATGCTGCATTTGCCCCACCCCCCAGGCCTAAGGTTCCTACCTGCTATTTTAGCTGGTAGTCAAATACACGCAGGGAAAAAGTTAAAGGGTTTGGGGGCCACAACTGGAAAGGCTTCTAGAGCCAGCAAAACTTCTGCAGAACTTGCTATCTGTAATAAAGATCAGCTCAAAATGTTTAAACTATTTAAATGGTTGCTCAACACCTCTGGTGTAAGACAGGCAATATCCCCTCAGAACTTACCTCCAGATTCCAAGGCAAAGTCAACCATGCCAGTCTTGTCTTGTGAAAAGAGTTTCAGTGCGTTATTGACAATAATGCGTGCTTGCTGCAAATATACATAAGAGGAATATGAGAAATTGAGAGTAAGCACTGTATTTCAGCATTCTGACACACTGATGTCAAGTTGTGCTTTTGCCATAGAATTGTTTTATACAGCGTTCTCATATATAGATATAGATATATAGCTATAGTATCCCAAAAAATGTCACTCTGAATTAAGAAAAAGTTCATGCAACCAGTGTAAGAATGTAAACAGAGGATGCCTGTTGGTATTCTAAAGCAGTGACACTACCTGTTCCTAAGGCCTACCAACTGTATTCCCAGTGGAGGTGGGACAAAGAGGGCCTTCAAGGCCAATTTTAACTTTAAGGCTTGGGCAAACTAGTCTTTGAAGCAACATATGGGCAAATCTGGTTTCTGATGTGACAAAGCCTCAGGCGATTAACAGTTTTAAAGGTCAATGCCAGAACTATGAACTGAGTTAGTGTTCAATAGTACAAATTGTACTCCTGAGCAGTAACCAATACAGTCAATATGGATGTGCTGTCCTCTTTATGAAACACCATTCAGAATGAATGGGACTGGTTTTCCTTTTTATGGCTGGAATTTTATTGATGTTTCTCTGGCTGCATTTTTAATTTTTAAGCAGTCCAATCTGACAATTTGATTTTTAAATTATGTTTGTGTTTGTTACATTACCTTGATTACATTATTTAATTTTGTTGCATATCTACCTTGAATGCCACTCTTACTGGTAGAAAATATGGTATGTAAATTTCAAATAAATGTTTCATCAGGATTTATTTTATATGCCTATTATTTTTTATTTCCAGCTTTATAACCCAGCAAGCCCTGAAGACATCACCTTCTCAGAACTGCACATAGACACTAGCCTAGAAATTTGTGTTGGGTAATAATTATCTGCAAATGACTAGATAAGGAAAGCTTTAATGAAGAAGAAAGAAGAGAAAGAACAACTTCTGCAAAGGCCAGACATGATTAACATGGGCAGAGGTCTACAAAATTAGGACTGGTGTTGGTAGCAAAGCATTTGTTTCTACAAGCCAGCTGCAAAGTTATTCCCAGCACGAAATCACAGTCAGTGGCTTGGATCCCATGTTATTGGAAGTGAATCTTTGCTTACGGGGTGCTTCTAGTGGATGAAAGTTGGGAACAATGGCATAGGGAGAGAGAGGCAATTTTGTTGAAACTTCCTTTCTCCTGCAGTGCCCTGAAGATCTGCTCATGAATGTTGCAGGATCCTTCAGAACAGAATGAGGTATGGCACAGAGAGAAAGAGGAATCACTGAAAAATGGCCTCCTTCACTTCTGCCAGTGTGAGCTTCCACAAGTTCATACACCCTTCCATTCATGGAAGAGTAACTCTGGATCCAAGGTATCATCATCTAATGACACTGATGAAATTATAATTTCAAATACTGGAGCAAGACTAACATTTCGTTCTGGCTCAGTGAGGAACAAAGAACTCACATTAAAGTCAATTCACAAACTGTACTTAACACCACATAACTATTTTACACGAGCACTGGTTCCTTGCCAAAATGTTGGAGGGGATGCCAAACCCTTGAGATGTGCTTTCATTTATGGTGGGATTGCCCAAATGCTTTGGGGATGCAGTACTCTATGAAACTGGAACTATCATAAAATGCCAGGATACACCTTCTCCACACCTGGCACTCCTTAAAGACACTACAATGTACAGCGAGCAATTAGCTGGACACTTTCTTATTGCAGCATGATTCAGAATTTTGCAATTGTGAACAGACTTGGCAGGAGTTAATCTGGATTCTTCGTATGGAAAGGTATGGGACACTGCATTATTTAAAAAGCTGACATTCAAAATAAGAGTCCTTAGAGGCCAAAGTAAAAAAGCTAACATTTCAAAATCATACCACACTAAATTAAATGTATGTTAATAGACAAAAACATGGACTGTCTCCATCTCCATCTTTTTTATCATTTATCTAAAATATTGCTCACATCTTTCTCCTGAAAAACATTTGTAGTTAAAGACGAATTGCACTTACTGTCTTAAAAATGAAATGCACAGAAACTTAAGCATAAGTTTAATGAAGCTGTTTCACAAAAGTGCAATCTAGAGTTTTAGTGGAAATGTACAATATTTTTCGTCTTACTTACCGCTTCTGTGATGCCTGAAATCCCAGCCTCATTCACAACGCTCGTTACTACCTCTGAAGTTGACTTTGTATTTGCGACAGACATGTGGAGAGTTATGTTCTTGAGGATCTGCAACTCCAGATCTTGTAACAAATTTTGCAAGTCGCTCTTGCTCACAAATTTGGATGTTAGCCACTGAAGCAGTGATTCTGGCAAGTCTCCTTGTTGGTTGCCAAAAAGCATGATCTTGACTGATTCTTTAACTTGGGCATCTACCTAGAAACATATCATATGGCAAGTTATATCACTGGCTTTGGATCACTTTCCAAATAGAATAGTGGTTCTCTTAACACACATACTTATTTTAGTTTCCTGCTATTCCCAACAATCAGACTGCTGTAACATAAAAGTTGAGGTTCTTCAACATTATGTTTTAATACACTGTTAGGGAACAAACCATATTCCCTCTGTCATAGTCATTCATGTTAACTATTCAAAGGAAATAAGTCAGAAATTCCACTGGGTTTCTGTAAACCCCTTCTGTGGGACTAATCTGCTCTTTGGATCCCAGCTCTACAGCCTTTAATCCATTTACCATGATCTTCAAATGGAATGACAGGGATAGCCAAAAGAAAATTCTAAAGAACTATAAGCTAGTGCCTCCCCACAGAAATTGAGTAGGCCAGCCTCCTGCTTGTAGACAGTCCTGTAAAGTCCTGAAACCAATTGCATCTTATGGTATTGTATTTTGAGTAAGCTAAACAGACACAACCATATGCTTCTCAGCAAATCAATCCCCCCAGGAATCTTGCCTTGGACACAAAATGCTTTGTCAGAACTGGGTGCACAAATACAACATATTAAACTTCATTCAGGGAAGTCTCCTTTTGAACTTACCTTTTCATGAAGGGTATCCATTCTGTCACAGCAAGTTTTCAAACCCTGTGAACTTAGCAGTTCTGATTTCATGTGACCTAACTCAAGTTCTAGGTGTTTAATCTTGGATAACAGATGCTTGTTTTGTTCATCAGTGTCACTGACAGCACAGAAAGATAATAAAAGACAAAGTTCAAATATCAGAACTATTAGGAACAGATCTAGTAACAGTCAACAAAACATTACGCTGAAGTAAAACAAAATGAACAAGTTTTTGGCAGAGAGATGTGTTCTCCATGCATGCAAGAACATATTTGATGTGATAAACATGTTCCCTCTACTCCACTATGAACAAGATAAAAAAGCAGCAATGGAGATGAAGGTATGAACCATTCACACTTAGCTTATTATTCATTTGGGGAAATGTTCAAAGCCACCCAAAGTTCATACAACTCTTTGGAAATTTCTATACAATTCACAGCATTTTGTTGAATTTGCTACTATACGTAGACATGAAACAGACATTAAATTCCAATTGTTGTTTTAAAGTAGCTTGGTGGGGTGAAAATGCTGAATTCCATTACTGCATAGTTTCAGCACAAAGCAGCAGTAAGCTAATCAGCAAACAAACTGAATTTTGAAACTTTAAAATCAATTTTCTGGGCATATGGTTTAAGCCAGTGTAAAACAAGTATAGAATTAAAACAAGTCACCAGAAAGAAAATAAATTCTGAGTTGGTGGAATGACAGAATGATATTCCAGACTTATAGCAAGTTTTAGAATGTAATTTCAAGATGCAGTATAGTGACAACAAAGGCCAAACATTCAGTAGCTAAAGCCACCCCCCTTATAGACCCACCCACCCATTTTTAATTCAGAGGTGTTAAAAGAAGAACAGTTATTATCTGTTTACAGGCTAGTTTTAACTGCTTAGTAGCAAGGAGCTAGCTGCAGCCATACCTCATTCTTTGTGCTTTGGTTAGCTCAAGTTCCTTTTGAAGGCCCTGAAAAATAACAAAATGATTAAATTCACATGGAACCTCCTTATTCTGAACTACAGAAGAGATGCTGTGAAGAAAAGATTCCCAGACAACAGAAACTTGGACTTGGAAAAAGTAGAGGATGAGGAACCAATTTGCATACTTTCTAAACTTATTCATTCTGCATTCTGATAGCAATTTTGACATATTCATGCCATGGTGGAATGGGGGCGGGTGAGAGAAAGTGGCAGAGGCACTGGACTCCAATTGGGACTGCATGTGACTTGGGGAAGAAAATTGCTCATAAACTACTCGGTGGTGGTAGTTATTGTAATCCAGCTCTTATCCATTAACTCAACATATGGCTATGGGGGAAGGGAGTGCATCACAAGAAAGGAAGGCACAATCCTTCTTCCAGAGAAGAAGCAGAAACATTACCTGACATATGGAGATCCACATAACACTCTGGATCCCAAGACTGCACTTGAGGTTACTAATCGTATTTTCACTAGGGCCTCTTTGCAAGTGAAAAATCCTTTCCTCTTTTTGTCTGATGTTTATCCAGAATAAATCTTGTTTGGTCAAACCAACTGTCTTTCATTATCCCAGCACATATCTTATTTTTTAATGCTTAACTGCAATTTTTAAAAAAATATTTCTTAATGCTGGAAAAATCTATCTGCCTTCCAAATTTGAAAATTCTGGTTCTCACAACATATTATACATTTGGCACACTTTTGGCCTTATGAGCAACTCGTGGTATTTATCCTCACAACCATCCTGAGAAGCTGGTTTGATTGAGAGATTGAGAAAATGCCAAGGGGTATCCCCAGTGAGATTTTTAGACAATTGGAACCTAAACTTCCCACATCCAAGCCCAGCATAATAGCCATTAAACTACCACTTTGTGACCAAATACATCTCTTCCCATCTAGGCAAGCAAGAGGCATTACCAAAGTTCAAGGAGACATTCTGGCCAGATGACCAATTGGAGGAGGGTTTGCAACAGCATTAGTTCTAGGAGATAATCTCCAAAAATAGAGATGCCTGGACACTCACATTTGGCTCCCTGACCTGAGGTTCCACACTCATGAGGTGACAGATTTCTCTTTGTCTTCTTCCCCTTCCCTAAGCATATTTGCTTGAAAGCAACCTGTGGATTTCGCTGGGACTTACTTCCAATCAAGTATTCTTAAAATTACAGCCTTTGCTACTGAAAGAAACTCTTAAAGCAAGTCTATCATTCTTTTCATTACCTCTGATTTTTGTGAGAGCTTTGCAAGGAGATCTTCTAAAGCTACAATGCGCCATTCATGTTCTTGATGCAAGGTCAGAAAGTCACGCTTTAAAGATAAAAGAGAATAGTAAGTTTTGAAGCTTATTGCTCACAAGATCCCTCCCATATTTAAATATTGTATGGATTTTAACCACACAACCCAAAATAATATCTGTTTATCCTGAAGCCATATTTAAGTACAATGACCGTATGAGAGCTATTTAATGCAGTTTGAAAAGGTAAAGAAGTAAAATTGTATCATTTTAAAATCCATTCATGAAAAGCATATTTTCTTCCTTTAAGAGACAGTTATTCAACTCTTAAGCTAATCATAGGAACGTGTGCATGTTGGGCTTTATATCAAATAATGCATTTTTAATGTTACCACCTTCAGCTTAAGCATATGCATTTGGCTGAATGGAATTACAATGAAATGCTTCCAGTGAGAATGACTATAATGCAGTTTGCTAAACTATTATCATGTGCAAGCTGAAAACACTTGTATCCCACCCACACAAGCTCTCATTTCCCATGTCAGTTCTAAACAGCCTCCTACAACAGAAGTATTATTGAGTATTTGAATGACAAGTCTGTAATGATCACATTAAAACTCCCAAGTTTTAAGAAACAGTTCCAAACAAATTACCGCTGGGTGTAGTGTTTCATCAGGTTTCATTTCTTTAATATGCTGGCCCACCACATTTTTAATGAGTGTCAGCATTTCACTTTTGTCATTCATCTGGGTAACTTGATCTTGAAGGCTTTGCAAGAGAAGTAGCATTTTACTATATTCTTCATCCCGATGATGCCATCTCTTAGATATAAAGGCCATTTTCTTTTCCAGCTCTATCACACGATCTGCATCAAATACCTTCATAGTTTCCTATAATTTTAAGGGTATTTATTCATTTATACTCCAGCTCTGTTCTAAAACATTCATAGTGGTTTACAATAACAAAATAGCTCACAACTGCAACAAATTACAGTTGTAAAACAAAACAAAAACCCTTAAAACAAGTTAGAGAAGCAGACTAAAGTAGCAGCTGCAGTTAATCCTGAATAATAACACCATTCAGAAAAGGTCCAATGAAATAAAATTGTCTCCACTGTTTTGCCTAAAAGCATGCAGTGATAAGAATGGTATACCTCTCTTGGGAGTTTATTCCAGATTTTGGGATTAATTCTCATTATCCCCAAAGCAACAAATGATAAAATAAAATTTAAGAGACGGATTTAAACCATACACTTCACATGGAAAGGAGATGGGGAGGAGTCCAAAGGTCATCCATTGGGGAAGGGGCTTTTTTTAAAAAACAAAACAAAACTATGCACTATGCATATTGATGAGCTATCTATCAGTCAACACAACGTGTGAAGCATCAAGCCAGCCTCATGCGCTGGAGTTTCAAAAAGAGAGAGCCTGTCAGACACCTGGAAAGTCAAGACAGGCAGCAACAATAGTTGCTGGCAGGCTGCTGTACATGGCTGGCATATGTCATGTTTGGCATAGCGGACTAAGGCCTGCACAACAGGAAGAAAATAATATGGCCAGCTCTTGGTTGTATCACTCCCAACCCTCCATAATATTGGCAGGTAAAAGTGAGTAACATCCAGAGCCCCTTAGCCTTCACTTGCGAAACAAAAAGCCTTAAGACACATATTTTTAAAGAGCACTTACATCAGGGTATGGAAGAGCATAAGAGTCATCGGGCTGAGCCTCAATGATATTTGCAGAATCTTCCCAGCTGTGTATTCTGTGTATGCCTGTCCAATTCAAAGCTGGCAATAACGAAAGGAAACCTTCGGTACCCCAGTGCCATAATCCTAAAAGAAAGAAGGAAAAAGGGGTAAAGATGAAGATCTTGAGAACAGGAAATCCTCAGATTTTTTTCTAAAGTAAGTTCAGCAAAATAAACCAACTTTAATTTGGCATTAATCATTAAATTAATAACTTTGACCACAGTCTATATCAGGAGTCAGCGAACACTTTCAGCAGGAGGCCGGTCCACTATCCCTCAGACCTTGTGGGGGGCCAGACTATTATTTTTGGGGGGTGGGGGTTTGAAATGAACGAATTCCTATGCCCCACAAATAACCCAGAGATGTATTTTAATAAAAGGACACATTCTACTCATGTAAAAGCATGCTGATTCCCGGACCATCCGCAGGCTGGATTTAGAAGGCGATTGGGCCGATCCGGCCCCTGGGCCTTAGTTTGCCTACTCGTGGTCTACATCCTTTCTCAATGCAGATATGAAAACTATGGGAACTGAAGAGCAACAGGGAAGTGCCATGACTCAGTTGGAAAGCATATAGGCTGCATGCGGAAAGCCTCAGCTACAATCTCCAGCATCTCCTGATAGGGCGGAGATCACGGAGAATCACTGTCAATCCATGCAGACATAGAGAGTGATGTGGACCAACAGCCTGACTTAGAATAAAGGAGCTTCCAATGTTCCCAATAAATCCCAGGGCCTATGCCCTCCAATAAATTAATGTTTTCTACCAATTCCGCTGCTTAAAACCTTTCAGTCATCCCTCTATATGAAGTGCTATTCTACATAATTATTGTACTTAGACACTTCTGTTGCTACAAAGATTCACCATCTGTGTAGCTGGGCACACTCTTAACCTTCCAGCTGCGGTGGGAGCGGACCACATCTACAGGGATTGGATGTGGGGCTCTGCAATGAATTATTCACCATAATTGTGGCTCACCAGGTACTAGACATGTGTACACACACTTCCATACCTAGGCAAGCAGGAAAAAAGGCTGCTCAAGCTTCTAGATAAGTGTTTCCCAAACTTGGGCCTCCAGTTGTTTTTGGACTTCACTTCCCATCATCTCTGACCACTGGTCCTACTAGCTAGGGATGATGGGAGTTGTAGTCCAAAAACCGCTTGAGATCCAAGTTTGGGAAATTATTCTAGATCTGGGATGTCCAACGGGTCGATCGCGATTGACCGGTTGATCATGGGGTGTTCCTGGTCAATTGCGTGATTCTGATTGAGTGACACCCCCTCAAAACCCTCAACAACTTTGGTCAATCCAATGGGTAGATCACTGCCAGTGTTTTTATAGTGGGAGTAGATCACATCTCTTGGAAGTTGGACATCCCTGTTCTAGATGAACCACTGTTACGTGGCTGGTTGGCTGCATTCAGTCTGAGTGGGCCACACATGTAGGCTGAATACACACAACCCTATAAATAGGTAACCTAGATTAGTAAGATTTCAGGCTCATTCTACTGATACATTTCCGCCTACCTAGCAACAGCAATAGCGGGAGGAGAAACAACAGCAGTCTGAATATCTTTGGAAGGCATCTGGAAAATAGATAAAGGAATTTCACTGCAATTAGCTCACTGCCATTGGTTGCCTGAACATGTAACATATAACTGAAAATTTCAATTCCATTACTTAAGCTCTTTATGACCGTGATCTGTAACAATGCCAACAACATTATGAAGATAGTTTTGTAACCCATTCAGAGAGAAAACAGCAGCACATATTAGACTACAGACCACAATCTAGAACAGTTTAGACTTGCCCATAGGCTTAAAAGGTGCCTAGGAGGACTTTTCTCTCTTGAACAGTGACTTGGTGTGATGTACTGCAAACTGCCTCTGGAACGCACTGATGTTCTCAACAGAAGCTTGTGTTCCAGTCCTGATGGTCGCAGAAAATAAATTGCATGGATTTTAGGATTGTGGCCATTATCTCTCCTCTGTGTTATAAAGTCAATTTTAAAAATAAATTTAGAGGAGTGATGTGGGAGGGACATTTTTTCCACTGCTATATTAATCCATTGAAAAGTTTCCATTTGTGGAATGCATTACTACATACATTTTTAAAAAATATAATGAATTAATGCAAGTCAAACTGAGCAACTGGAATGGGGACAGGAAGTTCTTAGAGCATGGCCAAGTTAATTTAACCAGTTTCAGTGCTAACATTTTCTTTCTTTAAAAATATTTGCCATGCTTAAAATACAGTGGTACCTCGGGTTAAGTACTTAATTTGTTCCGGAGGTCCGTTCTTAACCTGAAACTGTTCTTAACCTGAAGCACCACTTTAGCTAATGGGGCCTCCCGCTGCCGCCAAGCCACCGGAGCACGATTTCTGTTCTCATCCTGAAGCAAAGTTCTTAACCCGAGGTACTATTTCTGGGTTAGCAGAATCTGTAACCTGAAGCGTATGTAACCTGAAGCATATGTAACCCGAGGTACCACTGTACTTACAAGTATTCCAACAAACTGAAGTTTCCAAACAAAGTATTTGTTTGATTTGAATTTGTTTTTATGTACATTAACTATGCTTTATTTTATTTTATTCATTTAAAAGGAAGATATTTTAATTTTTGGGGGGGACTTCTGAGTTATTTATACAGCAAGGGAAATTAACATGGCATACTTTTTTTAGTTTTGGTTACTAAAATAAAATGATAAATCTCTCTCTATCCTAAATTGGATCCCAATCTGCTCAGGGCAGCATTATTCTTTCAGAGAAAATCTACCACTTTGTCTTGAGAACCCCAGTATTGAAACCCGGAGGCAACTTCTTAGCCTAGCTTGCAGAATTTAATAACCACCAAACAAGCTCAGTAAACTGAGTGCTTTCCAATGCACATGGTTCATCATAACAAGAACAAGTAGCAGCAAGTTTCAGCCTGTGTGCACCTGGCACCCACAGCATAGCTGTGAAGACTGGACACTTTCATTTCCATTTTCAGCGAACATCAGTATAGCAATACATCTGTAACCTAATCGGTGGTTAACTTTAACTATGGCTTGTTGAAACATGTCATTTTTATAATCAATGGTTTGAAGTTGGCTTATTTCAACCAACAGCAATAGGATTAAATATTAAAATTAATCACTGTTTGTCCTTGACAAACAGTGGTTGTTTTAAAACGAAAATGAAAGTTTCCAATGTGCTTGCAACCACATCATGGAGTTGGGGGAGAACATTTGTGTCCAAGACTCCCTGCGCTTTGTAATAATCCAGTGGTTTGTCATAATGTATGAACCAGCTGAAAAATGAGACTATATCATCTTTAATCCAATTGTTTCCAGTGATAAAACTGTGATGAAGAAAACTGATCTACAATCGGTTTCCTAAACACATGGTGACCAAATTCTGTTAAGAAATGCTTACAAACCTTGTAAGAAGGAACACATTCAGCAAAGAAATCAGAGTAACAAGTTGATACCATCCAGTCCCAAGCCACCAGAACACTCCTGCAGCTGCCTTCCCTAGATGAGAACAGACAACGCTGGCTGAATTGGGAATGTAAGATAATCACCAAAGACAATAGTTTTCAAACGTTTGGGTCTTCAGGGAAACTTTTCCAAATCAACATGTCTGCTGGGAATCCCTGTAAGTGGATGAGGATCCTGGAACATATTCTAAGCCACATCCTCCATTCACACAGACACTGGCTAGGCCTGCAGAGCTTGGCCACTATCATCCATGAACCAAGATGCACCTGAGACAGCCAACATGGCCCTGTAGCTTCACACTGCAGGGGATGTTCTGTAATGTTGGGCGAGTAGCCTCTTGGGAAAGTGTGTCCACCATTACACATCTTTTCATTGAGGAGATCTAAGCTTCCCTGGAACACAGTTTGAAAACCACTGGCTTAGGAGGAGACCAAGCGGAAGCAACAGGTGAGTGCTGTAGAATAATATTATAGGACATGCAGATTTTGGGTGTAAATGAGTATTGGCAAATGACCACACACATGCAACATTAAAATCAGTCCAAAGCACATCATATTACAATCTATATTCATAACCTGAAATGTCACACACGCATGCACAAAGTCATGCAACAGAGAGTAATGCAGTAGCAACTGAAGTCTGACAATTTACAAAAGAAAAGTGCATGTACTTAGTGTGTCAATGAAACCCCTTGGGGAATGAGATGAAGTAAGATGCCCAAGGTTACATGGAATTGCAAGGAGTCAGTTTCTCTATTTCTGAGAGCAGCCCTCTGTTTTCACAACTAGTTAATTCTGCCTCGCAATACTGGAAGCAGGCACACTGTATAAGGTATGCCGGGTTATTAATAAGCTGTGTACACAACCACGCTACAGATGTTAGCATTAAGCAAACAATGATGGAAAAACCAAAAGGATGCTTGAAACAAGTTCATTTCCTACATGAAAAGCGCTTCAACATAGGCAACAATGTGAAAACTAAGCCAGTCTACACAGTGGCGGAGTAAGGGGGGTGCGGGCCGCCCGGGTGTCATCACTGAGGGGTGTGACAAAATGACAAAAATATGAGGGTGCTTTTTAAAAAAATAAACCCTGGGCTTACGAAACTTTTTAGTTCGGTCAACAAACATAATGAAACGCGAGTGGCACTAGATGCCACACCGCAGGGGCCGGCAGTTACTGCAGGGCCTGCAGCGTCTCTCCTCGGAGTGACGTGGTGGCTTGGGTGCCTGCAGGTTCCGCGCTGCCTGAAACGACAGCGTGGGGCTTGCGCCTGCCCACCGCCTCTCCCTCAGCCGCCCTACAGCTGAGGGGAAGGGGGCAGAGAGGCTCCATGCAGCAAGCCCAGCTCCCATAGGCGGCTCGCCCTGCCCCTGGCTGCAGGATGTGTGGGCCACCCCCGGCACCCAAGTGGCTAGCTATGCCACTGAGTCTACAAACAAGTTTCATCCTCTTTTCCAACTAAAAATGCTGGACATTCAGGAACTAAGAAGGAGGAGCTGTATAGGACGATGGAGAACACTTGTGACCTTTTGTTCATAGCAGGGCTAGTGTCTGCAGGAAATAGAAAGTGGTTGGTTCCTCCTGATCTCCAGACTATTTAGGTAGGTAGTTCTATACAGAGATTTCAGCCTATTGATTTGAAAGCCTTCTTTCCAAAGCCCATGCCTCATCAGATATACTGATGGTGCAAACAAGCCCCATGGCACTTACAGGAAATGCTTTTTGTGTAGGAAATGTTTCTGTGTAGCATTTGAAGCTGCCCTAAGGATCACAAATCCAGGTTAAATCAGCTGATCACATCTACTATAAGATGCCAGTATGCTTTAAAAGGCAGAATACTCATGCAAAAGCATAAACATACACACACAAAATCAATAGTAACCTGGAGACACAACAGCTAGCCAAAGGAGTGACAAAATCTTCCTGGACACAAACCATCCTGCGGTTCCCATTCTTTGTAACATATGTAGCAAGAAGTAACCTAATATAACACAGATGAATATGAACACAGAAAATGGGGAGCATCTTCAATTAAAAACACTACCATTTTAAAACACTCTGGGATTGTTTTGTTTTTCATCCACATACAAAATATTTTATTAGCATTACAGCAGAGAAAAACTGGAACTAACATTATAAAGAAACATTGGATTTGATAATTCAACAGGCTCTGTTTTCCATGGGTTTACTACCATGTTATTTTTAATAAACAAGAATGGTTTTGAGAGAGAATACTACGTACTTCACTGAAAGAGTCATACTGCTAAGCATTTGTTAATAAAATAAAAAGACTGTATTTATTAGGTGTAGATCTATTTTAGCTAGAAGATTGGGGGGGGGGGGGACGACGACCAGAAACTCTCTTCTCTAAGATTATTGTTCCTCATCTGTAACATTCCATTTTAGTACAATAGCACAAGCTATTGTATTCTGCCTTCCTAACAGTTCTGCAACATATGTAGAATGAGGATTATCTGCTCCAACCTTCCTTCATGACAGGGGTCAACCTAAACTCATAGCAAGAGCTGATAAGAGGTGTTGGCTGACACAAGCAAGTCACTCTAATCTACTTTGCAAGAAAGCTCTAAAAACAACAACAGAGAGAGCAATTAACAATGAAGAGATTGTGATGATGAGAGCAAAAGAAATCAAAATACGAAAACAAAATGGTGCAAGTCAACCTGTGTAAGAAAAGATGTGCCAAATGGTCCTTGCTACTCTTTTAGACCTTGAGGATTGCATGTGGGCTGTTGTGTGTGTTTCAAGGTGTTTCTTCCCCTTACAGTCATCACCTGTTGGTTGTGGTAACAATCAATTAATATAACACATTCAAGAAGACAGTGGTGTGCCAGATATGTCACAGAAATTTATTTCCCCCCAGATTCCTCCCCCAGAATCTTGGTGTGTTTCTGCCTCTTATCTATAGAAATGGGAGCAGGCAGCAATGCAGTGGGAGAGGCAGGCATGCCACAAACCTCTGTGGTCTGTATCACTTGACACATTCATGCTGCAGATTTGCCTCCCAAACTTTAGCGAAAAATAAAATTAAATCCCATAGACAGTTGCATCTATGAAGACAACTGTTGAAAAGTAATTGATAATAAAGCACTTAGAGAGGTAACGGAGCAAACAACTGGAACTTCCTGCAAGTGCAGGATGAATCATGGCCAAGATACATTGCTTTTCCAGCTTCCACAAAATTACGTAATATCCCTGCAAAAGTCAGAATTATTAACAGGGTTGTTATGACAAAATAGGAATGCCACCATGTATGCCACCTTCATCTCCTTAGAAGAAAGGTGGGATTTAAATGCAACAATAAATAAAATAACACTTTTTCAAAATCTGTCACTTACACATTGATTCTCCATTCATACCCAGGTGGCCATCTTCCCTGAGAAATTCTTTTACATTCATGCTTCCACAGTAGCTAGAGTGAGCTGCAGCACAAGAAAAACAAATAATTTAGAAGAACAAAGATTTTCACAGGCTGCAAAAACAGAAAATACAACCCAGAAAAGTCCAACAGCAGGCACGATGTGTCCACTGCAATCTTTTGATTTCTTTGCACAGCATCTTTCACAGATAAACTGCAACGTGACATGGAAAGTCACCTTATTTACAAAAGCAGCTCACCACCCCACACCCAGAAAGGAGAAAAAGGGGACAGCACAGGTATCTTTGGAGTAGTGTGGAGAAGAAATACAAACATAAAGACCCCCAGGGTGTGCCTATTTTAAGGCCAGCTGTTCTTTGGATTGTACCCATATATACAGTACCCCGGTTTGCACATAGCTGACAGCAAATAAATGATTTTCTTTTGTTAAAAGCTAGTTGAGGTCCTAAGAAACTCAACCCAGAAAATGATGTTTAAGTTGAACTAGCTAGGATGAGCTATGCTCCATCTTAGTTTTTTTGCGGTGGGGGGAGGAGGGTTGCTCATGAATTCTGCTGGTCTGCATTTCTAAAGCTATTTATATTCCTGGGTGATTGTTGCTTGCTAATATTTGTTCTGCTTAGAAGCCTTCTAAAGAAGACCAGGCCTGCTTTTCTGACATTTTAAACACACTCTCTTTTCACTTCTGGAGACCAAAGGACACCAGAAAAATATTTTAAAATACTTTAATATGCTTTGATTTCCTGCAGGAAACAAATCGTGAAAGAGAAACCAAGTACATCTTGATGAGAAAGGCCATTACAAGACAACACCAGGATCCAAAGAGGTCAACAAGGGCTCAGCCCCATATGGTGGAATTTGCAGAGCAGAATGTCATGTCGCACAGTACGAAAAACAGGTTTGCCATGGTGCTTGAGAAACATAATTCCAAAGAGCTCTTGGGCATTAGATGCATGGTTCTTTGTATCCAGGGCCAATATTGCAAGCACAGTATTATGCAATGGAAGTGTGGGTTTGCTACAGAAGCTGCAGACCATCCCAGCTCCCTTGGGCACATACTGGTATGATATATGTAGATGAAAACACACTTGTCACATCCACACATTAGATTTCTGGGCATTCATGTAAAAATGTTTAATGGGACTATCTTAAAAACACAAATGAGAAGCAGTAGTTGGCCAATGACAGCCAGGAGTTATACTTCTATGGCGGAATATGTAATACACCTGACCAAAGCAAGCATGTTTGTTGTTAAATACACTGTATATAAACACTAAAGAAAGAAGAAAAACCCCAGCACTTAAAGACTGGGACAGTGTGATTTTTATCAATAATGTAATGCAGTTTAAATAATCTACTTTCATAATCAAGGTTAAGCTTTCATTCAAAGCCCACTATTCATGCCTTTTCAAGAAAAGAAGAAAAAAGGAGAACCTGCACCAGTGCCTTTTGCCTGAATACTGATGCTTCTAAGAGAATATATATATATAAGGCAGGCAATTGAAAGCAAGAAGCCAGGTCACCAAAGAGGACATAATAAAGCCGCAGAGTGAAAGACATGAAGAAGCATACACACACTAAGGCATCAGAGGGGTTCAGAATTTGTTTTTTAAGTGTGTGGCATGGATGGACAAAGAAAAAGATAAGCTAAAAAACGAAATACCTTTACAGTCATAGCCCAGCTTCAGCAAGATCATTTGAAATAACTGCACTATGAGTGATGAAAAAGATGTTGTGGTATACTTGGCTGCTCGCAGAATCTGATTTGTGTAGAAAGGGAGGCCCCCTATTAAAAGAGCATCAGTAGCATGTTAGTTGCTTCCATTTCTCTACTGACTAACACAGTTAAATACAAAGCTAACCCACGTAGGTGCAGTATGGTTATTTCTTACTTTCCAAAATATGAGAAGTCACCCCATGGCAACAGTCATTTTTATCTTTCATTCATTGAAGCACATGGAGAATAAGTGGGGTTAAAAGACAACAACCAAGTTACCGGAAAACACTGTTAAGTACCAGTCCATGTAACTAACAACTTCAGAAAAATATGTAGCACAATGTTTCCTGCATTCCTTGCTTTGCAAATTTACTAGCCAAAAGTTGGCAGATGAGCAAAACTGTTTAGCGCAAAATGTGTTCTTCTTCAGCATTCAAATAATTGCATGGAAAGAATGAGCCGCTCTCAACACTAATTTCCATGGGATACATTCAGACAAGCAGAATGCAGAACTCCTCAGAAGCAAAGACAATCAATACTACTGAGAGATTGTAATCCTACAGTTTCATAGAGGCTGCTACTAAGTAAAGAAACCCAAATGAGATGTTGGATCATTCTGGAAAATAAGACAGAGGTAAAGAATGATGTGTTAGATACAGTTGCTCTGGGAAAGTAGTTCTGGAGACTGGTTTCTCACTTTCAAGTGCCCAAAGTTTCCTCCTTTTAATTCTTCCTCATTTAAGAATGTAACCACGCTCTAGTAACTCTGCCTCCTACTTCAGATGCCTATTGGCACAGCTTATGGAAAGAACACCAGTTCTATGGAGTTTTTCTGAACAAAAATGTGATCAGATGCCTTCCTCACAATGAAGATATGCAATGTGAAATTACCATACGCATGAGGGTTGGATAAACCTGTTCATCAAGAGAGCCTACCAAGTTCAGATGAAGCAACCAATTCCTACCATGCTGGTGTTTCTATGCTAGAAACTGCTTGGGTTTCTCTGTTTTTGATTAGAAAGAATCTCATGATCTTCAAAAAGGGATCAGCAGCACACAAGAACTTCCTTTGTACCAGAAGCAGTCGCAGACAGATCGCCATGGGAATGTTCTATTAAATCAAAAATTCCCCAACCTTTAGGACTAGAATCCTAAACCAATGTAACTCAACACATTTTTCACACAGTAAGATTTCATTCATGCACCATTTCTCAACAGTGGTAAACCAACAGAATGAACACAAACATTACTTACTAGACTTGTGTTTTTGGCTTCGATCCCTGGAGTAAATTCTTGAGGATGGCATGCGAGCAGCCGAGTATGCTGTGAGGACCTCCTTCCGCTCAGAAAGCATGCTGCAGTCACTGCAGGTATACCCATTGCTCAGTGTTGTTTGGTTCTCAGCTGTTGCTAAGTCACCATTGCCCTGAATCACTGTAGTGTCTCCACCTGTTGAATGGCAATAAATGATCTAACAATCCAAATCCAGTCAATTTGGGAGAGAAGAAATTATAATGAAAAAGACTGCCTGGTTACCTTTGAGATCACCATCATCATCAAGACCTGAAAAGTAAAGGGATGCTTTCTTTAAATTCAAGGAGGTGCACTCTTTCTAAGTCAACGTTAACTGCTATGCCAAAAGAAATTCTCCTGCTAATTCTAGAACAATAAACAAGAAGCATAGTGGAAACTTTACTATGTACAAGGGAATATCTTTTTTTTATTAAGAACAACCATTTATGTTATCTACCAAACAGGGTTACATTTCCAGGCGGAAATGTAAAGCAACAAAAAAACTGTATTTTATTACCCGTGTTGCTACTGGGGAAGCTAGATAATTGGAAGCACACAATGTTTCTGTTGCTTGGTTACCACTTGCTCTAGCTGTAGCTCACTACATAGTAGTAAAACAAGGCGGTTAATGCCAAAATTTACACTTAAAAATGCGCTACTAGTAGTTAACACAAGTTTCTTCAACCTGAGGTAAGCGGAGGCCTACAACTAGGCTAGTTAAGTAGCATACGGCCTACAACTACAACAGCACCTTTCTCTGCTCACACAGGATCAAGATCTTCTGACAGTAGCGCTGCTCATTTGGCGCCCAGTCCTGCACACCTTACACCAGAGTAAGTGGGAAATTGGCCTGAACAAGGTCAGACCTCAAGTCAGAAAGGATTATAAGGAAGGAGGGCGGAAAGCTTTATACACATTATGTTCCTCATCTGTCTCCCCAGGTACAGTAGCCCCACAGATGCTCTTTTACACAGACTTTCCAAATAAAAGATAATTTATCAAGGTGGACTAAGGCTTTGTCTCAAATCTGTCCTTGAAGTCAATTTACAGTGACAAAGCAGTACCTTGCTCCACTTGGAAATTAATGCGCCTGCTGCTCTACAATTCTAGCAATCCCCACACAGCATGCCTCCTTGACAGGAAACAGGATATAAGCTGCTTTAAGAGAGTCATCTGTCCCTCTGTTTCCCCTTTCTCTAGTTTCTCAGGCACCTGGCCATTAAAAAAGACATTAGTGAATCTTCCACAATTCTCCTAGTGTTTTACATTCAGACCCTCTGTTTACCTTGCTATTTCAAGTAGAAAGCAGCCGGACTGGAATGCATATTCCCTGTATTTTGAAACGTATTGCTATAAAAATACTTCCATCTCAAAGGGTTTTTTAAATTGACAAAATCCCTGAACAATTTACAGATGGAAGCAAATCCAACACTGTAAGAATGACAAGTCATCTTGAATGAAATCATACCAGTAACTAAACTGATTTCATATATGTCCAAAATTCAAATCATAACATGGGGCATTGGCACTATAGGGACGCAGGTGGCGCTGTGGGTTAAACCACAGAGCCTAGGACTTGCCAATCAGAAGGTCGGCGGTTCGAATCCCCACAACGGGGTGAGCTCCTGTTGCTCAGTCCCTGCTCCTGCCAACCTAGCAGTTCAAAAGCACGTCAAAGTGCAAGTAGATAAATAGGTACCGCTCCGGTAGGAAGGTAAACGGTGTTTCCGTGCGCTGCTCTGGTTCGCCAGAAGCGGCTTAGTCATGCTGGCCACATGACCCAGAAGCTGTACGCCGGCTCCCTCGGCCAATAAAGCGAGATGAGCGCCGCAACCCCAGAGTCGGTCACGACTGGAACTAATGGTCAGGGGTCCTTTACCTTTACCTAGCCTCCCATCAAAAGGAGTGCCACCTGAGTGCAACTTTTCACAGGGGAAGTCAATGACAGGGTTTATATTTGAAACACACACACTTTACAGGACCAAATTTACTTTTCAATACAGAATCCACAATTCCTTGTTTAATAACTCTCAGAATCTTCAGCCATCGTGTATTTCTGCTGAAAGAATCAAAGTGTGGGTTTTGTTGTAGACATATTCACAACTCTGAAGGTGATAGTAAGCCTTCATGCTCCACACTCTGTGAAAGCTCATTCTCAAAATACAGAGAGATCCTTTAAGTACAAATTCACTTGTATTTGGTCAGCAGAATTTAGAGCCATAGATCCACATAGGAAGCTGCCATATTAAGTTGAATTAGTGGTCCATCTAGCTCAGTATTGTCTCTACACTGATTTATAGTAGGCCTCTAGGATTTTTGACCAATCTTTTGCAGCCTTGCCTGGAGGTGTTAGGGACTGAAGCTCGACTTTTTGCAAACAACAAAGCATGTGTGTTGTTGAGCTATGGCCTCTCCCTCTGTTTTAATCACAAAACTGCTTCTTCATGTATGTGTGTGTGTGTGTGTGTGTGTGTGTATATATATATATATATAGTTTTGAAATGTAAGAAACAGCGGCCATTTTAGCCGTGACAGTGGCCTAGATGTGTAACCATTTCTTTCTTACTCTGCCTTATTGAGTATAATGCAGCTTGCCCTTTGAACTAGAACTGACACGACAGATAAGAGTATACATGCTAAATATACGGTATGTGTATTGTAGTACATTATTACCTACCCCAAAAATGGTCAACAGCTGTCTGCTCCTGTATTGAAGACTCATCCAATATGGTTGACATTAAAGAGCCATCACTTGCGTGGCTACTGAAACTACTGTGGCTAAAACTGGAAGAGCTGGGCACACTTTTTCTTGGGGTATGTCTTACAGAGCCAGACTGTTTCACCACACTTTTACGCTGCTTTACAAACCTTAAAGAAAAAGAAATGTCAAAGCATAAATGTGAAACATTTACCAACATTTCAGGCATATTAAGAATCTGTAACACAAGGCAAAAGAAAAGGGGCATAATAATCCAGCAGGTCTTCTGAAGCCATGTCAGTGTTACTCTGGCTATAGCAACAAAAAAGGAAGCAGTTTTCCTTTCCTCTTAAACTAGGAAGACATGTGAAGGCAGCTCTGTATCAGGAAGTTTTTAATGTTTGACATTTTAATGTGTTTTTATATGCGTTGGAAGCTACCCAGAATGGCTGGGGCAACCCAGCCAGATGGGTGGGGTATAAATAATAATTTTGTAGTTGGGAAACATTACTTCAACATTAAAACCATCACACAGCAGATAGTGGCTCAATTCAAATACACCAGTCTACAGTCTATGCTAACCACAGGGTCTATACCCTATACAGATTGTAATCTACACAATGAGGCAAAGTACAGTTTATTTCAGAGTTGCTTGCTGGTTTTTTTGTTTTCTTTCTGTTAAGAATTCCCAGCTTAGTCGAAATGACAGAGAAATTAGGACACCACAGTCATGGCTTCACAAGGTGTCTGAACTGTGTGAAAACTGAACTTCCAGGGTAGTTTATGATAACAATAAATCTCTTCCTGAGAACTGCTAACCTATAGGTGCCAATGAGGAAAGAAGATCCATCTTGTCACAAATTTTGTGGCATACACAGAAAAATGCTTTCATTCTGCTTCTAAGCATCTTTGAAAGCATATGCATTGTGAAAATATCAAGCCAGCCCCTCCCAGAGTTCTATATGACTCATGAGAGGAGGAGGGCAATCTCTGACTTTGCACAATAATCACAAGCAGTGACAAACACTGCTTCTGCTTCTGCACAACTCTGGTACCTGGTGTAACATCACATTCTTTTTCCCCAAAGGACTCATGGGAGGAAAGAAGGGTCACAACTATACATAATGGTTGCATACCAAAGCTGTTCCAAATTTGTGGATCTCTTTTCAAGCCAACCCTGTTCTATATACTATGCCAAAAAAATATGCAGAAGTCCTTTTTTAAACCACTGATCCTAAATTTGGAAACAAGTCCAATTAAAATTAAATAGCTGTAGCTTCTAAATAAAGTAGTATAATCTAGGCAAAGTTAACCCTTTAAAGTCCACTTTTAATGCATGAAGTAAGTAAAAGTCTGCATTTCTCCCATTTTAAATCAATTGTACTTTTAATTTTTTGACTGGCTATGCCAATTTTATTTTATTTTTAACACTAGAAATGGTCACATCATAAACAAAACAATATGCACATATACATTCTGAATCCTCTGTTACTGTAATATTTCCAAGAAGCAAGGCCCATGAACTTTGGTGATTAAATAAGCATCCTTTGGAATGCAGATTAATAGTGGGGTTTCTTGTAGGAAGCCCCACTGAGTAACATGTGATTTACCTTGTCCTACTTGGAAGCAACTCAGAAGGGACTACTTTAAAATAAAGATGCAGTAACAGGGTTTAAAGAGTGCCACTCACAAACCATTTCATTGGGATTAACCCAATGAACAGTTCATACATTTTCTACAGGGGATAGGGTGGCTGTGCAGGCAATGTGTACATGTGAAATGGTTCTACTTAAGTCCCACTGAGGTCAGAAGGAACTGCGTTACATGCCATTTGCAGCTTTTGAGTTCTCATAAGAAGCCAAAATAATCCATAATCCTAAAATGTTTTTCTTGTGAATATTACCTCCTTCCATCTAGTATCTAGTATGAACATATTTGTGATCAGCCAGAATCACTGATAGAATAAACAATTTAAATCATGGTAAGGGAGGGGTAGACAAAAGATATTCCAGCTAATGACTGAAAAAGGAACAAGATTAGAATAACCTGAATGATACTGCATAGCTTTCTCTGATGAGAACCTCCAATGAGAAACTCCCCCCACCCCCCAAAAAATGCAGTGTTAACCACACTGAGTGCACAATGCAAAACAAGACAAAATGATTACTAGAATTTCCAGTTACAGAGTTAATCAATCCATTTGAACAGTCCAGAAATGTAACCAGTCACTGGTCACCAGAGAAGCATCTCCTGTGGTTGACAGGTCTGAAAATAATGTAGCCATGTGGACTACATATATAGCTGTCTTGAAGATCTACTTGCCTCTTTTATTTTAGCTGGGGACGCAGAACACTGAGCTTACATTAATGCTTCACAGAATGACCAGGTACAAAGGAGGATCTTGCACAGAGGGGGGAAGTTTGGCAAGAACAGCTTGTTAAGGATGTGAGAAAAGCTGCCCCACTCTTAAGATTATGCAACTATTAAAAGTATAGAAGCTCCATCCTCAACTAACCAGTACTTTGAGTTTCTCGTACAAACCACACTCTCCAATTGCTGCTGCTACTTTTCTTGGACTCAAGAGTCACAAAAGCATGTGCTAAAAGGTTAGGGAAGAAAACCTAACTCAACTGGAGGCTACAATAGTAACTAGTACCATTTTTTAACAAATATTCTTTTAAAGAAATTCTACAGTACAACAGAGGTATTTGCAAAACTGAAGCATCACCTTCAGTTCTCCAGGAGAAGATGCCTAACTTTGGGAGGAGCAGTACTCCTCTTTTTGCCCACTGAAAACCCAAACCTTTTAAAGAAAAACTAGTAACTATCATAATTCCCAATGCAATATAGAAATACAAAACAAAAATCACAGCTTGCAGTTGAACCCCTTAAAATTTAATAGAATGGAAGCAGTAAGAAGGTAACTTACATGAAGTACCTATTAAAAGAAATGCTTACTTAGTTGACTGGTCTGCAAATGCCTTTTTCCCGCCATAGGAGCCGCTGCCACCACCAAAGATGCCTTCATTGTGTGTATCCTCAGGTGTGTTATATGTTACAGCAGACAAACGTAAGCTGCGCCTTGACATTCTTGGGGAGTCAAACACAGGGTCCAGTTTGTGTTCAGTCTCAAAATCTAGAGCAGTTGATGAGTAGCTTGAACTATAAAGAAAAGACAGAAAAAGATTTTGGTATATCTGCTGAAGGCAGCAGGCAGCTACTCAACAGAGATGAGGAGACAGGAGTATAATTAACTGCTGTTGAGCAATCCATACGGATTGCTGTTAATGCTTCCAAATAAAAATCAAGGCACTTAAATCTTTGAATCTCTTTGGGCCTTGCTCATCTGAGAGAGTCCCCGTTTCTCCTTGTGCAAACCCAACATTTTATTGAAGATCAATGCTACTTCCCATCATGCAGAAAGATCAGAACATCAGAAAGGAACACCATCCTTTTCGAGGCTTTGAAATCTACCTCTTTCTTAATCTCAAGGGGGAAACGTGAGGCCCACTTGCTTATGAAGACATTCAGGATGTGAGCTGTTGCAATAAAATAATCCATTTTAATCATCTGCTGTTCTACAGGACTGGACATTAAACAAAATAATGTCCAGTTATTTACTTATTGCTATGGAGTGGGCGTGTATCTTTTTATCACTTTAACTAATTTCTCAGAGTAGCCTCAAAAGGTTTTAAATATTTTAAATGAATGAATAAATATTCCAGTGCTTCAGGAAAGTTAGTTTTGAAGCCTAGAGTAAAGGTAGGGAATCTCAGGCCTCTCTATTTGGCCCTTGTCACTCTCCCCAGGGGTGTAACTTCTCCCACAGACCATAACTTCATTGAGTACTTTTGCATTGCTGGAATGTGTCCTTGAAACTGTGATGATGCTTCTTGCTTGCTTGGGAGAACAGAGGTATGTATGTTTATATAAACCTCTAGTTTTTGCATGGGTGGACTGTAACCTCCTACACAAAGAAAAGGGTCACATCTCCTGTTCTGCCACTTTTGTTTATGGCGCTGCCCACCACTGGTATGCACTCCCTGGAATGCTGCCAAGAAGAAAATGTGGCCCTCTGGTTCCAAAAAGGTTTTGTGTTTTTATCATCACTGTTAAAGTGATGATAAGGGATCAGTTTGGGTAGTTTCACTTCCTTTCAAATATGTCCTATCTTGTTTCACTTCCTTTCAAATATGTCCTATCTTGAAGCCTAAAAGGCGTAGCAGCTTGGCAAGCATGGCCAGAAACTAAGTTTACAAGCAGAACTGTGACACAAACTTTGGAGTAGACGAGGCAGGTGCTCTCCACAAAGGATCACCTATTGGTCTTCCCTATGCTACTTTCTTCCTGCAGCACACAGCTTCACTTTTGCACGTAAAACACCATCCCATGTGTTTCCCTGCCCAGCACCACTACTACTACTATCAAGTGGCAGGATACAGTGAAGTCATCATTAGGAAAGAGTGGGGGTGACAGACATGGTGACTCTCCCCATGACTGAAATGCACTCTACTGTACTTGCTCTGGAAACTGCAATTAGTGCAGAATGCTGCAGCACAGTTGCTGACAGGAGTGAGACCTCGTCAGCATATAACGCCTCTGCTCAGATATCTGCATGGGAACCCAATTTGTCAAATGACCGAGTTCAAGGTATTACTGTTAGTATATCAAGTCCATAACAGCCTGGGACCAGTTTAATTGTGGATTGCCTTACCCCATAAGTATCCATTCACTCCAATCTACAGAACTGGCACTGTTACAGGTGCCATACAATACTTGTTCCACACTTGTAAGAATCTGATTTTTTAGTGTGGCAGCACCACCTATTGATATCAGACAGGCATCTTTGCAGTACTCAGCAACCGCTTTTTGTTTATTATATTATGATTGTTTTTAAATACCTGTTTTCATTTGTTAATTCTAATGCTTTTTTGTAAACAACTTAGAGGTTTTATTATTACAATCAAGTAATGTGGTAAACTAAAAATAATAATAATTTTAAAATGGTGATACATTTTTCAAGGGCCAGCACAGTGCCTGCAATAACAAGTGGTCTGTACTTATATCCAGGGAGCCATGTTAGTCTGTTGTAGCAAAAACAAAGTTGTTAAATGCACCCATGAAAATACGTTATTTTAGGGGAAACTAATTTAGGATTGGGACGCAGGTGGCGCTGTGGGTAAAAGCCTCAGCGCCTAGGGCTTGCCGATCGAAAGATCGGCGGTTCGAATCCCCGCGGCGGGGTGCGCTCCCGTTGCTCAGTCCCAGCGCCTGCCAACCTAGCAGTTCGAAAGGACCCCCGGGTGCAAGTAGATAAATAGGGACTGCTTACTGGCGGGAAGGTAAACGGCATTTCTGTGTGCTGCGCTGGCTCGCCAGATGCGGCTTTGTCACGCTGGCCACGTGACCCGGAAGTGTCTCCGGACAGCACTGGCCACCGGCCTCTTGAGTGAGATGGGCGCACAACCCTAGAGTCTGTCAAGACTGGCCCGTACGGGCAGGGGTACCTTTACCTTAATTTAGGATTACATTTTTAAAAGCAAAACAATGGTCTGAAGAGACTCCCTTTTCATGGAGAAGAAAATGTAATGCCACATTAAACCAAATGTCAGTGAAGTGGAACTAACGATGAAGAGAAAGCAGCCTTGAGCGTTGTGTGGTTAGTGTTAGATGGAGGAAAAAAACAGAATTCTGGCTTGAGAATCTCATTGCTAAAAGTTATTAAACTGAAACTGTTGCAGGCCAAAAATGGCTTATCTTCTGAGTTACACCAATAAAACCCAGAGACAAAAACGTGCACAGCTTCAGTTTTAAAAGCAGGAATGCCAGGAGACTGCAATCATAACAGAAGATTGGGTTCAATCATTTATGGGGAAGAATGGGGTAGCTCAGCGGCAGAACATGTGCTTTGCAAACAAAATGTTTCAATCCTAATAAATATGTCCAGGTAGGGCTGAGAAAGACCCTTGTCTGAAACACTAGAGAGCTGCTGCCAATCAATGTGTAATACTGAGTCAGACCATTGGTTCACCTAGCTTGGTATAAAGCAGCTTCCCAGGATCCAAGATTTATACTCTAGACTTTTAATTGCATATATAAACATATTTCTCCATTAATTCTGCAGTTTCACACATAGGAAAAAACTGCATATAGTCTTCCCTTCCACTGGCATGGAAGGGAACATTCCAGCACATGGGCAGAGGAGAGTCTAAATTATTTGCTAATCATTTTAAGATTAACCACCACAAAGGAGAATTATCTCCAGCTTGTCTAGAAATAATCAGGGGTCTGCAGGGATTGAGTGTGGAGTGCCACATTCAATCATGTGTGTCGAGTCCCTACCCCCACCCACTGTCTGAAGTGGGACAGCCCAGACACAGGTTTTCTGTCTGAGAGAGAACTAGGCCATGCACAGCAGCCCAAATCGTATTGGGCCTCAGATAAGCTAGACCAGGGTTGCTTAAGATGCATTAAAAGCATGTTCTACGATAACTGACAGATGGGGAAGTTCAAGCACAGGGGCCGAAAGCAGGCCTCCAGGTTTCTAGCTGGCCTTTGAAACTCTGACCAGGTTGCACCCTTCAGAGGCCCTGCTTCCAAGCCTGAGTGTTCTTTGAATGGGTCCCTGAACTCTGATCATACCTCTTGCTTGTCTGAATAAAGGACAGAGATGGATGCATGTAAAATTTACAGGATAACCAGCTTCATATAACCAGCATGCTTTAGTCTAATTGATGCATGAAGGGTTTAATACCATAGAGTAAGCTGTCCTGCCAAGCTTAGCTATGTCACTTCCCCTTACCCTGGGCAGAAATAGGTAAACAACCCTTTGTTCCCTGCTTCCCAGTCTACTTGAGAACTCAGCATGTGAGGAGGTCTGAGCTGGTTCCTCCAGCTCGGCTGCACTGCTCTCACCAACCTCTCGTGTTCCTATACAAATAGTTTAGTAATGTTTTACCGCTTTGTAACTAAGCTACTTTTTACTGCCTCTGCAACTTTTCTAACTGACGTATGGAAGAACACATTATTTATTATTACCCAAAAATCTCAGGGCAGGTTCCTGAGACCTTTGGTGAGTTTGTAAGTATACCAATTTAAGTTACCGAATGTGTGTTCTATGCTGGGAAACTTCAGAAGGAACTTTTAAATGGGACAGTTTTGGAACTCACCCAGAATAACATATTTTAAAGGTTTTACATCCTACATTTTTACACTTTATTTGCCTCATATTTTATGAATTTATATCCGCTGGTTTTCTCTCACCAAAGAGTACTTGCCCCAAATTTGAATCTTGGCATTCCGGAATTCTCTTCCTTTTATATCTATTTTTCTTGAACCAATAACATTTATATTCATTCTTCCTCCCACTTTTGCCTCTGGCCTCACCCATCGCAGGCATGTGGCCCTCATAAGGTTGCCCAAAATGGAATGTGGCTCTTGGGCTGAGAAAGATTGCTTGTTCCTGCTGTAACTTCATTTAGTACCTGGCAGCTGACAATTTTGCCTTTTAAGGGAGTGATGGCAATAGTCTATTTAAACACTCCTCACAAGCTACTATTGACACTTGTTATTATACGGCTGTTTTTATTCTACTTCTGCAAGTGATGGACTACAGGCACACTATTCAAATGAAGTACCAGGCGCTACAGACAGCTGCCACTAGCCCCAATTTGTTTTCACTTGGCAAACACACCTATTTGTTTAATAGCATATTTGTGAGGGCTGCTCCCAAATGCAGATTGTTTTTCAGGTCTTATTACTCTAGCTAGTAACAGCATAAATGGTGTCCTACAAACAAGAAAATTGCTCAAACATTAACAGTGCAAGAAAAACAATTGTCAGTTGTAAATTTCAGAGATGGAAATAAATCCACAAAAGTAGCCAGCCCCATCTACTTCTCACACATGCTATGTTGGTGGCACAGTGGAGGTTGGAAAAGGGGAAGGATACAACCCCTTTCCAGGTAAAGCAAACTTCTTACCTGGTAGCCTGGAGGTAACTGACCACCAGCAACCAAACAAGTAGCTATTTACAAGGCTAGTATGAGAAAAAGAGCTACAGAATACACCAGTTTATAAGCTCCACATATTTTTCATGGTGACCTACTCGGGGCATAACCATTATTCAGTAATACTCAAACTTGATCTACTATTTCCCTTTTTCATCTAGGTCTAGGCAACCTGACAAATCTCTGACAATACTATCTTCCTAACAGTTACCCCTGCCCATATTAATACTGCAGGATCATGTAACATTAAAAGTTTATTGCAAAACTTAGCAATAAAAGCACAATTACGGGTAATAGTAAATTTATACCTTTGTACTTACTCTGCAAAACTGACAAGGATTCCTCATTGCAGTATGGAACTATATTAAGTTATCTACACACACACCCTGCCATGTAATACCCCCCACCCTGCATTTGCAAGCTAAAACAATGGTATTTGGGTGTGGTTCCCAAATACTTTATTTACAGCTACTGCCAAATCCTGAGTCACTGTCTTAGTCACCAGTGGTGCTGGATTAGAATCCACTGTAAAAACCTAAAACCAAACTGCTACATGTATCTATAAACAGGAAAATCAGTTAGATTTATAATAAAATGCCAGGTTTCTTTCCTTGATTTAAATCTTGCCACAAAACCACAACATACAAAGAAACCAAGCCCTATAGAAGGCAGCTTCTCCATAAGGAAAAAGATTCTCACCTGAGTGCATAAGTATAGCCAGTGTTCTCTGGCACGCATTGGGGAGGGGTATACGTGTGAAGACGTGAAAAATCCATGGTCACTGTTTCAAATCATACTGCAAAAAGTTGAAAACACAGTGCTATATAACAGTTTAAAAGACAGAAAAAAGAGCTCTTGCTTGGTTCAGCCAGTACTTTAGAATACTGCAAATAATGCTTTGGAAGAGGAGGGGGAAAGCCACTGGTATCAGAAGTAGTGTGCATTTTTAATGTGGCTGCTAATGTTAGATATCCCTTATCAAAAGTCACATGAACCCTAAGCACTTCCTCTTCTGGACAGCTTTTTCAAAAGTCTTAGGCATGCTCTGTTCTGTTTACAAGGTTCTCTTAAATGGTGTAATAAAAAGCTAAACCCTGTCCATACCTACAGTGCTGCTTATAGTACACTTGACAAATACTCTTAAACTGCACTTTGTTGAAAAAAGCCAAGAGTTTACAACACCCACAATAGTATTTTTTTCCATTGATACTAAACTAAATGTTTTCTAGGTATTGAGAACTGCACCACTCAAAACAGTTAAGTAAACAAAAAGTGATGTGTTTCATGTAACAACACATTTTTCTTTTAACATTTCATTTGTGCCACTGGAATGGAAAGAGGGAGTCTGGCTCGGCTTGTGCTTTGAAAGAGACAGCCCTGTTTAGCTGGGATTGATTCAACTAATCACCTTGAAGAGAGCAAAGGCGCTTATGTACACACCCTAAAGGCTGATCCAAAATGCAATCACAAATCTAGTGCCAGATCTGTATTCCTGGAACTTGTTTTAGCTCAGGCATTTTAAGGGAGTCACTTTGAAATGTTTAGACTGTGATCTAAAGAGCCACACAGCTAGTTTTGCTCATCCAAAGGGCCTTTGGGTATGTGTTTTTCAAGAAGCAGTCCTGAATGCAAGCTACTTTTAAAACTAAGCATTTATAAAGTATTTTTGTATGGTTTGGAGCGCAAAAAAAAAAAAAATCCCACACAGCACACTGAAGGCTTGGATGGGCCTGCAGTAGCTCTTTGGATTCCAGTCTTATTCAAAGCATTCTTATTCCACGCTTCAGCAGAAAATGTTTCAGAGTAGTTTCCAGATCAACTAAAAAAAAAGAAAGAAAAACTCCAGCCTTGCCTTCAGGCTTATAGTGTAAAAGACTAAAGGAAAAAGAAATGGGTAGGGAGGAGGGGGAAAGCTAACTCAAGGACAATTTCTTAAAGTTACAATTCTTATAGAGACCAGCTGGGGTGGAAACAGTTCACGTGGCCTGATGGAATAATGGAATGAGGAATGATGGAATGATGAAATGGGGAAACCCAGCCAGATGGGCAGGTTATAAATAATAAATTATTATTAAAATTATTATAACAACCCTTGCTAAGTAACAGGTGATGATGACGAAGAGCCAAAAGCAACCGGTCTCTCAGCAGAGCTGATGGAACAGCCCTGCTTCCCTTCTCTAATTCTGCTGCAGCCAGAAAGCAGGATTTTTGAGTTTTCAGTCTTTTACAATAAGTAGAAAAACTGAATGGAGATTAGCTTAAGGGCTACTAGACTGAAACTGAAGGAAACTCTAAAATTTTAAACAAAACCACAATTTAAGGTTGCAAAATGCTTAGATTTACGGAGCAGTTCAAGTAACAGAAGCATGAAGAAATGTTCTTTCATAAGAACACAACACAAAACATTGAGCAATATTAGCTGTAAAGGCTGGTATTTTTTGACTTACTGGGCAAAAGGGTGCCTTCAAGGCTGATATAAACTAATTCACCCTGTTTTAAGATCACATCAGGCGCACAAACACTGTTCATCTGTGCTCTTATGTGCATGCTAGACACAAACCAGGGATTCTATTCTGACTGCTGACATCATGCTAAATGTCAGCAATCATCATCAGTACAGGACTAGGAGGAGGGAGAGGACGAACATGCAAGAACCAAAGCCAACCCACCTCTCATGATGAGCCTTAAGAAGAAGTGATGTGCTGCCCTCAAAGGGTTGTATCCAATGCTAGTCCTACCAAGAACAAACCCTCAGAAATGCATGAGCATGACTAATATAGTCCCATTCACTTAAAAAGGTCAACATTGAGTATGAAGTATTTGGCTAAAACTCATAGTGACTAAGACTTAAGAATGACAAAATGCTGCTTTGGACAAAAGGAGGACACTAGTTGACACAAGATTCTGGTTATTAAAACTACCGTATTTTTCTCTCTATAACACTCACATTTTTTCTCCTAAAAAGTAAGGGGAAATGTCTGTGCGTGTTATTGAGCGAATGTGTGGTCCCTGGAGCCAACTGGCCCAAGTACAGGGGCAAAAATCAGGCAAAAATCAGATCGTGGAGGAAGGAAGGCTAAAAAGAGGAGGTTGCTGCTTTCCTGCATTCTGCCTCAGGGTCTTACTGCCCACTGTTTTCGCTAGGAGCGCAGCCGACAGCCACCACCTCCTCCTCTCCGTGCTCCGCTGCTGCTGCTGCGTCCAGCATCGCAGGCAGCCGGAAAATGCAGGTGGGGGAGAGAGAGAGAGAGAGAGAGAGAGAGAGAGAGCTGGCTTGGGTGGGTGGGGGGAAACTTTTGCCTTCCTTTCCTCCCTCCCGTTAAACGCCTCTCCTGCATTGTTAGCCAGCTGCTTCTCCGCATGCAGGAGAAACATGCAGGTGGGAGAGGGAGAGGGAGAGAGGGAGGGGGGGCTGGCTTGGGTGGGTGGGTGAAAACTTTTGCCTTCCTCTCCTCCCTCCTTTTAAACCCCTCTCCTGCATTGTTAGCCAGCTGCTTCTCCGCACACCCCTCTCGTGCTCCTTGTCCCTTCTGTGTTCTCCCCACTTAAAACGTGGTTACAAAGCACGGATCCACATGGATCCTCAGGATCTTTGCATTGGGTCACCCCAATTTCACCATCAGATCACATTATATGTCCATGGCTACAGCCTGCACCAAAAAAACCACGCACCCACTGTTGCCTTGGGCTGCAATGGTGCAAAAACGTGGTTACAAAGCATGACTCCACATGGATCCTCAGGATCTTTGCATTGGGTCACCCCAAATTCACCGTCAAATCACATGTCTGTGGCCACAGCATGAAGCACAAAAATGATACATCCACTGTTTCATTCAGAATTTTTTTTCTTGTTTTCCTCCTCTAAAAACTATGTGTGTGTTATGGTCAGGTGCGTGTTATCGAGCGAAAAATACAGTAGATGAAATCCAGTGCTTGCTTTTAATATAATAGTAAGGCAAGTTACTCATGCAGGGCCAGGTTCTCAGAACAGTTTTGATCTGTCCTGTACCAATGTGCTAAAACAGGCAACTACCGTTATGTGCATGGTCACACATACGTGTACAGTGCCAAATCTGGAAGCAATGTGAAAACATCATAAGGATGTCACTGAAACATCACTAAATTGGGGGGTGGGGCAGGGTGTTTGCAGGCTTTTTCAATGGGCTTTCGGATTTCACACAATTGCAATGACCCAAAACACAACCCCCGTGCAAAGAGGGAGTTGCCAATATTTTTTAAAAAGAATATTTTTTCACATAGAGTGGCTGGGGAAATCCAGCCAGATGGGTGGGGTAATAATAATAATAATAATAATAGCTATAATTTGGCCTGGAAGACAAAGGGGTTTATTAGGAAATGTTCACTCCATTTGTGAAATGAGCACCTCATAGATTAAATGAAGTGCTCTGTGCTTGCTGTTCCGACAGTGACAGGACAGGCTATGGCCAAACACATACAGTAAGGTAAAAAGCCTCTGTCCAGAATTAGCATTCACACAACCACAGCTCAGTAGTGTGGAGCTGGAATGGTAAGGTGGTTCTGCCAGACAAGTACATTCAGAACACATGCAGCGCACGTGAATGTGTCCGGATTGCAATGCCTTGACGACAAAAATTAATTAGCTGTAATTTGCTTCAAAACCCAGAAGAGGATGTTGATGCTCAGAAACGCCCCAAACACCTGACCAACAGAGAACACAGAGTACGTAGGTTGGGGAACTCGTTTATAAAAGGTCTATGACAAAGTACAGAAAGTTAATGACCTTGCAGCTAATTTTAACATTTGTGCAATTTGGCACAGTGATGTCTTCGCCCTAAGCGCATTATCTGGTTTATTTACTCGCACCCACAACCCCACAAAACTCCTATTCAATGAAGTTGTCATCTGCACATGCACAACAGAGATCTCAGATCTATACATCTCTGCTTAACTGCAGCTTACATTTACGAATCAGATGGAAGCTGGTTTGAGAGATAATGCATCAAACAGCAGTATCTCACAGGAAACTACAGGATGCATATGGATTGCAGCTAACATCGTATGTACAGTTTCAAATATCAGCAGCGGGAAGGCACTGGAGCCGGAGTAAATGGGAATGTGTACAGAGTCTCAGAAAAGAGTTTTATCCCAGTCCATAAGTGTACTGCATTTATACATGCATTTTCTAAAACTATGTGTGCTCTATATATACATCCAATTGTTTTATATATGTTTTTTCTGTATTGTGAAATTGTTTTGAGATGGCTCATAGGAAACTATTCATAAATAAATAAATAAACAATGTCTAATAATCACCAAATTGGCACAGTTACTATCAAGTTTAATTTGCAAGATAACCAGAAGTTGAAATCAGGTTATAATTCTGGTTCCAGCCATAGGTTTGAGGGGAGTCTAAGGTTAGAGGTACCTATTGCAATGCTGGTTCAGATGCAATGTGAAACAACAGTTTCAGGGAAAAGAGGGAATAATAAGGGAGGGGTGTGTAAGAGAATGGGATGCTCCCAATTGCCTGACTGGCTTGGCAACTGGGCAATGCACTGTCTGAACTGGACCAGTGTAATTACTCGTATAAAACTGCAAAGCAGTGTACCCAACAGCTAGAGATACTGGAAACAATTGAGAAACCTGGCTGTCTACAGTTCCCTCTGGGCCCAAACACAGACTAAGAGACACTGTTACTTACCAAGCAGCATTGCATCAACAAATCTAATTTTGACCTGGCTGCTGAACAGCTGTCGTCACCCTCCTGAAACCCCACATATGAAACCTTAGATTGCCAGGGAAAGATCTTTAACATGCACAAACACAAGCTACGTAGTGAGCTGTGACTTGTGTTCTACAGGAACTGGACACATAGCTATTATTTGCATACATCTCCCTTTACTCAAGTTGGAGATGAGCTGTTTAATCATTAAGATTCCTTTCCCACACAAGGCATCTGGCAACTTTCCAAGAACTAAAACTAAATATATTTTGCTCCTTCTTCAGACTATTCTGTATAGCTACAATCACAGCGAGAACTAACAGCAAGGTTATTGGAAACTCCCACTTATAGCTAGTATTGTCTTCAGCCTTCTGTTGCAAAAAATGCAAGTGCATACCCTGAAAATGCAATCTAGAGTAGCATTAATACTTCTGCGGAAAGGTCAGGTTTCTAGAAAAAGTAGGCACTGTTCCTTGGAGGAGCAGAATGACCCTCAGCCTCATAAACAAGAGAAAGGACATTTGAAGATCTGCAAATATGTAAACACAAAGAACTTGGCTATTGCCAAAGTATCTCTTTGGGAGAAGTAGATTGGGGCAAAATTTAGTGGGACAACTGTTCAGGGTTTTTTTTTACATGGAAAGCCCAACAAATTCATACGGAAAGTCAAATAAATGTTAGCTATGAAGGATGAGTTGGTGTGGAGCACAACCTTGTCTTCTTGAAAATAAATACACTCATTTTCTATGACCAACAATGCTCTTGTGCTCTTGCCCCCAATTCATGGGGGAAATAAACATAACTCAAAACCCAGTCTTCCAGGTAAGCACTCAAATAGGTTCAGAAGGAGGGCCAGTAAGAGCTTTCAGGACTAAGGAATGGTTGCAAATGTGGCACCTGTGAACAGAGCAAGAGTAGATAATGAACTTACTCCTTAATTTTATTTTTTAAGTGAGATGATGGGATAAGAATGAAATGTAGATGTTGACTGTTTTAATCTCTTATACGGTTAATTATAATTATTTTTAAACTGTTTTTATTATTTAAATTTTAAATTTTAATAGTATATACATATTGTTAAGAAGCTACCCAAGAATGTTATCAAGCATTGCCATTTGTCTCTTAAGAGTAATGACTGCTGAGCTCTTGGTCAGCCTGTTGGAGAAGGCTAAGATGTCCTGACCAGAGGCAGAAATGGAATGGAGTGTTTCTCTCTTGGGATCTGTGGATGGCTTTCCATGTTATTTCATAAGTCTGAGAAGCGGAGAATCTGCAGGAGGTCAGAATGGTGTTAATTGTTTTCCTCACAATCCCAGTCTTGACAGCATTGCTTTTCAGTTTTGAAGCATAAAAGCAGGACTGATCTCAAAGGGATGGTAGATTGGGCTCTGAGAGAGAAGACTCAGTGAGATGAGGGTCAAGGGCCCAGAATCTCATATTCCATTAAGTCTGGGAATCTTGGTCAGCCATGCAGAATATTTCAGATTTCCATGTAGAAGGACTGTGTCTTGCATAGGACTTTCCCTAAAAGTAGAGAGACAGAAAGGTATATAGGAGGCCTAGTAGCCACGGTAGGAAAAGTGAATCTATCATTTAATATCCCTATTATTGGAATATGGAGAAGAAATGTGCCATTTTGGGGTTCCTTTGGACATGAAGAATATATTGACAATTAAGAAGCCCAGATGAAAAGTTATTTAATGAGTTCTAGATGATACAATCCTTGCTGAAACCAAAAGAAATTCATAGATGAGTCCAACATAAATTTCAGCTGCCCAGCCCAAAATAGCTGATCCACTCAAAATAACTTCTAAGTGTAGAGCCTGGGTACAAGAATGGGAGCTCACACCAAAATAATTGGCAGTGGTGGCTTTGATGGAAGTGGAATGGTCTCCCTCAGGAGGTTGTGGACTCTCCTTCCTTGGAAGTTTTAAAGCAGAGGTTGGATGGTCATCTGTCCTGGTTGCTTTAGTTGAGATTCTTGTATTGCAGGGGTTGGACTAGATGACCCTTGGGGTCCCTTCCAACTCTACAATTCTATGATTCTATGAAAGAAGTATCCGGATCAAATCTATGATAGGCCAGCACCATTCTTCCTATCAAGGATTCATCTTGAATTCTCCTTTTTCTGGGGAATCGCTGGCATGGGTATTAATGCAGCCACGAAGCCATCCACAGAGAGGACAGTGCACCTATCCATCGCTTCTATGGAAGAGGATAAAACGTTTTGTGATAGGTTTGGAAGCCACAGCATCTTGTCCTCCCTTTCCTGAGCCTGTGGTCAAACAGGTGTGGGGTACGAGGCTATGAAGTTATAGAAGTCTTAAGAGTGATGTGTGAGGTGCTGCACTCTTCCTTCCCTTTCTGTCAGAGGGAAGATAGGCTGAAATGTCTGAAGAAATGAGCAAGAAGGCCTCCAAACCCGCAGCTCTGTAGAAAAACTGAATAAGCACAGGAACCTCCTGCACAGAAGGGATAGCAAAATTGCTGTCCCTGCCTTGGACCAGAGAAGGGCTTAAGCCAGCCCAACCTGCTCTGCTGTCCTGTGACCAATAATTATCTGGCCACAGAGTGCACAGAGAAAAATATTATAAATTCAAATGATCCAAGAAACATTTTAAAAAATTGTGGCCAACTCCTACATTATTGCATAGGAGACAGTAGTCCTGTTCGTACATCCAGTACCACATTTACTCAATGCATAGAGAGGAGACAAAACAATGAAAGCCAGTGTGGCATAATGGTTAGAGTGTTGGCCTCTGACCTGAGAGACCATGGTTCGAATCCCCACTCACCCATGAAGCTCACTGGGTGGTGACCTTGAGCCAGTCACTATCTCTTAGCTTAACCTACCTCACAGGGTTGTTGTGAGGATGAAATGGGTGAGAACACGGCTATAGTGCAATAGCTTCATCACTCAAGTAAAAATAGCCACATTTTAAAAATGGGTGTGTGTGTGTTCTGCTCCTCATAATGATTCCAATGTGTCTCTCTATACTCAACAATCTTATCAACAGAAGTCCATGGCTCAGGAGAAAACTTTTACATTTGTTTTTGAATAAGATTCAAAAATAAGACTTTTGGGGGTGGGGCAGCAGGGATCTCCACTTATTTTTCTTAACAGGTCTGGATGTTGGGATGGCAGTAATCAGAAGTACAAAAAGTGGTACCTGATGTTCTGTTTAAATAAGTTGTTGATGCAACTCACGTGCTACATTTCAAAGCTGCTATTATTCTTTTTAACAAATTCAGAACCATGGACATCAGTTTCCTTTTGCTGCTCAATTCACAGGTTGTGATAAAGAATATGAATACATTCCACTCTAGTTTCACTTTTGATAAGGAAAAGGGATTGAAGGAGTAGGATATTAGATGTTCACAGAAAATAGGCAACTTTTAGAACTACTGGAACATATCTCTTATAAGAATACACTAGCAGCAATAATACATCAGGCAATAACTGTCTATAAAATGGGCCTTCATTTTAGAATTAAAAGGATAGTATTACTGATCAAACAATAAACAAAACATCCATAGTGCTGGTTTAAAAATCAAGACCTGCTATTCTTAAGCATTTTAAAAACAATATGGTTACTTATGAGCTATAATATGCTAACTATGTATATCCCAAATGCCTCCTCAAAACAAACTGAGCTATGAACTCTCTTTTCAGTGCAGTACATTAAATTATGGTTAATGCAGCCAATAACAAATAGCTTGCACCTTCAGATTTTAAGAACTTTGTTGCTGCTGCTTCAGCAGTTTACAAGCTAATCTAACTATAGTATTTCATTTTAGTCACTGAAAACTCATTCCCCAAAATCTGAATTAACTTACAGGGAATATCTAACATTTTGCAGCCTCTTTCACGTACCTCCCCACATTAAAATTTAAAAAGAACAGGCTGAAAAGCAAAGAGCTTCAAGCAAAAGTAAATACAGTACACGATTTAGGACAAAAGACAGTGTTTCAGAAAGATGTATCAATCACATGTTAAAAAAACCCACAGGTATTCTGACATACAAATCTGATCATCTATATATTGCACTTGGAGCAAGCTTTGACTGTATTATTACTTAGACTGTGGCTGTCAAAGGAGAGCACATATTACAACACACTAAATATTTTTTAAAAGAATTATTCTGAACTTAAGAGGAACATACATAGCTAAATTGCAGTTAACAGAACATGGAATTTATAAAAATACTGAGCATTTTCTACATGCTTCAGATAACATGAGTGTTTTCACTTTACAAGCTAGTAACCCTGAAAACCAGCAATGATCGAAAAATCCAACTCAACTTGTTCTGTACAATAACTCAGTCATATCCCAAATTACTAAGAAACAAATTGCAAAATAAGACTCACTAAAGCAGAACAAGCAAGCAACTCGATGCTTTGGCACAGCTAAAAACAAACTCAAGTTGCCAAGTTACGCTCCAGATCTATCAGACCTACACAACTGATCAGAAAACAGCAGCAGAGGTACACCTTCAAACCTGGATCTTTTCAAAATGCAGCATCATTCATCCCACAGAGAAGGAAGGAAGAATACTTTAATTCAGCATTGTGTTCCAGGACGGGGCAATCTCCTGCCCAATAACTCAAAAGAAGTTTGAGAGTTGACAGCACATTCTTCCTGTTCCACACTGCAGAATCCCAAAATGGCTTCCCAGCGTCAACAAAGCCTGAAGGATCAGACGAATCTAATCCAGCCTCTTAAAGCTTCCATTGTCACTCAGAGGCAGACTTTGAATTTATTGGACAAAGCTACTTCAGCCAGCCCACAATATTTAACCACTTAATTTCCTTCAAGGATGTACATACTGAAAACCCTTTCCCAGTGTTTTATTTATAGTTACAGGTTTCCATGGCACTTTCATTCTCACCTTTAATTAGCTCTTTAGCAAGGAGAAGCTACAATACTGCACAGAAGATCCCCCCAACATGCTTTTGTTGTTTTCCTAGGCAACCTGCAATGTTCTGTTTCCACAACATGCTTCTATTTAGCAAAAGGAAGGCAGGGAGGGGGCGGGATCAGGCTCTTCCCTGCTTTTTAAAAATAAGCTCTGGAGACCTATGAGCAAGAACTCCATTAAACCTGTGCTAGCAAAATTGATACTTTAATAGCAAGGAGGCAAGTGCAGTTATTCAAATGCTAAACAACATTCTTATGGGGGGGGGACCTTTACCTATGTAAATTATCTGCACAGCTCTAGCACTTTCATCATATGCAAAGCAAAATTTGAATGTCAGGAGCATTTTCCTTATTCTTTGGAACAACTTAACTTAAAAACCTTTTCCTACCTCAACAAGAGCTGGCCTTAGAGGAAATATTAAAATGTCCCACATCATGCAAGGCTAGAGCTTTTGAAATCTGGCAACACGAGTTTATTCATCCCACCTAGCACTGTCCAGAGCCTCCATCTCCATCTTAGAGATCATCAGCTTTCACAGTGCTTAGGTATGCAGCTCCCCACTCCCCTCTCTGCCTCTCATTGCTGCCACCTGTTGCTCACCCACATGCATGCCATACCTAATCAAAAGGGTGGCAGTAATCCCCCCCCCCATTGCTACAGTGATCCCTTGCTCTTCCTTCCCTCCCTCAAGGTTCCCATAACCTTGTCAAAGGAAGCCTCTCTGTAAGCCTCCCTCCCTCACTTCAACAGATAAAACAAAACTGGCAGCTCATCCAATGGCTCATTCATGCTCATTCTTAACCCTGACATACAGAAGCAGTTGTCTGGGGCTGCATGAGACCATGACATTCTTTGAATATGCAGGATGCACTCTAGTGAACCCCCAAGGACTAATCAATACTCAAATAGGGCACAAGGTTTGGTGCATTAAACTGGCAGGATGGTGAAGCCAATACACACCCGAGGAGGGGCCAAAGAGAGGCTTGGCCCTCCCCTGATTATAGCACATGCCTCCTCAGCATTACACATATCAAAAATGCCAGGAGCAGTTGTTTTAAAGCTTTCTAGCTTCAAGGAATCTGTTTAGCTTCAACTAGCCCACCAAAAGACCCAAGTACTTTGTGGTGTGCTCTAGCCACACAGTCATTTCAGAGAGGGTGCCACCCAAGTTTGTTGGGCTCACCTCACCAAATCACCATTAACACATATGTATTGGAAGTAGACATCTAATACTCCCCTACAGCTGCAGATTTCTGGGAAAGATTGGCAGCACCAAGCAAAATATCTTTCATGTAAACTACTAAATCTATTATTTTGTAGTACATGATAATGAGGTGATATAGTAAACCAGTTCAATGAATTCTTCAATAAATCAACTTGGAAAACAGAATAATAGGAGTGAGTTTATGAGTAGTGCCTGCATATCTATATCATATAGCAATATATGTTGTATTTCTCATCCATGTGATGTTTCATTTGTAAATTTAATAAAATCATGCTATACAGTGTAAAAACCACCATTTTCTTTCTCTCCCCTTTCCACCTTCAATTTTGGTCATAGATGCTTCAGTTGAGATTCGTACATAGCAGTGGGTTAGATTAGATGACCCTCAGGGTCCCTTTCAACTCTACAATTCTATGATTCTATAACATCATTGCCATGGTTAGAACATTTCCAGGTATAGTTTGGAATTCTAGTGCCTACATCCCCCTACAGGGTGGAGGACCCATTTAGATGGTCTGCTCCCTGATCCCAGCCCAGAGACCAATGGAATATGATGAATTGCTTAAAGTTCTTGGGAATTTCCCGGTGGATGGGGCAGGCATTCATATGAAAGGTCCTAGTCTTGCTATAGAATGGCAAGATAAGATGGACAATTGAAAGTTTAGCAATCTAGTTTTCTCTCCAGTGCTATGTAGTCTGTTCAGCAACTTGGTACTTCAAGTAATTATGGATGATAAAACAGGCTGGACAACAACTAGAACCCAGGTCTTTGTTACAAAGGCAGTTGAGCACTGGTTAGAGTACACAATCATGCCTAACCTGAAACTGTTCTTAACCCGAGGTACCACTTTAGCTAATGGGGCTTCCCACTGCTGCGAAATTTCTGTTAAGCAAAGTTCTTAACCCGAGGCATTATTTCTGGGTTAGCAGAGTCTGTAACCTGAAGCATCTGTAATCTGAAGCGTATGTAACCCGAGGTACCACTGTATATGGACTATTGAAATTGGAGTTGAAAAATACATCTTGCGCCTTCAGTTTTCAAATTAGCTTACACTGTAATAAGAATTAGCAGCTCTCTCACATGTACAGCCCCCTCCAAACCCCAAACCCCGAGTTATTCATAGGTGGAACGTGCTAGGATTCCATTTTATAGCAAGGATACTTCCAACAGTATGTAATTCTTAAGTGCAAAGCACTTGTTTCCAAATGCCTTAATATACAATCTACATACCATATAATTGCACACAAATACATTTTGCTGGATGAACATGCTGCATACAAGCCCTAGAATCCATGACCAATCACAGTTTCTCAGAGTGAAACACATACATTTGTTCTGATGGGAATTAGCATGCTACCACAATATAAACAGTCACACTTTTAAATAAACACACATTTTTCTATATGTACACCATGATGGAAATCTATGTTTGGCTGCAGTTTCTCTGCACGTGTACACCACAGGAGCACACAAGGAAGCAGACTTGTGCAATTATCACACTTGACCATCTATATTTAAGTTGCCTGTGTGTAAGGGCTTACAATTTTTTTGCTTAAGTTCTGATAACCCTTAGACTAGTTAAGAAGAGAGCTGATGTTCATCTTCTTCAGAGATAACTAAGAAACACATATAAATATGAGAAAGTTTGCAGTAAATAAATCAGTCTAGCCTCACTTAGTAACGGAATATTTATAGTCTTTAGTACCATAATTGCACACTCAAAACCTGCCTGCCTAGGTACCGTATTTTTCGCTCTATTGGACGCAGTTTTTCCTCTCCAAAAATTGAGAGGAAATGTGTGTGCGTCCTATAGAGCGAATGCAGGCTTGTGCCATAGCCGCGCGCAACCCCTCCGGCAGGGAGAGGCTGCACGCGGCTATGGCTTCTTTAGCCCTGCGCAGCGTCTCCAGGCAAGGAGAGGCTGCACGGGGCTAAAGGGGAAGCCAAAGCAGCGAGCGGGATCCATCCCGCTCGCTGCCTTGCCTTCTTCCGTAGCTGCGCGCAACCCCTCCGCAAGGAGAGGCTGCACGGGGCTAAAGGGGAAGGCAAAACAGCGAGCGGGATCCATCCCGCTCGCTGCCTTGCCTTCTTCCGTAGCTGCGCGCAACCCCTCCGCAAGGAGAGGCTGCACGGGGCTATGGCTTCTTTAGCCCCACGCAGCCTCTCCCGGCAAGGAGAGGCTGCACGGGGCTAAAGGGGAAGGCAAAACAGCGAGCGGGATCCATCCCGCCGCTGCCTTGCCTTCTTCCATAGCTGCGCGCAACCCCTCCGCAAGGAGAGGCTGCACGGGGCTATGGCTTTAGCTCCCACGCAGCCTCTCCCGGCAAGGAGAGGCTGCACGGGGCTAAAGGAAGGCAAAACAGCGAGCGGGATCCATCCCGCTCGCTGCCTTGCCTTCTTCCATAGCTGCGCGCAACCCCTCCGCAAGGAGAGGCTGCACGGGGCTATGGCTTCTTTAGCCCCACGCAGCCTCTCCCGGCAAGGAGAGGCTGCACGGGGCTAAAGGGGAAGGCAAAACAGCGAGCGGGATCCATCCCGCTCGCTGCCTTGCCTTCTTCCATAGCTGCGCGCAACCCCTCCGCAAGGAGAGGCTGCACGGGGCTATGGCTTCTTTAGCCCCACGCAGCCTCTCCCGGCAAGGAGAGGCTGCACGGGGCTAAAGGGGAAGGCAAAACAGCGAGCGGGATCCATCCCGCTCGCTGCCTTGCCTTCTTCCATAGCTGCGCGCAACCCCTCCGCAAGGAGAGGCTGCACGGGGCTATGGCTTCTTTAGCCCCACGCAGCCTCTCCCGGCAAGGAGAGTCAGCACGGGGCTCAAGGCGAAGCCAAAGCAGCGAGCGGGATCCATCCCGCTCGCTGCCTTGCCTTCTTCCATAGCTGCGCGCAACCCCTCCGCAAGGAGAGGCTGCACGGGGCTAAGGGGAAGGCAAGACAGCGAGCGGGATCCATCCCGCTTGCTGCCTTGCCTTCTTCCACAGCTGCGCGCAACCCCTCCGCAAGGAGAGGCTGCACGGGGCTATGGCTTCTAGCCCCACGCAGCCTCTCCCGGCAAGGAGAGGCTGCACGGGCTAAAGGGAAGCCAAGACAGCGAGCGGGATCCATCCCGCTTGCTGCCTTGCCTTTCTTCCATAGCTGCGCACAACCCCTCTGGCAGGGAGAGGTTGTGTGCAGCCTGTACGCTGCTCTTTGGGGCTGTGGGGGAAAAATATTTTTTTCCTTGATTTCCCCCCCTAAAAACTGGGTGCGCCCTATGGTCCGGTGCGCCCTATGGTGCGAAAAATACGGTAAATTTTCCTTGTTTCAACATTCAAAACTTGATGCGCACATTTCATTTTCCATTTCTTAATGCCATGCTGGCACCATCATGTTCCATGCTGTACTGCCAAGATCTTTACCATTTTAGCCTGGATCACAATATCACTAAATCCATAATTCTACTTCAGAACCACATAAGCATGCTAAAACCAGAGAGACAATGTGAAAGATGGGCATTACAAAAAATCATAGTAGACCAATACCAATGGTCTACTATAATTGATGTTTTCTTTTGTTCTGTGTATATCACAATGTATTTTTGTTGCTATGGCCGACGGCTGACGCAAATAAAGTTTCATTCATTCATTCAATGGGGCATAGCCCCAAAATATGTTGTATTCAAGTCTTCCTTGCAGAATTAATCCACTACTGTTAACAGCAGCAATGGCAATAATAACTAATAGTATTGGAGACATCACCATATGTTTCCTGGCATTTATGCAACCTGTCATCAAATTCTTTATTGACTAAAATATACCACCAACGCCCAGCAAGATGCCAACCCATTTGCAATGCTAGCAGAAGGACATCTTTTCATTTGAATAAAGCATGCCGTTTTTTGTTTCCCAGCTGTCTGTTACAAACCCCCAGACCACTCTGGAGCAAAGTACCACAAATAGTGAAAGCACAGAGAGCCGTTTGTTGCTCTTTTGTGGACAGGTCATTTATCTGCCAAAGAGACAGAAGGCACAGCTGCTACTGTTCTAATCAGAACTCTATTAAAGCCTTGTGAGCCTGGATTATCCTTATAGGACTAACTGTGCCACATTCCCATATGAGGGGGTGTATCTGAATATAATACACTTAATAATTTCCTGGAGAAAGAAAACATAACTACCTGTCTGCAAAGTGCTATCCAACTATTTTTACTACAAAATATGACTACCAAAACTTCATGCCTGTTCAAAACCACCTCTCACTCTGAACTTTTATATCACTCTCTTTAATTTCTTCTTACTTACTGGTACATTGTCCTCAGCAACAATCACAAGGAAACAATTTTACCACAAGTTACTAAAATCAAGGTGCTACTTAACAGAACTGGGTCAAACGCCCACCATTTTAAGCAACTTTCATATGTATTTATTGGACACAGTTCTTCCTATTCCAAAGTCTTGAGGCGGATAATAATATGCTTGACTCCATCACTGGCTATTAAAAACCAAATTAAATCCTCATACGGTTTTTCAGAATAAATACACTTTTCAGAATAAATACACTAAAGCATTATTTTCCATAGAAACTCACTGAAGATTATTTATTTACATTACTGTATTAAAATATTTATAATCCAACATTTACCAAACATCCCATGTCAGAACTATATGCTGTTAAAAACAAAAAATAAAATAAAACAAAAACAATGTAAAACAAAACACAGAATTCAGTTACAAATAAAACCACCAGCAGCAACAGAAACTCAAATGGCTAATACACCTGAATCCCAAAAGGCTAGGCAAAGAGGTGTCATCAGCTGCTGATGAAATGACATCAGTGTTGTAGTGAGACATACCTCAGAGGGGAAGTCATTTCAAAGGCAAGAGGCCACTGAAAAGAAAGCCCACCCATGGGCCCCTGCCCCTACCACATACACCTCATTAGGCCTGGGAGCCACCAGCAGAGCTTTTCCTATAGATCTTAAAATTCACGCAGGTTTGAATGGGAGGAGGCATTCTTTAAGAAAATTGGGCCCTTAGACATTGAGGGGTAGCCAAGAATACCCTTAATGTGTATCCTTACAGATTTTGATTTGGTGTCTATATTGACAGCACTCCCTGGTGGTCTTAAAAGTTGTAGTGGCAGTCATAGGAAGCTGCCTTATACCAGGTTGGATCATTGGTTCATCTAGCTAAGCATTCAGACTAGTTAGTACCCGTTCTCCAGGATTTCAGGTAGAAGTCTTTTTCCAGTCCTACATGGAGATGCCTGGGATTGAACTTGGGACCTTCTGCATGCAAAGCTGGTATTATTCCACTGAACTACAGTCCTTCCTGTAACCTTTTGCATGCAAAACTTGTGCTCTACCACTGAGCTGTGCAGCCTTTCTATTAGACATGCAGGGCACCTTGAACTGAGTACTAACTTATGTGAGCTCATATTCCACCATACCCAGCAGCTCACAGTATGTAAGTGTGAGTAGGAAAACTATTAGTTATTCACTGATTGATAGTCTCATGACACATGAGTACAAGTCCCAGCCCAGAGGGTTCCAAGCAAAGATTGGAAGCTACATAAAAGGGGGAAAAAATCACAATGAAACTCAAAGAGGTAGCATGAAAATGTAGAAACCAAATATAAAATGCTTGACAGAATAAAAATATTTCCAACACCCATCTAAAAACAGGAAGAAATAGAATACGGCACAGGAAACAGAATTCAGCTATGTATAATTTTAAAAAGAAAGATAATATAATGCCAGAGTCTAAAAGTATTGGTGACCACTAGACAGACTGAAAACAAACATTTAAGAAGTTTTAATCCTAAATTCAGGCAGGCCATACCTTTATCAGAACCTCCCAAAACAAGGAACAAACTTTCAAATGCTCCATAAGTTTTCTTCAGACTGGATGTGAAAGCAAAAGTAGGCGGAGTGAAGAGAGGGGAAAGGAAGGAGGGGAAAAATTTCACTTCAAAAAAATTGTTACATTCATAGTTTGTCCTCCAAGTGGTGCAGGGCAGCTTACATGGTCCTCTCCTCCCATTTTATCTGCACAGCCACCCTTTAAGATAGGTTAGGCTGAGAGGGAGGAACTGGCTCAAGGACACACATACTGAAGTTCACAGCTGGGTGGGGACTTGAACACCAGGTCTCCCCAGTCTTGGTATGCTACCTTGAATGAAAGGCAGACTATAACTGTAGTAAGAAGATAGCAACAACAAAACCATCAAGGTAGGTATTGCGACATTTTGTCGACATCTTGGTTTGCCCCATTAAAAGTATTAGCTGGCTGCAGCTTTTGGAGCCTTCTTATGGAGCAGCAGGGGCTACTTTCTATTTTTATTTTAATCCTAGAGGGGGAACCTGTGGTCCTTCAGACTGTTGTTGAATACCAACTCCCATCAGCCCTAATAAACCCTAACTTGCTAAACTACCTTAGGGATAGAGGTATTTTAGCAAAATGTGGAGGATCACAGGCTACCCACCCCTGCCCTAGCTGGAAGCTAATGCATTTTTATGCATTTGATTTATGTTCCATTTTTCATCCAAAGGAGCTCAAGGTGGCATACATAGTTTCCGTCCTCCATTTTATTCTCACAACAGCCCTGTGAGGTAAGCCAGGCTAAGAGACAGTGATTTGCCCAAGGTCACCCAATGAGCTTCATGGCTGAGGGGAGATTTGAACTCTTGTCTGCCGGCCCAACACTCTTAACTACACCACCACAATGGGTTGGGCAAGCTCATCTTTTATTGTATGTGCATGTATATGTTTCACAAGGCCTTTGGCTCTTAATTATCTGCAGCCTCCAGTGGGTGGAATGATTTAAACCTGCCTTTTGAAAACGGATTTATCCTTGTTCGTTCCCTTTATTTTATGCCTGTTTCAATGGACGTGCTTGTTGTAAGCTACTTTGGTTTTTAAAAAAGCAACCAGTAAACTGTATGGTGTCTAAATTGTTGTAAACCTGATCCCCCCCCCAAAAAAGAATCATTGAGTAGAAAGGGTTCCAAGGGTCATCTAGTCCAACCCTCTGCAATGCAACAATTCGTTTTGGAATAGCAGCATGCAACTATTTGTTCATATAAAAGGGGAGTGGAAAGGAAGGAGGGGAGGGAGAATGAAGCCACCAGATATTTCTCCCTCCCCGCCTTTCTCTCGATTTGCTTGTGTGACGGGGGGGGGGGTTCAAAGAGAAGAGCCCCCCCCATATTATTGAGGCGGGGGGGAGAAGCGAGGATGTTGGGTGGGGGCCTACGAACAATCCTCGCGCTAAACTAAGGGGGGGGGATTTCCCCTCCTCAACCTCCACAGTATAAAAACGGAGGCTGCGGTGGCGGTTGTGGTGAGGAAACCGAATGAAGGCGGCGGCTGCTGCGGCAAGCAATGAATCCCGCTGAGAAACCGAGAGGGCCGCGTTAACATAATACCGCCGCCTGCTCTATCCCTTTCATGTATTCCCGGGCAAGAGAGGAAGAGAAGGAAAAGAGAAGCAAGAAGCAAGAGCAATGGAAACGGAGTCCACCAGGCGCCTCGGCCGCAGCGCGCGCTCTGTCTCTCAAGCGCGGCCGTTAGTTACCTGACGAGAGGCACGCGCACGCGCCCTGGGAGGATGCCGCTTCTGGCTGACTGCCGGCCGTCGTCGGCGCACCTGAGGAGGGTGACGAGGATCTCGCGCTGCTTTACGGGAGCAGCGCCGCTACGCGTCCGTTCCGCCCCCCGCCCCGCTTGACTGAGGGGAGCGGGGCGGGAGGCGTCGGCGGACTCGCCGCTTCCCTGAGAGGCCTCCAGAACGTCTCTCCCTCTCTCTGCTCCTCATGCCCCGCCCCGCCCCCTTCGGCCGCGGGCAACGGTTCATTTTCGAAAATGGCGGCAATCGCAGGAATGGGCTGGGCTGCGGGAAGGCACGCCCACCGCCCCTCTTCCACACGGAGGCGGTTGGTCAGGGTAGGAGAAGCGCTCTCTGCACATGCTCAGTGGGAAAACGGATATTTCTCCTCAGCTGGTGCCTTTTCCCGTTTCCTTCGTTTCTAGGTGTGCCTAACCCGCACCTCCAGCTCCGAAGCAGGGATTGCCCCGCGGCAGAGGCGTAGGAAGGTCAGGTGGTACCCAAATTTCTTGTCACCCCCCAACATGGATTTTTTTTTGCCTGAAAAAATGGTTTTATGTTATTTCATATTTCCTTACAAAGGAATAATAATAATAAACAACTTTTATTTATATCCTGCCGTCCCGGCTGAAGTCGGACTCAGGGCAGCTATCATCAGATACATAACATTGGTATAAAATCAAACAATAATTAAATTACCTCCTAAAAACATGTCAAAATCAAATTAAAGTCTAATTCGATGGCTTTCCACAGGGTAAGCCTTGGGAACAGTAAGTGCTCCACTGAACTGAAATTTCAGCCTTCGCGACATAGGAAAACGGCCAAGTAAATAGCTATTTTCATGGAGGGTCAAGACATTAACTGATATGCATGAAATTTCATATATAGCTATATAATCCCTAGTGTAGTAAAATAAGACCTTTGGAACAGGCATTTAAAAAAAAAAAAAAAAGAAGGTTTTTATGAACCGCCCTAGTAGGGCAGTAATTGTTACTTGATAATTTGTCACACACACACACCCATGATGGAAGCTGGGGCGGCTCGCCCTACGCCCCTGCCCCGCGGTGCCGTACAGTACACAAAGGGGAAAAACACCAAGTACCAAATAAAATATGGAAAGTGAAAACAGCAAAAAAATGAATCTGAAAAATACTTGAGGATAAAGCGAAGCCATGAGGGTGGGGAACCTCTGGGTATCATTGCACTATAGTGACCTAATTAATCCCTTAAAACTCAGCCTTTCTCAAGCTGTGGGTCCCCAGATGTTGTTGAATTACAACTCCCATCACCCCTAGCTAGCAAGACCAGAGCTCAGGGATGATGGGGGTTGTAGTCCAACAACATCTGGGGACCCACAGGTTGAGAACCGCTGATGTCATACTGGCTGGTGGTGATGGGAGCTGGAGTCCAACAACATCTGGGAGCCTTTAGATTGTATTTGTTCCAAGGGTTGGGTTTTTTTGTTTTTGTTTTGTTTTGAAGCCTGTTCATCAGCTGGAAAAAAATAAGATAGATTTGCAGTTTACAAAGATAGTCCCTTACCTTCGGTTTACAATTCTAAAAAGACGAAGACGCAAAATGGAAGAGGGACTGGGAGGGGGGAGGGGAAGAAGGCAAACTTGGATGCACTAGATCTGAGTTGGCAACAGTTCCTGCAACAACCTGCTAAAATGGACTACTGTAGTTGAAGGCTGGGGAGAGCGAGAAGTTTCTGGTGTTTCAGTTGAGCCAAGTGTCATATCTCCCTAGGGTACAGGACTCCTTAGCATCCTTTAGGCAGAGTATATATTATTCACTGGAAACTTGGCTAATATGCCCAGGCAGGGAGCACCCTCCGATTTTTATGGAATGCTTCTGGCATCTTTATTTAAGCCGCTCCTTTATAATTGTTTTGAATCTTGTTTTTGTTCTGTTCTTCTGTGTTTGTTTCTGTATGTATCTTGTGAGGACTATGCCCTAAAAGGCAGCCCAAAATAGAAACAAAATAACTAGGAGCAAAAGGTGAGGCACAAAGGAGTTTATAAATTAAACCCAGTTTAATTATTAAATGGCTATTGTGCCCTTTGAAAATATGTTTGCTAGTGGGGCTCAACAATATATACCCGCACACAATGATATGATGAGGTCTGCCTAGCCCCATTGTGGACATCTCTTTGGTGCCATGCAAATACATCTTCCCTGCCCATGCCTTCTGATAGTGAATATGGTATTTAGTTACCTCATCACTCATCCCTTGCTTCAGATAATTTAGAAGTTAAATACAGCTTCTGGGTTACTTATTTCCATCAACTGTGAACATTATGTCTTCCCTCTCTTTAACCAGTTTCATATCCACAACAGGCCACATGCCCTTGCCTCATGAATGCTGTTTGCTCAGGAGCCTTTAGTGAAGGACTTTGCTGAACATTTTTTAAGACTGTAGTCAATTACTTACACACAGAGGGAGAAATAACAAAAAACCTACCCCATCCTTGGACACCAAAAGAGAGAGCTCCTGGATACACAGACTCAACACCCCAACACCCCATTGTCTTATCTTAGAGGATAATGCACAATCATTAATCGATGCCTTGAATTGTTTAAAACTTATTTTGTACTTATATAGTAGGTGCCACCTTCTTTTCTCCACTATTTTTAGACTTTGGCTCCTAGTGTCTGGTTTGAAATCTAGCTGTGTCATTGACAAAGGCAGAAGCTAATATATTTAACTGTAGAATGTTAAGCCTCTTTTCTGTTTTGCCAGTCACTTGACTTATACGTACACACACACACACACAAAATATGGACACATGTGGTGTATTTTATGATAAAGTATCAAAAAACCAAATGACACACATTAACCATGTCATCAAAACTGGGCACTGTAAGCTAACATGAGAGATCAGTTATTTGCAGTGGGAGTTCAGTTACTTGCAGCCCAACCAATAAAGAAAAAACAGTGGTTCATTTAATAAAGGCACTTCGACATGGAACAAAAGAAAAATTGCAACAAACCAAACTATAATGAATATCCAGGGAGAAATGCAAATAATTTAATTATTATCTATAATTCATTCATTCCTTACCAAACCCCATCTATAGTTAAGACTCCCCAAATAACACACTCATCACAAAGTAATCCAAAGCAATATAACGATACATGCCCAGGATATTGGGTATTTACATTACCGGAAATGTGGTAACATAAATTTAAGTGAAAGGAGATTGGACTTTCCTGCTCTTCCCGCAATGTATGCATGTTGTCATGGCCAGACACATCCAGTCTTAATTCAAATGAAGACAGCCACTCCTTGCAGTGATGAGTGTCTAGGTCGGGGTCTAAATGCTTCACACTTGAGAGGTCTAATACCAATACTTTTAAAGAACTACCAAGGTCAAAAATAGATTTGAATTCTGCTGCTTGGTAAACCTTTAAATGTCTCCAGATCTTCATTTTGTGTCATAGAGATTTTGTGTCATACAGATCTTACAGTATGCATAGTAACTTGTATAATACACAGCTGAGTAACACATTGTAACATCATTCAGTGGTCTAAAGTTCACTGCAGAGATGTTAGATGTGGGATTTGCAACAATATGAAAAACAATGTAACTCTTATTCACACATTTGTCTTTTCAAGTTTTGTTTTTTTGTTGTTAAAAAAGTTAAAAATATTTTGCCTGTAGGAGTTTTTATTTATATCTGTGCATGAATGTCAGTACGTGGCAGCTGAAACTTCTCCATTTATTGAAGTGTCAACATTGTATGGTACAAATGAGAAGTCACAGCCCACAAAAGCATTTATGATTCTGAGTATCTCCAGCCCGTTGATTCAATGTGCAGCAGCAACTGATCACAGTAGGCTGGAGAGCGATGTTTGCGCACAACTGCTTCAATTTCTTTTGCCAAGCTATCTGGATAGAGAACACCTCCTTCTTTCAAAATATCTGCAAAACACAAGTTTATATACAGTTACCAAAAACAGCTTGTCCTTCACTTCCTACTGTTTGCCAAAAACACAGGAGCCTTCTTAGCTTAGAAAGCATGCATTTTTTTTCAGAAACAATATGAAGCTGATCATACCAAATATAAATAGAAAACTTTTAAAAGCACATGAACTTTAAGTATTTTCATTGTTTCTCCCTGTGTTGCAAAAATAACTCAAAATCCTCCTGGAGTTTTTTCAGGAAAAAAATGATGCCTCCATGGATTCCTTTTTATTTTTATGCAGCCGACACAATTACGAGCCCCATATACACACCAATGCAAATTTGAATATTTTGTGCAAAGGAGCTGTTTCCTCCACTGAAATGGAGGAAAGTCTTGCTGTATTAATGCATTGGCGCACCTGCAAGAAGAGCTCAGTGCAATTTGAGCCTAAAGTTGCATGCTTCAGTCACAAACACAGTGCTTGGTAAAACCTGTAGTCAGTGTCAAACAAGTTAAAATGACATTTTGCACAGGTCTTAATAATATAAACCGATCATTTGGTGAGTAGATTATGAAAGACAAAGATTGAAAGCTTGGAAAAATTATTTTCTCAACAACAGTAATAAAACCTTCCACAACAATTGGTGAAGCTACTCCTAATACAGACAAGTCAAACAAATAAAAAGGGACATTAGTTTAGTCCATATCTACAAGGAAAGTGTAAACTCATATTTTATAGAGTTCTTCCCACCTACCTCATTAGCCAAACTAAGGCATCCATGTGTACATTTATTCAGAAATTACTTCTCGTGGGATTTAGTATAAGCAGGACTCGTATATCTGTACCTTTGGAAAGACAACCTCCTTCATCCCTTCCTTTCCAGTTCCTTCCAAGTCCCTTCCTTTGATACTTGCTGCCCTTGCAAACACCTTACCTTCTCAAAGCTGACCACCTTTCACACAGAACATGATTTCCCACAAGTATTTAAGATACTTCACATTGCCAGAGCGCTCTCCTCCACCCAGAAAGATGAAGCAACCCTCTCTCTTTTCTGACCCTCATTTGGTGTCACAGCTACTACTGCCACAGAAAATAGGTGCTTAATCCAACTTCTTAAAAAAACATCAAAGCGACAACTCATTCAAAGGCTTACCTAAGACAGCAGACTGGATATTCTGGTCAGGGTCATCCAGGTGAACCAACAGTTCTTGATACAGGAACTCAATGTTGGTTTTTAATAGGGCTTTCTTTTCGTCATTGTTTATACATTTGAACCAGCTGAGCAAGGCATTGGCAGCTGCTAGTCGGACCTCATGTGATGAATCATCCAAACGCTTTAGGAGTTCTGAAAAATGATACAATAGCACCAAAAGTTTACTATATGCACACTATGCCATATTCAGTAACAAATGGAAATTATGTTGCAAAGAGATAGGGAACTTATTTTGTTCCTAAAATTTACACTCTGCTGACTAGGATCTAGTAGTGTCTCTCTCTCTCTCACACACCCCAATTAAGAACATTCTATACAATAAAATTAACACAATAAAGCAACGTGAAAATGTCTTTATTTTCTTCAATTGACTTCCTGACTAAAAACAAAAAGGTAAGGAGATTCTGTGCCAGGTATGGGAACCTGTTGTGCACCTCCAGGTTCCGTTAGACTCACATCCTCAACTGCTGGCCATGCTGCCTGTGGCTGATGAGAAACGGAGCTTAACAATATTTGAGGGGGCACAGGTTTCCCAGTTGCTCCTCTTCATACTGATCTGTCCTTCCCAGCAAAACCACGATTGTTGCCTGTGGTTAGCAGATTACATTGCTCCCCCCCCCTTTTCTTGGCTCAGTTATGTTCAAAAATATAGTCCAACAGAGTCATTGCTTTAAAGGGGCGCCTTCACATGTGTGAACCACTTGTTTCTGTTCTCCATACAAGTTTGCGCAGAGATCACGTTTTACACCATTTCAATCTGCAGGGGTCAGCAGCTGCTTTTGCAGATGCAGCAGCACTTGCTCCGACTCTCATCAAACTGCAAGTGGCTCAGGGCATAGCCACACGATGCAAAAACCTTGCTGGAGCTAATCAGCCCAGGCCTGGTCAGTGCCTATGGGAGAAACTATACAGGAACCCCACCTGTGCTACTTTCAGCTTCCCCAAAAGTAAGATGAGCGGTAAGAAATCAGTGTTCTTGTGTCAGCTGTCATTATGTAAATTTGAAATTAGTTTTAACACTGTGGGTATTTACTTCATTTAAAAGAAACACACCATGTAAACTAGATGGGCAAACTGTGAAATGGGTGGCACAAGTAGCAGAGGCTAAGAGGGCCTCTTCACACCTGTACATGCCTATGGGTCTGGTTATGGTAACCAGTCAGGTCCACTCTCCACTCAGACTGTCTTGCACTCTCCTGCTCCACAGTTTAGCAGGCTAGAAGGTAAAACATAAGAAGGTGCAGGAGGATGCACCTGTACCTGCGAACTTGAGGGGCACATTCTCAAACAAGAGAAGTCAGAAAGATTGGCCACCACCACCAACGGCTATCATACCTGGATAAATTTTGCTGAGTTCAAATTGTTTTACGCAGCCGTCTAGAAAAATGCTGATTATTCGACAAGACATTAAGCGTGTCATTTTGGAATCTTCTTCCAGTGTGGCAACTATTTTGGGCATCAGCACATCTTCAACTTTCAGCATCTGAAACCAAGGAAAGGAACCGCCAGCTTAAGAAAAGGGGAATGCAGTTGCAACCAGTTCGATTTCTGTTATTGTCTGTTATTATATTCATTGACGTCTGCAGGACGCAGGCAAATGCCAAGGACAGGGACAGATGCTAATAAAGTAAATCTCTTAAGAAAAGCATTGTCTTCTTGGCTCATTCACTGAGCAGATTTTTCCTTTAACCACAACGAACAGCTTGACATGTGGGGATTTGCTTCTGAGAGAGAACATGCATTCACATAGCTTGTTCTCAATCGCTTTACCCTTTTGGCTTGTTCAATTAAATTAATGGCAGATATAATAAAAATGGCCAGATGAAAATATGAACCGCCTGGCCCTAAGAGGAGGTTATGATGAGTTTGGGTTTCCTATACAGAAACAAGACACACACAGAGAACTCCTCAAACTATGATGTGGCAAACTGCTTTTGAAACTATCAAAAGCAGTTTGTGATATGGCATTGGCATCAGAGAAAGGTAGTGGGGGAAATCCCCCTGGGCACATGCACGCCCGTTTGCTGTGCCTAACTCTCTGGATCCCAGCCATGTCCTCATGACCTTTTCATTTTCTGTGTATCTGCCGTTTCAGCTCCGTGGGGTACAGTAGAGTTCTCTAAAACCACAATGCAAATATTTCAGGGGATTAGGCACATGTTTTGAAGGCTAGGGAAGCAATTCCAACGATCATACGACATGGCTGCTACCACCAGCACACTTTTGGAGTGAGAGATGAATGATTTAAAGTTAGCATTTCTTTAGTATTCCAGAAGATGGTGCTCATGTTCAAATTTAAGCTCTTAAACCAAGAGTCTTCAACCCAAGACGCACCTTAACCCCATCTTGCAACCAATATACCCTCTACCCTTAAGCTTTTCAATTTCTAAAAAATCTTAAGGCAAAAGCAGAAGAGGACCATGGCTATAGTACTGGTGTGACACATATTCTACTAGGGTGCAAACCATGCTCTACACTACACAGCCTGCTTTTGGGTAAAGTATGCAGAAGAACATTTGTATTCTAACAAATGCAAGGATGTGCATGTCTTGCATTCACCCTAGAGGGATCTTCTGAGCTATCTTCCAAACTGTTTAGTCTCTCAGTCAAGTGAGTTTTATTGTCTTGGCCATAAGCAGCCACAATATCCAAATATAGACAAACAGTAAAAGTCAAACTACATTTGTAACAGACCACCCAAATCTCAAAAGAAAGAAAAATATGGAGTGTTAGGGTTTGTGCACAAACTCTACATCAGAGATAGGGGCAGAGAATACTTAGTGTTACTCCTTTCCCAAGTTGTACGAAACCTTTGAACAGCCATTGCCTACTATTTCATCTGCCTCCTTTTTTGTTGCGTAGCAGCTTCTCATTCTCCAGATCTTCCACACAAACCTCTGTTACCATGTGTGGTTCCCAATCAATAACTCTCCTTGCACTTTGTTGAGTTGAGGGGTCTCCTCCACACCCTTTCAGGCTCCTATATCATGTTTCAATTTTATTCTGCTGCAGCACAGTTGATGTGTACCAGCTTGCAGAAACCATTTAGGTCAAGGATCAAGTCAGTGCCAGATCACGCAAATGGCAAAAGAATATAATGAAAGCTGATAAAAATTCTCTATCTAGTCTAACATACTGCTTTCTTGGGTGGTCAAGCAGAAGTCGCCTGGGAGCCCACAAGAAGGGCCATAAGGCAACAGACTTCTGATGTTATCTAATAGCAACTGATATTCAGCAGCATAGCTTCTCAAAAGTAGTTTTATTGAGCTATTTGGGCAATAGCTGCTGAATTTACCCCTTGAATTTGTCTAATCCTCTGTTAAAGCCCACTTTAAAAGGAACTGATCCAAGCGTCGGGCATTTTTTTTCCTTTAAAAACTATGGGCTGGATCTAGACTATGTTAGTGGCACCAAGTTCCCATTAAAATAGTGTCATTTGTTAATTATTACTCACTTTTCACATTCATTTCAATGGGACCTAGGGGTGACTAACTTATTCCAGCTCCAACCCTTTATTTTTATGATTTAGATAGCGTTGCTTAATATACAAATGCAAAGCTCCAATATTATAAAACCTAAGGCCACCTTTTAAAATTATTTCATCAATACTATTTGTGAAGCAGACAGACCTGTGAGGGTGGGAGAGGGGGAAAGGAAAGACCCTGGAGGGGGACTTTGGAAGTCAGTGGGACACAGCAAGGATCTAAATACAGGTAGCAATGCATTTAAAGTCACTCGCTAAAGGATTTGAATAAAATTAAATATAAGGGCCAATCACTTACCACTTAGCCCAGTGCCTTTGCTCTCTCATTTGACAGGATGCTGGAAGGTGCAAGCAGATTTACTTCTTACTGAGCAATTGGACAGAATATTGCCTGCATGTGACTTCCAGGCATATGGAAAGAGGCTAGAAATTTACATATTTTAAAATAAAGCCTTCAACATTCAAAGAAGGGGTCAGCTCTCTAATAATACTTCCCCACCCCTGCAAATAGCCGCTGCCCTGTTTGCAAGTGAAGAGTTTCAGAATTCTGCCTTTTTTATTGCAGATCTCTCCCCCGCCATCAAAAATATGTATGTTAGGAGTGACCCAATGAGAAAATGCTTGCTACCCAAGTATCAATTTTCAGGCTAAACCCATATTCTAAACTTGTTTTCCTATGCTGTATTTTGGCAAGAGCTTTGATTTATAGAAAGACAGAGATGATTTGCATTTCTGGATGACAATATTCAGAATGGCTGTCAGGGGAGGAGGGGGACGTTTACCTCTTCTGGTGAAAGCAGTTCACTGTAAATAAGAGCCCAGAGGCATGATACAGCAGTCGTGCGGATGGCAGCTGCTGTTCTTCCAGCTTGCCACTGCAGATTAGGAGCCAGGATGTCTTTTATCAGGATCTCAAGGTAGTTACAAAACTGCCTGAAGCCAAGAACAAAGAGCAGCAAAATAAGAAGCTTTGTGTGAACGTGATGGAATGACTGGGAGGGTGAAAAAGCACATTTTCAGTCTTGAAAACAAGATAGCCAGAACAGGAAGAACGAAGCATGAAAAAGAAAAAGAATGAATCTAGTATGATGACAGTGTATGTTAACAATACTTCATTACTCAGATTTCTTTTGAGGGAAAGTAAGTGGACTTTGTATAAACATTTCAGGAGGAGGAGAGGCAGAAATCTTTCTCAGCTTCAGGCTCTGCAAGGTATGTTCCTTGTCATCCCAACAGGCCCCTTACTCTAGTGTCTCAGAAACAAACCACTCCAAGTTGACTTGAAGAGGCTTTTAATGTTTCTCTATATAATAAAAATGTAAGAATGTTGTTGTGTAGCCCATGTTGGAGGATTTCCAGTGCTGCATCACAATCCTGGATTTCTATGAAGTCAGGGCAGTGAAGAGGAGCAAAAGTGAAGATCGCACTACAGCAGTGGCTATGGTTTGGGAGCGGCACTGAGAGGGGAAAGTAGTTTTTTTTATTTTACAAAAATGACAGAAGTTTAAGGAAAGCAAGGATGGAGACACTCTGAGAGGCAATGGCAGGGGGGTTGGCGAGTGCAGCAAGCAAGACCACAGCCCCAGTATACAAGAAGTTACCATTGTTACAAATTCATCTTGTCGATCTCAAACAATGAACTAACCATGGAGCATTTACCTGTCTCAGAACTTAATCTCAAGCATCAACATTCCTCTGTGATACAGGCCAGAATCAGGACTAACTTTTCAGATATTCAGATATGTTTTTATGACAGCAGAATGGGGACCTGCCATGTTTCTATGGCAGCAGATAAGGGCCAACCTATACTGGTCAATACCTTTGGTGTAGCACTTGGGGAACTTTGAAAGTATGAAAACGGCAAAAGCTTTTAATATTAAATGCTCATTTATGCAACCATACGCCTACGTGTTGACATCTTGCCTATCACCCAGTGGTCATGCTCAAGTGATGCCCTATGCATGATCAAATGTTGCGTGTTCCTTGGCAAATACTGGAAAAGCATTTTTGCAGTGATGTGTAAAATGACTGATTATGCACATGGTACCGGCTGCATTACCCAAGGGTTGGGAGCCTACATGTGTAGCATTTTCAAGCAGCTACTGGCTACCAACAGTTATTAGTTGGCCCTCACAAGACAGACTTCCCAATCTTATGTATTGTTTTTCCTCCAGCAGGTGGCATTTAAGAATTAGTAGTGAAGACAGCAAACAACTCTAAGCTCAGATAAAAACCAACAGCTCAACATGCTTTCATCTCATTCTAACACTAGCTCTTTTTAAATGGCATTTAGATGTGCCTAGTTGAGCCAGAATGAGGATTCACATTCAAATGTGCATGCTACTGAAAACAATGCAATGCAGATGAATTGCAATTGACATGTGGATACACAATTTAACGCATACTGGATTTCCACCAGCAAATGATATCTGCACAGGTCTCCCAAGCCGGATTGGGGCATTTACATCTTCAAATCAAAATCAACTCAAGGTCCAAATGGGCGTGCAGAAATTGCTTGAAGTTAATGTGCACATCAGCTGCCTGGAGGGAAATGGTCAACTGTGTGTCTCATGGCAATATTCAGGATTGTTTTTTGCATGTTACCAAGACTGCACAATGCATTGATTGTATTGTGTTAGTTGTGTTTTATTTTGAGGTACAATGGCCCTGTGACTGTTGTGACAAAGGGCCACATAAAAAGACCTTAATTAAAATTTTCTATGGGCCACATTTAAAAAAAAAATACATACACATGACACAGCTGTGTAACATCTAGCCAGCTTGCCATTGGCAAAGAGCCACAATGCCCTACAATTTCTATAAACTCCAACAAACATGGTGGTCGTGTGACCATGCCTGAATGCACCTCTATTTTAAAAAATGTATTACTGATTGTATTATATTGTATTATTAAAAGCTATATAGCCGTTTCCTCCATCAAGTCATTTCAAACCAGTGTTTGGCTCCGAGGTGGTCTATGCTAAATGACCCCTGAGAACCTTCACGTTTTTGGTAATGGCTTCTTTTAATCCCTTAAATAAAATGTGTCAAAAACACAAAAGATGGGTTTTAGCAGAGCCACTTACTCACTGGCAAAGGAATGCTCTCTGCGAAGACGAATGCATTTAGAAATGTGTTATATTTAATATCTTTGAGGCAAAAGAGGAATAGCACTGCCAAATTGTTCGGAAAAATGAGATATCTGCTCAAGAGCTTTAACAAGGTACATTGCAACCTGTCAATTTGAACCATTCACACACACAGTTGCCAGAAAATAAAGTCTATTGCATGGTTAAAAGAAAGTGCACACTTGCTTATAAAGATGTGGTAGCTGTTCCAACATGGGAATGTGTCTGGCTTTTGCTCAAAATGAGACTTAAATTGCACCCTTCTCTTCCTATTGGGGACCTGAATTGCTCTCAATATTAGTAATTATCAATAAAGCACCATTACTGTGATTGTAAGGGTGAAAACATGAAGAAATCATGCCCCTTCCCCCGAGAATGGCTTACCCATAATGCAAAAACACATGATTTCAATTTGTCTTTGTTAATGGATGAAGAGAACCCCCAGCAAAGGGAAAGACAGGCCTCAAGATAGTGCTTGAAAACAGCAAATCTTGGGGGATTTAAGCAGGATACTAGAATAAGAGACATGAAGCCTCTTTAACTCCACCCCCACCCCACCCCCCGAGAAAAAAGTTGAAATGCAGCCTTCAAATAATACTTCATTTTTAAATTAAGCCCGATAGATTGGCTCCTATAGCTATTCCTTTCATGCAGATCCTCTGAATTACTTTAAGAAAATGTTTCATGAAAACAAGGTTGCAAAGATAGCTTTTTTGCATAGAGGCACTGCAGTTACAATAACTTCAACATGGAAAATCAACAGGTGCAGCTTTTTCCAGTACGGAGACAGTAGTGAGTGTAGCTATGCTTAATTATTTTTGCCTGTCCCACAGCTGTTGAAAGGACAGAACCACTGTCAATCCTACATAAAAATGCTGCTATATTTGGCTTATGGGATGTTCTTAGAGTAAGCAGTTTTGTTTTTGTTTCTAAATGTTCCGAAAGTACAGGTTCTACTTCAGAGAGGGGTAGGGAGACCATGACCATTTGTAATCCAGTTAATACAGCTTCTGTTTAAGATTTCCTAGCCTCCACTTTACCAGATTAACAACAGCCCTAGGGATTTTTCTATGTGTGCCTGAAAAAGTCCAATTTAAACTATTTTTGTCTTTGGGCCAGCTTGGTTACTAAGATTGATGTACAATCGCTGACATCATTTTATTCTGGAGTGTCTCAGAATTCATCCTTCCCTTCTCCCGCCCACCCCCCCAAAAAAACTCCACCTGAGGCTGCAGAATGTCAAGGGTTACAATGCAAAAAATGGCTGCTTGCCAGGAGATTAGGCAGGTGTTGGGACTTGCAGGCTGGCTCCAGTCCAAGCACTTGAAGATTCAGAGGATGTCCAATGTGTGGCATAAGGTTGGGAGTAGCAGAAGCAGCTTCTGAAAATGCCTCCTGCCTTTTCCCCAAAACCAACCCCACCCCTTTAATCCTTATCTACCTCAGGGGTTCACCCTCATTTCCCCATCATACATTCAGCACATGTCTACATTTGCTGCCAGAAATAAATCAAATCTCACTATGCAACAATATTTCAACATGTTATTGCCATACATTGTGGGAATTCATAGATCAGGGGACGGACAGCATTATTCAGTCAAATCCACTCTACAGTATATATGCTTTCTACGATTTAAGCAAGTGTCTAGAGACACAAGGAAGGCCTCTTACTGGAAAATTCCCATCCAAGGACCTGTAAACTTAGGAAGTCCCTTTTCTACACAACAAGCTTCTAGGCATGCATGATCATGAGTACAGTTCTAAAATCATAATGAAAGCTGGAGTTACTATGGGCATAACTGAAGATGTGTTTACAGTAAGCTTTGAATTGTGTCTCTGGGTTTTTCCATTTCTGGACTTGGCCTATTGGTACATCTTATATTGCTTTTATACAATTTGTGCCAGTGCGCTATAACAACTTCCTTTGACTGGGACTATATATGAGACAGATGGAGAATAGAAACATCTGAGAACAGGTGTTATTGTGAAGGAACCTAAGAATTGCAGAGTTGGAAGAGACCCTAAGGATCATCTAGTCAACCCCCCTGCAATGCAGGAACGTGTAGCTGTCCCATATGGGGATTGAACCTGCAACTTTGGCATTATCAACATCACGCACTAACCACATCACACAGAGCACCAAACCACATCTTCTCTTTAAACAGCAACTGGAAAACACAACAGGCAATGCTAGAGTTCTCATGTCATGGTCAACCACAGTTAAATGTTTGTTGTGAATGCATAAATGGCACCCATTTTACTCCCCACCCCCACCCCCAATGCAAACCAGAGCAACAAACTTTGGACTTTTGGTTTGTCTCTCTCCGAACAAATCATGACTTGAAGCTAACTTTGTTTTTGGCCTACCAATCATGGTTTGAGTTAAGCAAGCCACAATCCCATTTTGGACATAATGCTAAGCCAAGGATCATGGTTTGTTGCCCATGCTAGGAGATAAACAAAGTGAGTGAAATCAGCTAATAGCTTACCATGAACATAATGCTTTACGCCATTATGTGCAACTGAATGGTGCTTACCCTTGAGAATTGACCGTCTCATTTGGTTTCTGAAGCAACTGGGATAAAGTACTGAATAGTTTCAGACGCATCCTGGGATCTCTAGATGTCTGAAGACATGTTTTAAGAATGAGAATAAAATCCTGAAGAGCTTTGCCAATCATAGGGCCTAAAAAATAAAAGTGGAAACACTGTTTTGTACTAGCAGGAATTAGTAGTATAGTATACCTTGCATCAAAAGGCTTAGCACTGAAGACAAACAAAAGCTGTAAAATAAATTAAACTCTTCCTTCTTGCAATGGAAGAAAGCCAAAAAGAACAAAACACATCTTCTTTTGGATTTTGGAAAGGCAAGGCCTGGGAAACATACATAAACTCCAATGTGCCAGAATATTTGAACCTACTTCAAGCTGAGGTTGCAAACACCAGTTTGAAGCAAACCAAGGTTAGCATGAACATCGGTCCTGTTGCAATACTGCCCCATGGAAAAATTTCAAAAGAAAAGATAGAGGGAAATATGCACAATCGAAGGGAGAAGGAAGCTCACAGCTGCTAGTGATCTCTTAATCATGGTTAAAAGGTGGGGGAATCTGTATTTGCATTAAGCCTATGTTATCCCTATCACTTTAGAGGCTTCATTCCTTTTGGAATTATTGTGTTCACCCATGATCGTTCACATTCATACCAACTCTGCTAAGTCCACATTACCTGAATGAGTGGCAATCACATCAAACTGTAGTAATTCTGGAGAGAAGCAGGTCCAACGCTCGTGAGTTAAGGATACCCATTCCATAAGTTGAGATATATGTTGTTGATAGAGGCCAACTGCACCCTCCAAGTGCTGCACCTGAGCCAATGCATCCATTGCCTCTTCTAACTGGGGGGGGGGGGGAGAGAGAGAGACAAAAAAAGTTTAGAAAGTGTTGGTTTTAACCAGCTCACTGTGTGAATCCTCACACAATGGGCTGTTAAAAACAATGATGCCTTGAAAACATGATTTATTTATTTTTAACCAGCTGACTAAAAAGAGTGTTTAGCTGTTTTTCCGATCATGCCACACATGAAATGGTCCTTTAAACAGCCGCCTTTTCTAGTGATCAGTTTGTCTGCCTTCAAGACACAACTGTTTTATTTTTTTTAATCTAACCTTCTGCAGCCCATTTATATGCTCTGATATCTCATCTCGACTCTGGTGTGCCTAAATTGCTGTAACCTGCCTTGGGACCTGCTGACGAAGGGCAGGTAAGAAATATTACAGTAACAACAAAAGAAAATCCCATATCCAACTCCCTGCTTAATCACTCTGTCAATTCTTCTTAGATTGCTGCTCCAGCTTTGGTCACTTCTTAAGATTCCTGTCCTCCTCCATTCGACTGCCACTTTGACTTCTTTCTTCCTTCTTTAGATAGTCAGTTCCCCTGCAACAACCAGGACCCCTCTTCCCTGCACTAGTCTTGCACTGGGAACATTAAGCAAATGGAGCACATCTGCCTGTCTCTGGGAGCCTTGGCTTCAGGCTGCAAAAGCAACTATACCTGGGGAGCACTGCTTGGATAATAAAGTATGCGTCATCCATTTTCAGGATTTTCTCAAAAAAAGAGAGAAAAGATGTTAAGGTGAGGTTCTTAAGGTTCAATGAATGTACTGTTCACCAGGAAAAGGCTCAATTTTCTCAAAGGACATCTATTTGGATGCTATCAGCACTGAACATTTCCTTCCAACTTGTCTAGACAACCCATTTTTCTTCAAAATCATGTTGTTCAGGAATTTATTCTTTTAAAATACACCAAACAGGCCCCCCACACTGAAAAACGAGATTCCTGTGACTTTGTACAAGCGTCGTGACTCCATACCTCTAAGTATTCTTTCTAGCTTTTGTGTATAAATTAATGCAAAATTAAGGTGCATTACATTTACAGTTTTGAAACCAACTTTCAAAATTATGACTTTTTTGGAAGTTGCTTGTCAGTGACAAGGGCCATAAATACCAGCTGAGATTATCATGCCTAGAGCAACAGTACAGGAAGTAAAACAGTCATTATGAAGAAGTAAGTGAAGAAGTAAATGAAGAAGCAAGTCTGGCAACAAAGCTTGCTTGGGCCACCAAAGAGCTACTATGAAAAGATGGCCGCCTGATTTATTTGGCATCCGACTTGGGAAGAAAGTGATTTATGGTTCGGAGATAGCCATCAGGAGGAAAAAAAGGCCAGCCTTTATCAAAGGCATCTTTGGCTGTTGCCTCCGATTTTAAATAATGACTGAAACATTTTTAAACTTAGGATGGGTGTGGAGGTGAAAAGGGCAGCTACCGAAAAGACATTGCTGTATCCTTTGACTAAGTACAGAAAGAAAACTTTTTAAAAAAACATATTCTGAGTTATCGCAATTGGCACAAAAAAGACTAGTATCATTAGCAGCTGATTTCTTTACGGTTTTGAGAGAATGCATAACCTTAGGCTGAAGAATACCCAATGTATTCCCTGTACAAAGTATATTTTGGGTTTGCTCTGACTTGCAGGTTTGTGGTTGCTCCCCCCCCCTCTTATTTTTTAGCCTTCTGCAGCATTTGCAAAAAAACCACACACTTGGGTCTTTTTTCCACAATGCTAGCTCCAAGAGATTAAAACAAATCCATCCTTTGAGACCACTTCTTTATGGATAATCTTTTCCCTTCGGGGAAGTTCCAAATAAAGGTTTTATAATGAAGCTCAGATAGTACTCTGAAATCCTGCCGTGAAACATGGTACACTGCGTAATTAGTGAGGGTAATTAAAAAGGTCTTGGTTTTCAGCTTTTTGTCTGGCGGCTTATAGGAAAGGACACAGCTTGGTGATAGAGCACACAATTCGCATGCAGAACATTCCCCAATTCAATCCCTGAAACCTCCACTACAAGGATTTTAGGTAGCCAGTTTGGGAAAGGCCCTGCTGAGGATCTTGGAGAGCTGCCATCAGTTAGATAAAACCAAATTGTACCACCGATAGAATTTGGTGTAAGGCAGCTCTGCTTTTTGTTATATCATCACTTGGGGACACTACAAAGCTTCGTGCGCTAAAGCAGGGAAGCCTATAGACCCTTCCAAATGATGCTGGTGTGTAACTCCTGTCATTCATGACCATTTGTTATGCTGGTAGGTGCTGATGGTAGGTAGAATCCAACAACACCTGGATGACGACCGGTTCAACGTCCTGAGGATAAAGGGCCAGCTTTGGCAAGCCACATATGGTGCACAGGCTTAACCATGCTGACCACGAGCTTAGTACATTTTCGGGCAGTAATTTTTATTTTTCTATTTTTCAGACTGCTTTATTTTTAGTCTTTGCTGCTCAATTGCGAGCGTCTGAAGATGCCACACCTGGAAGGAACCAGTAAGTTCAATGGCATTTGACTTAAGGAACCAAACAAAATCAAAACACAGGACCATACAGCATGGTTCTGTCAAGGTTACCTTCACATGCAAGGGTCCAGAAGTTGGGATTGCCGTTATCGTTACCAAAACCTTCGTCAGCTGAAGGCTTACTTCTTTACAGTCCTCTTGGCATACATCAATGAGCGCTTCCACACAGCAAAGCAGCTGCTCCATGTAAAAGACCTACCAAATACAAACAGAAAGGAAATGCTTCCACAAGGCAATTGTTGACGTTCTTGCGTTGCTCTGCCTTAAGTCACATGGCCATATCCATGCTGTTTCATGGTGGCCATGAAAGCCTGTATTCTCCCATAGTTACAACTATGCTAATCACTGTGGCCAAAGGCCATGTAAACACAACAGGAAACAATCATTATCTGAAAAGGACCTAGGGGTCTTAGTGGACCCAAGCTTAACTTGAATCATGAGTGTGATGCAGCAGCAAAAAAAGCTAATGCTATTCTAGGCAGCATCAACCGAAGTATAGTTTCCCGATCATGGGAAGTAATAGTTATGCTCTGTTCTTCCTTGGTCGGACCACACCTGGAGTACTGTCTCCAGTTCTGGATGCCACAATTTAAGAAAGATATTGATAAGCTGAATGTGTGCAAGGGAGGGCAACCAAGATGATCAAGGGTCTCAAGTGTTATGAAGAATGGCTGAAGGAGCTGGGTATGTTTAGCTTGGGAAAGAGGCGGCTGAGAGGAGATATAATAGCCATCTTCAGATATCTAAAGGGCCGTCACACAAAAGAGGGAACCAGTTTGCTTTCTCCTGCTCCAGAGGCTAGGACCTGAACCAATGGATTCAAGTTACAAGTTCCTCCTAAACATCAGGAATAACTTTCAGACAGTAAGAGTTCTTTGACAGTGTAACAAAATCCCTTGGGATATTGTGGACTCTCCTTCATTGGAGGTTTTTAAGCAGAGGTTGGATGGCCATCTGTCATGGATGCTTTAGCTGAGACTGGACTGGGGTTGGACTAGATGACCCCAGGGGTCCCTTCCAACTCGATGATTCTGATTACTGTTACCAAAGCTGCCCTAAAAATGGTTGCGGATGAAGGGCGGTATGTAATGTAATGTAATGCAATGCAATGTAATGCAATGCAATGCATCAAGCCTAAGGAACTATCTGAGACAAGACTTCAAAGACTTACAGGATCTGGATACTGTCTATAATTGCAGCTTATTTTGCATTCTCCTTACCTCTTCAGACCGCTGTCTTATTTCAGGGCAGTCCAGTGTGCTGGCAAGGTACACCAAATGAGGCTGCAAGACTTTCCTTGGCGAACCCCTTATAACTGCCGCTAGAACCATGAGGTAGGATGGCATAGGCACTTTTTTGAGGTCAGACGTGATTAACTTCAGAGATACCGCTGGGCTGACAAAGGCGCCAATCAGCTCTGCTGCATTCACACACTATGAAAGGGAACACAAACACGTTGCCCAGATTATGAGAGGCAAAGGACCAAACAAATTCAACGTGGCCATTTTAAAAACAAAAACTGAGGACACTAGGTTGTTTGCCTTTGCTCATTTTTTAAAAAATGCTTCAGAAATTGCCTTGTAGGCCTTTCCACTCTTTCGCTCATAATTTTATGGATGACAAAGTTTTCTTGACATGTATCAAAGAAGCTCAAAACGAGTGCTCAGATGCCTTCTTTCAGCACCAACCTCTCAAACAGGCATCATGCCAAATAGCATATTGATGGCTTACAAACCTACTGTAAGCCATGCTTTCACATTCTGGTTTACTGGCTACTAACAAACCACGATCTGTCCATTCAGATACCATGCCACACCATAGTAAGCTTCCTTAACCATGGTTTGGGGTGTTGCCTCAAATTGAGCCCAACTTTTTACTTTTTAGCGAGGAAGAATGGCAAATCCTAAGAACGAAAGAAGAAGCCTACTAGATCAGACCAGAATCCCCACAGAGGCCAAAGTGATGCCTTGGGGAAGCCCTTGGGCAGGACACAAAAAGAGTTGCCTTTTCCTGTTGCTTCTCCCAGCAACTGATACTGACAGACATACTGCCTTTGAATCCCAGAGGTTCAATACAGCCATCATGACTAGCAGCCATTGATAGACTTTTTCTCTATGCCATTCCTGCACACACGAGCTTTGGAACACTACAAATGAGTAGCCATTCAAATCCAATTCGCTTATTGATTTTTCAGAAATGGACAAAAATGCAATATTCTCTTCATCAACATTATCATTTATAGTTTTGCTTGCAAGTTTTACTAACATTATGAAATGGGAAAGAAGATCCTTAAGCATTATTTTTACCCCTAGGAGTGTCTTTTTTACTGTTCACATGCTGTGCTGCTAAATAAGCATGCAAGCTTTCTTAAGGTTGGGTTTTAAATGGCACCTACTGCAAATAATAAAGTGGATTAATTATTGCTTCCACAAAGACAAAGGAAAACAGCAGGAAGGAAGCCTAAACTTGCCATGTCTGAACACCGATTAAAGGTATCACATGGAACACACATACTTTAATATTGTGGGAGGATTATGCAGCAGAAAGAGGGAGAAAAAGATAACGTGAAATTAACTAGAAAGGGCATGAACTGCACATAGTTTTGAAATGGAATTTATCCCCCCAAGCATTTACACTTTAATCTCCTGCTTATGATTTTTAAGAGGCTGTTAATGCTTCACTTGGCCCTCACCACAGGTGATACTTGGAACAATCTCACCATTGATCTGTATAATCGAAAAGATATACATTTAGTTTATGAGTGCCTGTATAAGTTTCCTATCTGCCCTGATCTAGCAAGGATGATCCACAAGTGGATTACCATCCTGGACTGTCTCCCACACGTTCAAAAAAATTGCGTAGCATGCAGGAAGAAAAACATCTAGGACTTGGTTGTGCTAGGTTTACTATGGTTAACAACCATGGAGCACAGTTATGTGTGGTGAAAAGGTCTCTGCAGAGAATTTACTAAAATGGAAAGAAAAAAAAACCAAAAAACCGTTTCCAGAAAATTTCCAGCTGGATTTCTCCATGGAAATTTTTTCACTTTTATGATTCCTATCATAAAAACAAATCAATAACTAAACGAATGGACACAATCAAATCAAATTTGAATGGATACAGTATTAGTCAAATCTAAAATAAAAATTATAATAATTAACTTCTTTTCCTAGGAAACAAATATATTTATGCACTGCAGCATTTCAGGAATGCTAAAATTAGTATAAACAGTCCTGTCCTCCCCTCTCATAATCTAAACAATGCAAGGGAAATCTGTGCTACTGAGTTATCTCTTAAAATATTTACAAATGTTCCAAGAAACAAATGTTCCAATAAATGTTCCAAGTAAAGCTTTGAATTTGTTTGAACCTAACATTTAAACCACACACAGTTATTTAGCTATTAGGAAAACTTTTAGAATATTTATGAAGTGTGTAACGTTAAGCCAACTTTTTAGTTTTACCAAAGACAAGTCCATTAACATGCTAAACCAGGTCTCAGAGAAGCAGAAATCTTTCTGGAAACCGTGTTTCACAAAGGGGGTGAATTTGAAATTTGCAGACTTACATTCCTAGTCACATTACTTTCCTCATCTGAGCACACCCGGTACAGAGTTCTAAGGAGGAGTTCCATGTGCTGTGTGATGTGGTCCTCTACATGTTGCAATAATATAACCAGAAGCTGTGATGCCTTTATTCTGGTGCCCTCAACCCAGTCAGTTATATCATGGCAGAGACCAGGAAGTATTTTGAAGATGTTTCTGATCACCAGCTCCCGACATCCCAGATCTGGACGAGTCACTAGAGTGAAAGAAAAAAATTAAAGAAAAAAAAGAGAGTGAGAATTCAGGGTTAGGGAAAGGCCTGTGAAACAGCTGTATGTTTTTAAGTTCTTGAGTCACAACAGGTATGCCTACAATGGAACTAGAGTACGCAAGCTATACCCAAATCACTAAGCACATTTTGTTTGCGAATGCATCAAAAGGAAATGAAATACTGTAATCTCGCAAAAAGAAAGGGTAAGCTCACATAGGTGGTGCTGTTACCAAACCTTCTACCTGCACACCCAACTATTTGCATGGACAAAGTAGTATTGGAAAGTGGTGGTACACAGAAAAGAGATGACCTGCGACTGCCGTGACCACAGCAGCCCTATTTGGACCAGTCATGATAAAAGGTATCACAGAAAGGGTACCTAAAAAAGTACACATGAACCTCCAGTTTATATGCAGCCTTCTGCATACATGTGGAAAAATATGAACCTTAGCCAGCACCCTTATATATGTAAATAGGTCTACAAATATCCCGTAATGTGATTTTTTAAAATGCTCCAGATGCACCTTATCGCTCACTTTTCTGACATTTTCCATTGCAAAACCCTGAAAAGGATCTCTCCAATGTCCTATTCCCTCCCCCATCCTCCAAAACTGCTCTGGTGTTTGATTCAGAAACCTCAGAATATGGCTTTATTCTTTCTCAGGATGTTACTGTTGTTGCTCTTTTCCAACATTGCCAGTACGATTTTTAAAACCTTTTCCTGATATCCGTCTGTTTTGTAGGATGTATAGTTTTAATTACCTTTGCTGGCAGAGCTAACAAGTCAGCTCTATCGAAACAGCCTGTGATTTGGCTGGACACTCTTGATGGGTGGACATAACATTCTTTTGGCAGTCTGGCATGAACTGTGAACAGCAGCTATAGGCAATTCAAGACTAATGAGGTGTCATTTACAATCCAGATGTAAAAGACACAAGCAAGGCCCTAAGAAAAGGGCAATGGGATACTTTATTTCTTATAACGTAAACTGCTACAGCCTAGCGCTCCGTTCAAACATTAAGAGTTTGAGTATCCCACCTTCAGAGGAGAAGTGGATGGCAACCAGAGACAGGGCCTTATTTGGTGGTGGCACCAATGCTTATGCAGTTTTCCCTCCTGACTGAATGATCCGTCCAGCACTTCCCTTTTAAATTTTTAGATACCATGTCCTTTTTAATCTGCCCAAGGTTTTAAGAAACAACACTTTGTTATCTAATCTGCAGAGAACTCTTACATAGGCCATTTTATTTATTTCAGGGTATTTTCTCATTTATTTATTTTTATTGTTTGATGCTTGCTTCTATTTTTTTCAGTTTTGCAGCTTTGAGTTTTTAAATAAACTGTATTTCAAAAGGTCTTCTCATTTTTTATTAGGATGTATTGTGCACCACTTTGAACATTTTATTTTTTAAAAAAGAAAACATAGAGGCAGGACATGCAGTTCTGAAATAAAGATAAATGAAGACAATGCTAATAGGAGGGGGGGTTGTTGGTAAAATGGAATTGACTGAAGGAGCAGACTCTCACAAAAGAAAGCCCTCAAGCATACTGCAGTTTTGCATGAGGCCCTCTACTTGTGTGGCTGTACAAATAATAAAAAAAAACCCTGATGTAAAACTTAAACAGGATGCAGAACACAGAAGTGTTTGTGAAGCACCTACTTAAAGGGAAGGATCTTCAAAGGCACTCTGAACTAAGGCTTCTTTTTGTCATGGAAGAGAGCATTTGGATTATGGAAATTGACAGCAGAAAAACAAAGAGGTCAAATTCAGAAATCCTGCCTGAGAAGACAAAGATAGAGAGTGGCATCCCATTTGACCAGAGGCATCTCCCACCCCCCCACCCCCCAATGATTTTTGACTGGTCCTTTTCAACAGTTCCCTTCATTTCTGATGCACAAATGCAGCTATTTCATCCGCATATCTCACTCCTGTCAAAGGCTTCTCCGCTGCCCCCTACCTTTTCCTAACCTGTCTGCACCCCTATCCTAAGGCAATGCTTTCTTCTTCTTCTCAGTGGAAAGTCGCCCTATTGTCAGGATGGCTTTCAGTTCCTTCTTTGCTTTTCACCCTGACCTGCAATCTCTGTCAACGGGAGATCAAAGCACACTGAGGCAGAGGTGTCAGGTTCATTAGCTTGCAGCTAGAAAAACTGGGGTTAGAGAGAAAAATTCAGGGGCAGGGGGAGGAAGGAAACGGGTGGTCTGCATTTTGGAGGTGAAGTTCTTCAGAAACCATTTACCTAGAGAGTGAAGCAGATACTGAAATGTACCTGTTACATGGATGTTGGAGATTAAACTGGGTGCCTTGGAACCTAATATGTTTATAATGTTTATAATGTGTTGGCACTGGCATGATTAGACTGTACGTCTTGCCTTGATCTAACTAACACTGTGATGTGTACATAAACCCCTATCTTGTAACCCCTGCATAAATGGGGAGCTGCCTGTACTTTATGTAACTTGGTAAAGGGATTTGTTCTTGTATTTATTTATTTTTTTGGAATTTTCAAATCAATTGTGCTTTACAACTTGAATAAAAAAGGGAAAAGGTGCCATAAACTGTGCCAAATATTTCCCCAACAGGTTGTTTACAGAAAACATCAAAATAAACTTTAGTGAATTTCACCAGGTCCAGGAGTTCTGAAAATGCCCCAAATGTAAAATGAGGAAGCATTTGCTACTACCATTGAAGACGTCTGTTAAACATGTTAAATCATCAGGAGTCAGCCTGTAGCACAGGCACCACATGTTGCACAAGCTGCAGTCATTTGGGGCAAAGGTAGAAGGACCTGTAGCCCTGGCTATTCATATACTCCTGCCTTGGTGTCCCAGGTGTGCTAGCCCCCAGCTCAATAAACTAAAATTACACCAGAGCACAGAAACCTCTCATGTACTGCATAAAAGCAGCAATTTCTCATACTTTGGCCTCATCTTACATCACAAAAGGCTTGCCAAAAAGACTGGCCACTGTTAAAGTTGTCACAGCCAGGTAAGAGCTTGTCTCGTACAATTCTTTAGTAAAGGCAGAGACAACAAGAACCATTCTACAAACCTGTTTTGAACTTCTTAAAAGATACAGTGAAAAATTATCGGGTCAGTTGTCTAAAAAGGTCCATAAATCTTTCCACAGGAGATGCAATTACAAGATGTTAGAAGGCACGATGCATGAAAAATCTCAGTTCAGCTAGGCAGTTGGGGGTTTGCCCAACCTTGTGATCTACACTTGTTTTGCAAAGAACATTGTCTCACACAGATCCCTTAATGCTTGTTATTACTCACCAGCTATCTCTGCTGCATAACAATTTATCCTCCAGCACCCGCTTGGCTGTTATGCCTCAAATTATTACAGTAGTCTTACCAAAGCTACTAAGTACTCTATCATCACATGACCCCTAACTACAAAGAGATTATCTAATAGACAAACATTTTGTTTTTTATAATATTTCAAATTTTAAAAGAACACGTTAAATTTCCAAATATTTCAAAACGTTTGCATTTTACTTTCTCATTAAGAGATGCTTTGTACCTGCCATATCAAATAGCTGCTCATTACAGGCTTGTGGAGATAATAACGGGACAAGAAATTTGCACCCTGAACATTTTTTCATTATACTCACATCCTGGAGGATAATAAGATGGTACAACATAGAAGTCAAGTTTATCTTTAATATCGGTCTCGTTTTCTTTTTCCCATTGCGAGCCTACTTTCTTCCAATAAGTTAGAGCCAGTTCCCTAAGAGTAAAACAAAGGCATCAAAAACACACATTATATATAACATACACAAAGAAGTTTAACAAATGTGTCACTTAAAAACAACAATATTCCTTTTCAGCAAATCTGAAAGTGCTGATTTTTTTTTTTAAAAAAAATCATACTCTGAGGCAATCTCCACAGCTGCATATCTAAGGTCCCTGTAATGTCGTACATGTGCCAGTCACTGAATGTAGCGTCAAAGGACAATCTGCATGTGCGAATGAGCCATCACAGATTAATCAGAATAGACTGACCTTTCATATTGCCTATTTCAACTCAAAGGACATACTTTTCAGTGCAGAGGTAAAAAAAAAAGAATTCAGCTGAGAGTCATCAAGTAATGAGAGATCCTTAGGTACTTGGATGTGTCTTCATTTGGCAGATGCTTGAGAAACAGAAGGAAAGCAAGTATTCTGAGCCTTCGGTTTGCGTACAGCAGGAAATGTTACTTTCTGACTGGAAGCCTTTGTGCATACAGCTTCCACCTTCATTCATTTCAATGCACATACATTAGCGATGGACAAACACACCATTTCAGTTGTAGAGCTAGACAGCATGGTCCCACTCTCTATTTTAATACATGACCTGCAACATCCAAATAGAGCATAAACTGGATTCTGAGCTCTACTTACTTGTTTTCATGTATTTCGTCAGTAAGGCCACTGAGTAACAGAGGAATTAACTTGTGAAAATAAGAGTATCTATCCCGCAGGTGCAGTAGCCACTCTCCAGTGACACTGGTAACAGCCTCTCTAACCTAGAAATATTTAAAAGCAATGTATGACACATTTACATCCATCAAATATAAAAACAGATCATTGTACTACTTTTTTTAAAAAAAACAACAACCCATAACTCATGCAGCCTGAGGTTTCGGTTAAACTTCTTTTAAAAATAAAGATTCAGCTTTCTTCATACATCCCTGCAAGTTCTTTGAGATGGAGGGGGAGGGGTTTGTTTGTTATTATGTTATGTGTTTTTGTGGTTTTATACTGTAAACCACCCTGTGATCTTTGAATGAAGGGTGGTATATAAATTAAATAAATAAATAAGAAATAAAAGGAAATATAACCCAGGCAGGCTTTTACTTTATCCTTCATCATAACACGCAAACTGGTGTTCCATAAATTTAGTTTTAAAAGCCTCATTTCAAACAGGAAAATCTTAAAACAGTCTTGGAAATCTGACAGTAAAAAACTAAAGAGAAAAACTGTTCCAAGATTGCAGTGCTAAAATTAAATATTAAATATGGTCTCTCACATGTATCTTCAAGAAATAACTGCTTGGATTACAATTTAGCCAGAACCAAGTTACCTGTGGGATCTCATCAAAACACCGCTGGGCTAGGTGAGAAAGCACATCGTCCAGAGACTTCACATTGCCATACTGAATCACTGCTCCTGTAGCCTGAATGACAGCAACACGGACTCTATAGTGTTGGTGGGAAATTGCTTGCATTAAGGGATTGATCAAACTTTCTGACTGCATGTGAAAGGTATCTGGCAGAGGAAAATAAAGAAAAATTATGTTACTCCTGGTGAAGTAGTGTAGTTAGGTGTGTGCACTGTTTTATAATAGAATGCTGAGCAAAGACTTGGACACTACCAATATACAGCCTCCAATGAATCTGTAAGGGTGCTGTGGAATGGTAGAACAGCAAGCTTAATCTTACTGAAAGATTTCATTTCAGCTGCCTTTTTCTGTATTTTCTGCAGGGGGCGGTGGAAATGGGAGGTCACAGAAAGGTCAAAGTGGGGCCAAGGTGAGCTTTATCATACATTTTTGATAGAGAACTATTTCACATCAACATTCTTGTCTTAAACATGTTTCTTATGAATAAATGTTATTGATTTAAATCGTGTTTTAACCTTCAAGTAAGCATAGATGAGTGCATTATTTTGATTTCCAGTTTATATGTGCAAATTGCCTTCAGATAGGGTCCAGCATACTGGTTTAGCCATGGGGGGGCAGATTACGTCTCTTGGGGGTGACTGCCCATCCTCTTCTGACACCACCTATGACTTGGCTTCTTCAGTCTGCTGCTCTTAAAGACAAAAGCAACCCAGGCTGTTAAGTTTTCACTTCTCCTGTGGTCTTTTAGTAAGATGTAGTTGCCTTATATACAGAAGCAGTCCTCTAGCTCAGTATTATTTGCCACACGGGGGGTCACTAACATATGCCCACAGATGCCTTCTCTGGCACTCACAGGGTCCTCCCCACCCCCAGGGCACATATACAAAATTAGGTTTGATAGCAGATTTTAGTTGTAGGTGTGTACTGTGGTGCCCACAGGAGTTTCTCGTTTCCAAATGTGTCCCCATAGTTGGGAACCCCTGGCCTACACTGACTGGCAGCAATGCTCCAGGGTTCTAGGCTGGGTTCTTTTCCAGCCCTACCAGGAGATACCAGGGGCTGAACCTGGGACCTTCTACATGCAAAGCAGATGCTCTACCAAGGAGCTGCGGCCCTTTCCCTAAGTGCAAATGTGGGTAGGGGGATCACATCCACACCATATTAATTTAAAGCACATGGCTTCCCTGAAATAGAACTACAATTGCTAGCACCCTGAACAAACCAGAGTTCCCAGGATTCTTTTTAGGGGAGAAGCCATGTGCTTGAAACATATGGCATGGAAGTGGCCAGAAACAGGGCTCCTGTTCCATCTCCACTATAAGTGGCATTATGCCTCTGAACACCATTCGCTGGGATCACTGGTGAGCAGAGTACTACTGCCACTGTGAGAAGAGGATGCTGGATCAGATGGGCCCCTGGGCCTAATTCAGGAGACTCATTTTCTTATGCAACTTCATTTGTCCTAAGAGAAGGAACAGTGATGTGTAGGGCTTCCCTCATGCTTGATCTGGAAGCTGCAATTAGTCTAGAATGCTGCAGCAGTAAGGAGTAAGGAGTAAGGCCTTGTCAGCATATAACACCTCAGAGATCTGCACTGGTTGCCGATTTGCTGCTGGGCCAAGTTCAAGGTGTTACTATCAGTAGATGAAGCCCCTATCAACTTGTGACCAGTTTACCTACAAGATCGCCTTACCCCGCCCGCATGTGCCCACTTGACTGCTTTGATTGGCACAACTGGCACTTTCACAGGTGCCATATAATACCTGCACTACAAATTCAAACACTTTGTGTGGCAGCGCCTGCACTTGGGAACACCTTGCCTATGGAGATCAAGCAGGTCTTGCCACACTCTTTTTTGGCACCTGCTATAAACATTCCTGTTGCAGCCACGTGTACCTGGATACTTAGAAAGTTGAGGTAATTTCAATCTATTTTAGCCGGTTAACTTTTGCATGTTTTAAGGAAGGGTTGAGGTTTCTTATTTCTTGATTTTACGGTTTTACCTTTTGGTAAACCGCTTTGAGATTTATTTTAAATGAAACAGGATAGCTCAGTCAGTAGACCACGAGACTTTTCATATCAGGGTCTTGAGTTTGTGGAGTCCCACGTTGGGTGAAAGATTCCTGCATGGTAGGGGTTGGATGTACAATCCCCCCCCCGTGGCCCCTCCCAACTCTACAAATCTGTGATTCTGTGAATGAATTTGCGCTGTGGTCTAAACCACGGAGCCTCTTGGGCTTGCCGATCAGAAGGTTGGTGGTTCAAATCCGTATGACGAGTTGAGCTCCCGTTGCTCTGTCCCAGCTCCTGCCAACCTAGCACTTCGAAAGCACGCCAGTGCAAGTAGATAAATAGGTACTGCTGCGGCGGGAAGGTAAACATCATTTCCTTGCGCTTTGGTTTCACGTCACGGTGTCCCGCTGCACCAGAAGCAGTTTAGGCATGCTGGTCGCATGACCCGGAAAGCTGTCTTGGGACAAACGCCAGCTCCCTCGGCCTAAAAGCGAGATGAGCGCCGCAACCCCATAGTCGCTTTTGACTGGACTTAACCGTCCAGGGGTCCTTTACCTTTTTCCTTTACCTATAGCAACCCAACTCCAGCTGGGGGGGGGGGAACAAACACCTTTTCTCCACTGTTCTTCAAAGTGCCCTGGCCCCCTTTCCTCCCCCCCCCCAAGCCAGGCTTCTTCTCTGCACCCTCCCCACCCGCCAGTCCCCCAGGCAGCCCCTTCCTCAACCCCACACGCATCTCCCCCCTGCGCGCACCTGGCATGGCCTTGGCGCAGGCGGCGGCTCCCGCGCAGCCCTCTCGCTTGGCCTGCGGATACGGGTCGAGGAGGGCGCTGCGCAGGGCGCGCACCAGCTCGGGCAGGTAAGGCGCCAGGGCGTCTCCCCGGCACGCCTGCAGCAGGAGGCTGAGCAGCTGCAGGAGGCCCAGGCGCAGCTCCTCGCACGGCTCGCCTTCGCCCGGCGGGAGGCCCAGGCGCTGCGCCAGCGCCGGCACCAGGAAGGGCAGCGCCTGCTCCGGCCGGCTGCCCTGGCTCACGCCGTGGCGGGTCAGCTCCAGCGCCAGCTCCCGGCAGCGCTCGGCCGGGTCGGCCACCAGGCAGCGCGCCAGAGGCCGGAGCATCTCCTTGGCGAACACCTCCTGGAGCACCGGCGGCGGCAGCGGCCGCTCCAGGACCGCCGCGCGGAGCCCGGCCAGCGCCTGCAAGCGGGACTGCCGGGACCCGTCCTGCAGGCGGTCGAGGTGCCGGGACACCGCTTGGCTGACCTCGGCCACCCGAGGGTGGTGGTCTCCGATGGCCCCTGGCTCGTCGGCCATGCTGCCGCGTGCCCGTTGCTAAGGGAAGGCGGCGGCTAGGCCCGTTGCTAAGGGCCCCGACGCGGCTTCGCGGCCGCCGGCGGGGTTTGTTTACGGCGCCCGGCGACGTGCTTTACGGCAGGGGCCGGAAAGCGAGGACGCGGCTTGGCTTCAAGAGGAGGATGGGGGGGGTGCGCGGGCTCGCTAAAGCAGCGCTAACTATACTCAATAAGCAAGGATCGCTGCCTGAGCTCTTACGCTTTTCTGCTACTAAGTTGCCGCGAAGCCGCATACGAGAGAACCCTAAAGCAACACAAAAGCGACGAGTCAATAAATAAAATGCTTTGCAATTCATAATGTCGTCGTCGTTGTTGGCATTTGTCTGTCTCAAGCGACAGTGCACCTCTTGAGGGTGAAGGCAAACCCACCCCAAGCACTTCTGCCATTTCAGCCTGTTTCCTGGAAACAGACTAATTCATTTCTGGTTCCATCGAAGGAGAGCCCAGGGGAGTTCACCCAGTGCCAATGGTTACTGAATTCTTGTTGTCTTGAGAGACAATGGAGTGTGCCGCTGGGGGTGAAGCCAATCCTCTGTGTTAAGGGCAGCAAAGTGACTTCCTTGGGACGCAAGTCTTGGTAGTGTGTCTGGAGGTCCTGGGCCGCCAGACCACAAGACCCTCAGTCTCACTGAGGTGGTCCTGTAGGAGTTGCTGGAAGGAGGCATACAAGGCTCCATGCAAGGTCTTGGGACAGCAAGACAAGTGTGTGCCTTCGCACAGTGTTTTGTGCGCCCAAGTGGGAGTGTGGTTAACATGAGCAGCAAGTGGAACTTCAGCATTCTTACTAGCAAAGCGGAGATTCTACTAGCAAATAAAAGGAGAATAGCTTTACATTCAAATGACAGATGATAAGAAAGCACTTTCCCTTTACTTTTTCACTCATTCGTTCATGTTTTTTTTGCCGTTTTCCCACACACGCTGAAAAAATCATGCTCAAAGCTGCTTATGACAGAGAAAGCAGGGCTAAACAGTGCAAAAGCAACTTCACAATGAAACAAAAGCAAATGTAACAACATACCAAAACATACACGTGATTTAAGTTCTATAAATATAACAAGATTACATTAACAACATTACTCCACCTGTAAATAGCAAAAATAACAAGAGCTGGATGGTTTCCCCTTGGTCCTAAAAACACCCCTTGGTCCTAAAAACACTCTCCCCTGCAGCAATTTGCAAGGCCTCATAAAGGCAAGGAGTGAGATAACTGGAAACACCACTCCCATGCTGCTGCTTTCATGTTTACCGTAATTGCTACAACATTAGGGGTGGACATATCAGGACACAGAAAGGGCCAAAAAAGATGGGTTACTCATGATGTTCAGATCCAGCTGCTATTTGCCTCTGCCCAGCATAGCTAGTGATGATGGGATCTGTAGTGCAGCAACAGCTGGGAGGGTCACAGGCTCCCCCTCTCTGACTTAAAATATCAGATATGTTGTTTTGATGTACGTTTTGACCATCTTTGTCAGTGAAGAAGAAGGTTGTCATTGTGGTAAGAACCACCTTTTAACCCTAGCTTGGCTTCTGTTATCCATGCCATGATAGCCTCCTGTTTGGATTACTGCAATACATTGAATATGGATGGGTCTGCTTCTGAAGAGGGTCCAGAAATTTCATTTCATTCAGAACACAGATGCAAGATTGCCAGCTGAGACAGAATGGTACAATTTGTTTATTTATGTCTATGTATTTTGCAGAACATGTAGACCGCTAAACATCAAAATACCCAAGCAGTGTACAATAAAAAAGAGAAATAACAATGAAATATAAAAACATAATGAAACAGATTTCAGACATAAGAAATGTGTTCAAATGTGGCAAGGGCAGTGAGATCCTCAGACCATTGCAAAATAGGTGGTGGATGTTTATCCTTCCAGCTCGAAGTAGAAGTCTCTCAGCAACCACAAAGGCTCACAAAATCTACTTTGTTGTTTTGCCATTAATCCTCATACTACAGGAATGTAATTTAAAACTGCATGTACATTTGCAAATTTCAAGGATTTTGCCAATGAAAAACCTAACCTGGATAACTTCAGACTAAAAAGAAAATATCACTGGACATGCTCTCATCATAAGCTTCAGTGAGATATTTCCAGCATTACACCTCCAGTATCTTTCTGTATTACACAGTGCCTTCCTGTAAAAATATTGTGGAGGCCAGGATACATTAAACATCAGTTTTTGCTGGATCAATGGCAAATTTAAGTCATAAAAATGTATCCCTGTCACCCCTCTTTTCTTCATTTTGGCAGCTTGGTTTTGGGAGAAGGAGAACTGTTGCTACTGTTAAACAACAGGGAGTCAGAAATCCTTGGTCATCTGCTACAAATCACGCCCCTGGTGCATAGCTGTCAACGTTTCCCTTTTTTTAAGGCAAATTCTTTTATTCCGAATAGGATTACTCACAAGAAAAGGGAACAGTTGACAGCTATGCCCTGGTGTAAGCTGTCGCCTGAACCCTTTTAACTCATGATGCCAAGAACGGAACCTGGGAGCTTCCTCATGAAAAGCCTATGTTCTACCACTGAGCTATGGTCCTTCATGTAAGGGAAGTGTATTATAGTGCACAATCTGTTCACAAGCGACCCAGATGAGCATATGTACAATACATTAGTCTTCAGGACACATTATAGGTCACAGCCTGACCTAGGATGAGTCACAACAGCAGCACTGCCACCATACAAATGTACAGTGAAATTAAAAAATAGTCCTCAGATGTATGCTTCAGCTACAGGTGGATACCAGGTCTGAAAAGACAGACAGAGGCCAACAAAAGTCAAAGTCCAGGGGGTCACACTGTCTATCGGTTTCCTCTTCTTTAGGATTACTCTTGCAGAACCTGGGAGGTAGGAAGAGGGTGGGGAGCAAACTAGATTTAGTGTGTTTTGTCTGCCATTGGCTCTAGCTACATCAGCCATCAGCTCTGTCTCCAGCCACTGCTGGGCTCATTGCCTTCTGCCCTACTAGTCCCAACAGGCACCAAATCCTTGCTTCTTTAAGCCATCACCCCAGATCCTCGCCTCTCCACCGGTGCCCCATTTCTCCCCTACCTGTTCCATTTTGGGTGAGTTTAAAATAACAGCAGCAGCATCATCATCCCCCAAGCAAGTGACTGGACTAACATAACCACAAGCATCGCACAGGGCCTGGAGCATGTTCCTTCCCAGCCTGTGTGTGTGTGTGTGTGTGTGTGTGTGTGTGTTTTCTCTCCATGCAGGAGGGAGGCTGAACTTGCCTATGACTGACAGCCAGCTGGGACTTCCTGTGTGTGTGGGTTTGCTGCTGCTAGCGCAACAGAGCCTTAACGCTTTGTGTGCAAGGGGAATAAGAAAAGGGGGGGGGGGGGAATCAAAACACAGGCAGGCAGACAAATCTGGGGGTGGATAAGTAGCGGGGATCTCTTTTGCCGGGGCTTTTCTGAAAGCACACGGAGGAGGGGAAAGGGGGATTCACGAGCAGCCAGCCAGCCGCTGGAGGAGGAAGAGGAGGAGGCTGCACTGCGGAATAACGGGAGCTAAAAGAGGAAGAGGTTTGTAGCTGCCGCTGCTGCTTGTCGCTGATCCAGCAACTCAGGTATTTAGCTATGGTCCCCTCTGGCATTGCACGCGCAGCCTGCTCTTGTCCCCCTAGCGCTATGGAGAGGGGATCTCTGATCTCTTCCCCCCACTCGCCCTCCTCTCTCTCCATCCCTCCTTCCTCCCTTGCTTGCTTTTGGCAGCTGTTCCCCCAGCAACAATGGCTGAGAGAATTAATTCAGCACAAAGGGCTGTTGCTGATGGAGACGGTGGAAGAGGGAGGGGGAAGAGGATGAAGGATACCACCCCTCCTTCTCCATCGAGAGCGAGAAAGAGGGAGAGAGAGAGAGACTGCGATGGTGCTTTGTTGGGGGATATAAGGAGGCATTGGGAATGCTTGGGGAGACAGCCTTTCCCCATGTATAAATCAAACCCCAGCAAGGGATGAGGATGTTGGCTGACTGCAACCCTCAGTCTGAATCACTCACAGTGTTAAGAGATGTTGCTCTTTTGGGAAGGATGCACAAGGAAGGAGAGGAGGTTTCCCTCGCTGCGCAGCTCTTAAGGCTGTGCAATTTTATTTATTTGTTGCTCCGTTTCTCAGTTTTCTCCCAAATTTTAATCTTCTTCCAGTAATTTGAGATTCAGTTTGACAAGAGATTGGACCTGCTGTTCCTCCTCTCTTAGAAGTCTTGTGGGGATCACCTTCCAAAAATATGTGATGTCAGGTTCTCCGCCAATGGGGGATCCGTACATGCAAAACACATCCAAATCTTGGACCTACGCTTACCTAAAGAGAGGGAAATGCAATCAGTGATTGACACCGCACAGTCCACTCTCTTGTTTGCACATTCCAATCAATCTCAGTTGCAGTTCAAACACGTGTCCTTTTATTTTGGACGAGCTTGGAGTCCGAAATGCATTGACGGGAGGAATGGGTCATTCACCCTCTTGTTTGCTTTGATGAAAGAGGAGTGCTGGTTTATTGTCTTTCACTAACAAATATTGTTTCCTTGAGATATTTTTCTGAACTAATATCTAGAACCATAAATACACACACAAAAAGGTGTGGAGGTGCTATTCTCTGTACCACATTAGCTGGAGAATGAACTGAACAGTTCAGAATTTGACAATAGTATGCAATGGTTTCTTTGGAATTTGTAGAGAGAGGAAAGGAAATAGCTTTGGGGTGTTCTGTATGCCAAAAAGCCAAGCCACCAGCTCACTGGGTCCATTAGATAAAGATCAGTTTCCCAAAAACCAGTGTCCAACAATTATTGTGAAAAAATATTTAATAGCAAACCAGTCTAGTGCAGGCAGAGCTAGGGTATTTTTTGCTCCATGATGCAGAAGGGGCAGAAGATTATGTAGAAAGATCATTTCCACTTTTTTTGGGGGGGGTAAACTTCTAATGAAGAGCCTACGACTTATAACACACTGAACATTTAAGGACTGCTACATCGTAGGTTTGCTATTCAAGCCTTTTGGGTGAAAACATGCCGTGTATATTCTTTGTTGCTGGCAGATGATTTGATAGGACTGAGATACTGAAAGTTACTTTTTGCCCAGTATTTGAAAACTTGATTTCTGTCCAGTTTTGTACACCTGAAGACTTTGGAGAATGGCTTATGATTCTTGAAACACCATGCCGTTTTCTCACACAGGTTTGTTGTCTGTTTGCAGTCACAAAGATGGCTGCTTCATCCTCTTGCAATGCGGAAGACGACGAGAGCCTGAAGGGATGTGAACGCTACGTTCAGAAGCATAACATCCAGCAGATTCTGAAAGAGTGCATTGTCAACCTCTGCATAGCAAAACCTGACCGGCCGATGAAGTTCTTGCGAGAACATTTTGAGAAACTGGAGAAGGTCAGTGATTGTCAAATATGCACAGGGGCAAAGGGCACAAATGTAACAGCAGGGCAAAACCAAAGATACTTCCAGTATTTAGGAAGCTGCTTGTTATTGACTGAGACCCTTGGTCTGTCTAGCTCTGTGATGTTTACATCACGGGAAGGTGTGAGGTGGTGGTGTTGTGGGCCTGAACTGTCTGTCCTGGCAACCTCTATACATCCTGTTTGGGGTTGGGGGAGAAATTTTATTCATTTTAAGGTGAATCTACTTATTCTACACTTTCTGAATCAATATATGAACCAGAACAAAACCATCCTTTGAAATTTGCATTTCTCCAAATTTTTCAGTGCAGTTTTCTGGCCAAGTAATGTGCACAAGAATGCATATGGTGGGGGTAAAGTGTGCATAGAAAGGCATATATTTGTAAAAGTAACATGCAGGATGCATTACATTTGTTGAAATTACTTGCAAAAACATATTTGGTTGCACACCAAAAGGTGTATATTAGGAGAAATTTCACAACAGCGCTGATGAATTTCCGCGAGAGAGAAAAAGGAATTCACCAACCGATGTGGAGATCTGGAGAACTGAAGCACGGGGAAATGAGAAACTGTGAGAAACTGAAATGGACAGATTCGCCTATCCCTAATTCCTGCCCCTTCCTACTTTTTATAAACGAAAAACAAAGTGAAATCTTTGCTTATAGGACACCTGGCTGCTTTCTAGAGTGTAGTGCTGAAACCGCAGCCACCAACCACTTAAATTTCCCAGTGGAATCTTTATATATAAATCAGAATATGCAAATTTCATGCCGAGTTATTTCCTTTGCTGTGCCCGATGCCAAGGGCTCTCACAAGTGGGGCAATCACTAAGCCTTGTGCATACATCTACTGTGCAACGGTGTAAAACACCATTCATAGATGGTTCTAAGCTTTAGGTCACAACATTATGATACAGTCATACCTTGGGATAAATACGCTTCGGGATGAATATTTTCGGGTTGCGCTCTGCGGCAACCCTGAAGTAATGGAGTGCGTTACTTCCGGGTTTTGCCGCGTGCGCATTCGCATATGCTCAAAATGACGTCGCGTGCATGCGCGGAAGCGCTGAAACACGACCTGTGTATGTGCAGACGCGTGGACACGGGTTACGTTCACTTTGGGATGCGAACGGGGCTCCGGAACAGATCCCGTTCACATCCTGAGGTACCAATGTATTACACTGTATTACAGTGGTACCTCGGGTTAAGTACTTAATTCGTTCCGGAGGTCCGTTCTTAACCTGAAACTGTTCTTAATCTGAAGTACCACTTTAGCTAATGGGGCCTCTCACTGCCGCCACGCGATTTCTGTTCTCACCCTGAAGCAAAGTTCTTAACCCGAGGTACTATTTCTGGGTTAGCGGAGTCTGTAACCTGAAGCATATGTAACCTGAAGTGTATGTAATCTGAGGTACCACTGTATAAGCCTCTAAGTTAGTGGGGATCAGGGAAACCCGCAACTTTTGGGCTCTTGTCCTTGAAACTGGGAAATGTCAGCAGACACTCTGCTAGATGCAAGAATGGGACTGTCCTCTCTGGATTCTCTGTTTGTCCAGACCTTGGGACATGCTGCTGAGGAGCCTGGTGTGGGGGAGATAAAACTGTAGCAATCTAAAAGCAACCAACCAACCTCCAGCATTCGAAATGATAGAGAGTTTATTTCGGTAAAGAACAGTGATTAAAGAAGAGGGACAGAGATAAGCAGGGTACAAGATAAAATATAATGCAAACTTTGCATCTAGCTAGCCTAACACTTTCAGCAAACAACGGCATTCAACTTGCAAGGCTGGCATAAGCAGGAATGGTCAAGATTTTTATTCATTGTTTATTTGTACGATTTCTTGCCAGCCCTTCACCGTAAGGTCCCAGGGTGGGTTGCTACAGTATAATATACAGTTATAAACACAGATAAAATGGTTACAGGTATTTTAAAAAAGCCAAGAAAAAGCATTCAAAAACTGAACAGTATACATCCAGCAAATGAGGAGGGTCCCACAAAGCAAAATACTCATCAGAGACCAAGATAAAGAGGTATCTTTGTGGTATACAGCAAAAGGGAGATGCAGGTGGTAAATGAGCCTTTGTGAGGAAGGAGTGCCACAATTTAGAGTCTGCCACAGGTAATGCCCATTTCCAGACCAGCTTTCCCCACACTTCTGAGCATGGGCCTAGCCAGGATTTATTTGAGGGGGGGCAAGCTTTGTGTTTTTTTGGCGGCAGAACTGAATTATCTGTGAAGCAACTGGTCAGCTAGTTAAGCATTTTTATTTATTTGATTGGGAGGGCAGCTGCACACCCTGGCTATGCCCATGCTTCTGAGGCTGGTGGAAGTATCCTGCAGACCTTCTTCATCCCTGAAGACCAGCAGAGGAGGCCCTCTTGGGAGTTCCACCACCCTCAGAAGTTCAGGGGGGTTGGGGTGGCTCAAGAGAGGGCATTCTTTGTGGCAGCTCTTAGCTTGCAGAACTCTCTCCCAATAGAGGTGTGCCTGGCACCTTTCTTGTATAGTTTCCCACCACATGCTGAAGACACATATTTTTGCCCTGGCCTTTGACCCTTGAGATATGTCTTTTCAGAACCTACCCGATTTCTGTGACTGGAATTTGTTTTAACTGCTTTTTTAATTATTGAATTTTAAATTGCTGTGACCTGCCTTGGGACCTTATGGTGAAGGATGGATAAGGAACAACAACAACAACAACAACAATTTCAGAGAGCCACTGTGGTGGTTTAGTGGATACAGTGTAGGACAAGGACATGGGACAAGAGGGTTCAAATCCCCACTCAGCCATGAAGCTCCCCAGGTGACCTCAGGCCAGTCACTGTCTCTCAGCCTAACTTACCTCACAGGGTTGTTGTAGTGATTAAGGGGGGGGGCATTTATGCCACTTTGATCTCCTTGGAGAAAAAGGTGGGATATTGTTATTATTAATAATAATGAGAATCATACCAAATGAGTCTCCTTTGCTGATCTTAACACGCAAGAGGGCCTGTGGGGATGAAGGTGGTCTTTCAGACATTTCGGGCCTAAGTTGTTCTGGTGAAGACGAAAACGAGTTAAAATCACCTCACGTACGCTTGGGTGACAGAGGGGTGGGTAAGAGAAGCCCAACTCATAGAGAGAGGACTGTGGGGCAGCCTGAGGTAGACCAAGTGCACAGGAAACCTTCTGAGATGCTTGCTTGGCTTGGAGGTGATCATTGCTTTACTTAGGGAATGAAAGAAGAGAAAATCAGAAGGATCATCTCTTGTGTTCCTGTGGAGCAGAGTTAACTAAAGAATTAACTATCATGTTTTGGGAGGGGGGAGCGGTTGCTTGAGATGTGTCTATCCAGTCTTTCAATGATGAAGTCTTTCAAATAAGGAAAGATGCAGAAGGAGAGGTGAGATTTTGTGCAGGCCCTTTTGACACCTGAATCTGAATCTTCCTTGGATACCTCTGTGACGCTTTAATTGCAAGGCCTTTGGAAGAGGATTAGACAAATTCACAGAGGGCAAGGCTATCGATGGTGCTGTAACGCTGAGCTCCTGCACCTGTTGCATTGTCATATATGCAAAAGAACACAGGACAGATCCCGAGATGTGCAGTTTGGCTTGTATTACTGACCGAGACGAGATCATTGTTTGCGATTTTATTCAATTTATGCTGTGCTTTTCAACTGAGGTTGATTTCCAAGAGGAATTACAATGAAAATTGGTATGTGTGTATGTAGAAATGAACAGCTATATCAGTTTCAGTTCTCAGTTTCAAGTCTGAAATTTAGTTCTCCACATTTCTGCAGCAATTTGCATTTTTCTTTTTCTTTTTAAAATCCTAATTAAAATCTGTTAACGTTTGAGTGCAAAATTATTCTTAATAAACATATTTTTGTAGGCAGTTTCAACTAATGTACATACTCTGGCAGGCAACTTGCCATAACATAATGCATTTCTGTATGTTATTTTTCAACAATAGATTCATTGTGTGTGAGAGAGCTCAGTTAGTAGAGCATTAGACTCTTAATCTCACAGTTGTGGGTTTGAGCCCTACGTTGGGCAAAAAAATCCCGCATTGCGGGCGGTTGGGCCAGATGACCCTCAGGGTCCCTTCCAACTTTGCTATTCTGTGATCCCGTGTCTTGTGGGGGAGGTACATGTTCTATAACAATTTTATGCACATTTTCCCAAATATATGTATTTTTTTAAATAAAAAAAATTGCTTGTTTGGAGCACTGTGCCACAACATTTAGAGAAGCTGAATTTTGAAGGATGGCTGTGTTTCACTACTTGTATTGTTTCAGAAAGTGCAAATTAAGTCGTTTTGCCCTTAAATGTGCACTGAGCCACTGTTCTTCCCCCATCCCTCTGTGTGTGGCATTCTCCTCTGGCTCCTGGCCGTTGATGATTCAGTCCAGGCTCTTTGCTCGGGTGTGGGGAGAGCAGAAGGGCCTGGCGGATGGGTAAAGATGCTAAGGCACTTTATCTCCAACCAGGAAGTGTGGTTGTGCAGAGACACTCAAGATGGTTGAGCAAAGTCTCTAAAAGTGTGCAGGGTTTTGAATGCAGGTTCTGAAACCTCGTCATTTGGTCTGCCTCTTGGTTGTGTAGCTCACTTTCCCCTCTCATACGCGATGCCAGTGGGCGAGTGTTTTGTATATAACGCATCATAATAATAATCTACTGTTCCGTCGTGTTTCCAAAACACATTTTGAAATGTGCCAAAGGGAAAGTTTCATCTTCAGTTCATGAGAAAGAAGCTTTGTGTCTTAAGGCTTGGCTTCTTGTCAACAAGGAACAACGCAAGCTTGGCTAAATTATGGATACGTACATTTAAAAGAGGGACGCGGGTGGCGCTGTGGGTAAAACCTCAGCGCCTAGGACTTGCCGATCGCATGGTCGGCGGTTCGAATCCCCGCGGCGGGGTGCGCTCCCGTTGCTCGGTCCCAGCGCCTGCCAACCTAGCAGTTCGAAAGCACCCCCGGGTGCAAGTAGATAAATAGGGACTGCTTACTAGCGGGAAGGTAAACGGCGTTTCCGTGTGCGGCACTGGTGCCGGCTCGCCAGAGCAGCTTCATCACGCTGGCCACATGACCCGGAAGTTTCTGCGGACAGCGCTGGCTCCCAGCCTCTAGAGTGAGATGAGCGCACAACCCTAGAGTCGGACACGACTGGCCCGTACGGGCAGGGGTACCTTTACCTTTACTTTTTACATTTAAAAGATGTTCTTTCCTTTTCTCCTCAGTTATTAGTATCTTCTAAAAGTGTGGTGGTATGGTGGAGGTCAGAAGAGAGCCCAACGCAGTTCTCTTCCAAAATTCAGCTTATAAAAAGAGGCCCATTGTGGGCCCAATGAGCAGGTTTTACACAAATTCAGACCATGCATTGAAAACACTCATCTACAACTTTAAGAGCCATGGCTTCCCTCCTAAAGAATTATGGGAAGTGCTGATAGCAATTCTCAGCACCTTTAACAAACTACAGTTCCCAGAATTCTTTGGGGGAAGCCATGGCCCTTAAAATGGCACAAGTGCTTCAGGATTATAGTATGGATGTGGCCACAATGTGATGGGGGAACTAGGTCTTGAGCTTACCTTGTCAGACTCTGAATTTGAGGGTAGGCAGGCAGGCCTCTCAGATAACTGTGGGCTGCCAGCTGAGTTAAAACATGCACAGAGACAGGCCAGCCCAAAGCCAGAAATCTGACCGAGCAGAGGAAGAAACAGGTGGACTTCCCCATAACAACTTCGAGTCAGGAGTGGCTGGTGCCCATTGATACTGGTAGGGCAGGAGGCCAACAGTAGGGGGAGCTATAGCCAGTGACAGAAAAGCCAACTAATTCTAGCTAGGTCCCCATTTTCCTGCCTGCTCAGTTCTATAAGTGCTTAGGGAAGGAAGGGAAGGGCTTCTGAGACCCAATTCAGCTGGCCACCATTGGTATAGACTTCCATGCCTAACAGTCACTCTCTGATTATGTTCTTGCTTTTATCTGCTTTTTTAATGAAGTACTGACACCTCTCTCTCTCTATTTTTTCTGCCCATGGCAGCCATTTTGCACGTTAATCAAGATACAAGTACTGGCACCTCATTTTGTACCTCCCAAAAAAGCATTGGTTGCATGTGTCACTGTTTCATGTCCTCCTTGGGTGTTATTCCCTGACTGGCAAATATCTTTGAACTTTGATCATTCCTCTTGCCTGCCCGGATGGGCGACAGAGAGGAGTGGGTGAATGTATGTAGAAAACAATCTACCATACAGAGATGAAATTTACGTTAGTTGCGTTTCCCACTTTGCCTCTGTCCCCACTGATAACTGCCATGTGACACTCTGGCTGAAAAAGGTTCTGTGCTCCTGAGGTAACTCACTAGGACATCTGGTGCTCTATTGGGGCTGCTCGGCCCATTTTCAACACAACACCCACTCACCAGTGCTTGCTGGACCTGGAATTGGAGTCTCTGGCCCAGAGATCTGTGGCATCTTGGGCTTGAGGAGCTCTGGTTCAGTGGTGGAGCACTGACCCTCAACTTCTAGTCCTGTTTTCTTCCACCTTGGATACCCAGGCATTGATGGACTACAACTCCCATCATCCCCAGCCAGCTTAGCCACTGGTCAGGGATGATGGGACTGTTTTAGCCCTGGAAATTGCCAGACTCTTGAGCTATGACTAGGGTGTCCTATCTTCCGTTTGAAAAATGTTGGAGAATTGCCTTCTATTTGAAGGGTGTCTACTCTGAGGTCAGCTTAAAGTCAAACACCCCTAAGAAGGGAGAACAGGTGTAGGACCTTGAAGTTAGCAGCACCTGGATAGCAGACTGAACAGGCACACGGGTTACCTGGTCACAGTGATATTATTATTATTATTATTATTATTATTATTATTTTACTATTTATACCCCACTCATCTGGCTGGGTTTCCCCAACCACTCTGGTCGGCTCCCAACAGAATATTAAAAACACGATAAAACATCAAACATTAAAAGCTTCCCTAAACAGGGTTGCCTCCAGATGTCTTCTAAAAGTCAGATAGTTGTTTATTTCCTTGACATCTGATGGGACGGTGTTCCACAGGGTGGGCGCCACTACCGAGAAGACCCTCTGCGTGGTTCCCTACTAAGATTGAATGCCTATTTAAATTATTGTAATTATTAACAATTATCTTCATCTTTACATGTAAACTAGTACATGCAATTGATAGGCAAATTGGTGTCCTGTTTTGTTCTCTCTGTTTTTGGAAATGTCTAAGTGGCCCCCTTAGTCGTCAGGACATGCAGCCAGATTGGCCCCTGGGTGAGCCAGGAGGATTCCGGACTTTGGTGTCAAGTCTCCTAGTTTCAGTGGCGTAGCGTGGGTTGTCAGCACCCGGGGCAAGGCAAGTAATTTGCGCCCCCTAACCTGTGGATTTTAGTAGGGGCAGAGAGCTGCGAGTGCGAGCGCCCCCCCAGATGTTGCGCCCGGTGCGGCCGGCCCCCCCTGCACCCCCCACGCTATGCCACTGCCTAGTTTGATATCCCAGCAGTTCCCTTTCCCATCCAGCAGATGCTGGTGGCACAGTGAACCAGCGTAGGATTCTGACTCTGAAGCTCATGGTGTCCGCCATGTAGTCACGGGCGGCTGCTCCATTAGGGCAAAGGGGCACTACTCCACCGGCTTCCATCTGCCCTCAGCTAGCTAGCACCTACCTGAAAGTTTTCTTACTTGCAATCGGTCAGCTCCACATATCATTGGTTCTGGCTCCACCTCCTGTTGGTCATTTGCCTTCTGCCTTACCATTTCTAATAGGCACCAGCCGCCAAGACATTTCCTTGCTAACTTTTTCCGTGTTGGAGTTATTGGCATCAGCTGAACTCAGACCCATCAACCTCTAAACTGAAGAGGGGACGGGTGATGTGTTGTTGTACAATCCTGCTTTAATCTTCAGCACAGCCAGAGTAGATTTGACCCCCACACCCCCACACTAATAGTTGCCACCTTCCCTTATTAGTGTCTTGACGTTTTGCAGAGCAAGCGTAGCCGTGTTTGCAGCTTAGCTTGACGTTACAGCTTAATGCATCATAAAAGCCATGTCTGCAGAGATGTGGGTATGAATTTTGCATGAAAAGCTTGCGTTTCAGGATGACGGCAGCTCTGTTCGGCTAAATGAGCTTTGAAGGATGGGGAATGTGCCTCCTTTGTGCTTGACAGTGAAGCAGTCAAGAGAAAACGGGGATGGAGGCTTTGAGAAGGTCACTGCTTGTGAAGGAAAGTGAGGAAGGAAGCAGGAATGGAGCAAGAATATTCTCTAAGTAGATTTTACTAGAATCCTTGATAAGATGTGTGAATGTATTGTTTCAGAGGCAAGCAAGGCCTAGTTTTACTAATTTGTTCAACAAAATTTATATATACTGCTTGATTGTAACAAAACCTTTAAGTAATTTACAAGAAATATTAAAACTACCAGCAAAAGCAGCTAAAAACAAGTTGTTAAAAGCATTATATATCTCTGTCTAAAAGCAATATTAAAACCAGCTACCAGCTAAAGAGAGTTTTAAACATGTAAACCTCTACGTGTCTGGATAGTATTGCCCAGGCATAGGCAAACTTGGCCCTCCAGATATTTTGGGACTACAACTCCCGCCATCCCTAGCTAACAGGACCAGTGGTCAGGGATGATGGGAACTGTAGTGTCAAAAACATCTGGAGGACCAAGTTTGCCTAAGCCTGGTATTGTCCAAACACAAATGTTTTAAACAGAGGCTAAAAAAACAACAACCCACCACAGTATTGTGCAGATGGGGCCAATGTGGCAGCACTGGGGAAGCATCACAGAGCAAACTAAAGCAGACGAAATCCATCAAGAATGTGCTATTATTGTGCCAATAGCATCTTGCAGAATACACCCACAATAAAACACCAGTCTGGGGTGAATGGGAGCTCGCGGTTCCCTCACTGCAAGAACGAAGTTACAGGGAACCAGGCAGAGGGCCTTCTTGGTAGTGGCGCCCGCCCTGTGGAACGCCCTCCCACCAGATGTCAAGGAAATAAACAACTATCTGACTTTTAGAAGACATCTGAAGGCAGCCCT